CTTTGAAACAAGCCAGACGCACATCACGGAAACTTTACGAAAACATACATGGGTAATGCTGTATAATGATATGGGACGATATACCAAAAAAAAAACAATGCTAAGGCAGTTATTCGGAAGGCATCCACTAGATCATCCTCAAAATTACCTGAGCATGAGTGTCCATCGCCAGTGTATCCCACTTTACATGTGCAAATGTAAGAACCATACGTGTTCGTACAGTCTGCATTCACGTCGCAGCCGCTGATGTTAAATTTACATTCATCAATATCTACAGTTTAGTAAGAGAAGAAGTGACTAAGTTAGAGTAATAAAGGCTGATAGTTTCGAAAGAAACTGTTTGGGGCTGCGTCGGTGGGAGTAACGAAATAATTTGGATATATCAACAAAGTTGAAGTGGTAATTTGGCCACCGTAACGATTACAAAAGCTGACGTTTCGAGCGTTAGCTCTTCGTCGGAGCGACGACGAAGGGCTAACACTCGAAACGTCAGCTTTTGTAATCGCTACGGTGGCCAATTTACCACTTCAATTTTGATTCTTTCTCTAATTGCCGTCGTTGCCCAAGCGCCTGTCTCACACGCCATTCGCTAGGTCCGAGGCAAACAACAATATCGCCGTTATAAAAATTGATGTTTTCAGTGAGTGACCATTGTCTGACACGTTGACGCAAGCAGCGATATTTGTACTCTATATAATACTGACATATTGATATATTACGATAATACTGCCAATTGTTGTTAAAAAAACATTATGGGTAAATTAAGTGATTCATAGTCTCGCAGACCGTATATATTTACTCATGTGGAACGATGGAGCAGGTCACATGTTCCATGCAACAAAAGAATTAAATTAAACATGTTAAAAGCACGTTTAAATAAATCATTTATTTATCTATTTATTTATTTACCGTAGATCCATACTTAATCTCCAATCTGTCATATTTGCATTTTTTGCTGTGCTCGATATCAAGAGACTTAAACTCTAGTTCAATCACTTGTGACGGCTTCACTGAAATAACCCAAGCGCATGTTACGTCAGTAGGGTAATGTCCGGGATAATTGGGGTGATGTCACTGAGCCATTTGCGCCCGTCAACGTCTTGCCACAGTCTGGAAGTAAATAAAATTGTGTTTCCTTAAGTATTCAGATAAAAGGGAGCAAACCTTGTGCAACCTGTTTACAACTGCAACACCATTTCAGTGTTATGTGTTCAGATAAATTGCGCTTTTCCGGTGGCCATATGCATCATTTGACTGTGTCTATTTTCATAATGGCTCTCAGTTTGTCCACCCCTGGGATTCCACGTGCCATAGCTAAGAGTGATTATAATTGCAGTTTTCCTCCAGGTTTTGCTCAGCTATCCACCTAAGACTTACGGAAAATTCAGTGCTTTAACAAGACTTTACACCAATAGTTCTCTCTTCTATGAATAGCTAGAGCACTTCACGAGCTGTTACAGCCCGGTTAATAAGTAGGTATGCCCCTATTTTAACATGACGGTGGGATAAGACCGCGACAGCAAATAGACCATTGTTTGCGTGCCACGGTCATATTCTAACAGAATACTTCATAGAGCCTTTATACAACCTGCAAAGCATTCATGATCATGCTGAAACCATTTAATAATTATTACAAGTCTGAGGGAGCCTTTTTCAGCTTAGAAAAGCTTTCAATTTTTATCTTTTTTTTTTTTCATAGCTGAGCTCATATCTGCCTGCAAACTTAAAAGCTAGCGGGGGGCTTCAAGCTAAGCCCCTATAGTGCTGGAGTTGCTAATTTAACATGAATAAAGGCTGAACGTTTCTAAAGAAACTATAGTGCTGCGTCGGTGGGGGTAACAAGGTAATTTGGTTATATAAACTAAGTTTAAATTGTAAATTGGCCACCGTAACGAGTTAAAAAGCTGACGTTTCGAGCGTTAGCCCCGTTAGCCCCATTCGCTCTGAGGAAGGGCTAACGCTCGAAACGTCAGATTTTTAACTCGTTACGGTGGCCAATTTACAATTTCTACTTAGTTGATATAACCAAATTATATTTAACATATATGTGTATGAACTGAGAATGTTGATTCTTACCTCACGCGTACATTCACCGGTAACATTGACACTCACAGCCACTTGCTCAATTTGTCATTCAATTACATCTCCATTGCATTCTCAGGAGATAGCCACTTAGTGAGTTATTAACTACAAGTTGAATAAGGGCTGCAAACCACGTTATGGTCTTAAGAGTCAGCCGTTGACAGGAGCAAATAGCTCCGCGATAAAGGGTTGACCGGCTTAAGACAAAAGCTTTTCGAATCTCCTTGCAAAGATTTATTTACCATGATCAGCTTCTAGTCAGTTATAAACAAACTGTCTCGTTTTTCTGCCAACGCTCACGCTCTACAACGGTTCCTTTAAACCAAATGACCTCCTCCAAATGCAGCCTCAATTTTGTTATTTTCAATCGTTGTTTGTCTTCCCAACTTTGAACAACCCGTTTTGCTCACTTGGTATTGGCCCACCTTTATGATATTTCTCTATTCTACTATACTAAAATTCTACATTCCCTTAACCGATCACTTTATTAGGTTCATGAAGAAACCCGAAAATACTTCAAACCCACTTTCAATTTGGTGTCGAAACGCCAGAGAGCCAATCAGATAGAGGTTAACATTATTATTATTAGCCAACAATAACTTAAAGTAAAAATGAGCAAAGTGCTTGAAGCGCGCGGAAAAATGCAAATGAACAAGTCGCAATTTGCTTTATTTTAATTTCTTATTGGTTTAAAGGGTGGTTGAGTTTTGCCTGATAACAAGGAAACTCAAATTACCATTAGAAAATTGTAAGCTCTTTCACCATCCTCCTGATCGTATTCTTTTTCATCTTTCTTTCCCAAAATTTAATTTCGATGCGAAAGGAATCCAAATGATTCGCCCTTGTTATAGTGCACGGGGGAAGTGAGATCGGACGAATGTGTCATTTACATATGTCGTTTATTGTAGCCGTCCACCGTTTGCTTTCTTTTCGAATCAGATGTTTTTTTACAGATCGAGACAAAGAAATAACTACATGCCTAGATTTTCACAGCCTGCCGGGTAGTTCATCACGCTATAAATTATGAGCAGCGACGACAAAAACTTTGATGGGCCATTTTAGGCTTGCCATAACCAAATGCAACTCTGTGCGAGTATTTATAGAGGTCATTTGAAAAGTTATTTCCATCGAAATTGCCTTGGCGAGAACGAGTAACTACACACGCCCGGCTTCACTCCTTTCTTCACATCTATTATTAGCTGAAATCCTTATTGAAGTAATATGGCTGTTTCACTGCAAATCATTTTAACCATTTCGATCCTTTTTACACTATCGTGTGACCTCTTAGGGATTTTCAAAGTTGTAGTACCATTGATATAACCGCTTGCCCAATTGCTAACGTGAAGAACCTCAATAGGCGGTCATTTTGTTTAACTGAAGGATGGCACGCCGCAAAGTTCAAGAGTTTTATAGCTGTTCCGACACAATTCACGGCATTAAAACGGAGGCAACGTCTTCGACCAAGCAATATCATCATGACATGGCGTTTGTCATATTAAATACTTCCGCTCAGCCATCTCAAGCCGTTGGTCGGTTGACCCTTTTTGACCAAGCAACTCCTTGAAGTTGGATTTCTAAGTTTTCTGCAGAGTTTCACTACATAATTTTGCATATAGGTGACAAGAATAAAGAATCACATCAACTGAAAGGTACATGATTTTGGTTGATACTACAATCTCCTGTTTTATTTTACACTGTATTATATTATAGGGCAGCTATGAAAGCATTACTCTCCGATTAACAAATCTTAAGTAATATGGATATATCAACAAAGTTGAAATGGTAAATTAGCCACCGTAATGATTACAAAAGCTGACGTTTCGAGCGTTAGCCCTTCGTCGAAGTAAACCGAGACCTCAAATCTTTTATTTGTTGTTGCGAATCTTAAATATGTTTTTAATATACTATCGACGTTATTTAACTGATGCTTCGATGAAAAACATATCGGTTCTTTAGGATGTTTTTATCTTTTTAAATATAGAAACAAAACGTGTTTAACATAAAAGCCAGGTGGTAGGCTGGCAATACTTCCCTCATCATCCATGGCATCCAAACATAACAAAAACAAACTATTCATGTTTTGTCTTAAAACTATGGAAATGGAACAGAAAAAATAACACCTCAATTAAGTTACAAATTAACACTCAGCTATTCTTAAAAGAAATGCTTTGATTGAAGCTTCAGTTCATGTGTTCATGAACTTATTTACAAAGGTCTGACAAAAGGGAATAATGTTTGGTGAAGTGATCTTTCAGCGGCCTGCTTTGAGATCTGAAATCTTGTTAACCTAAGAAGTTCTTTATGTTGTAAAGCAGTTGTATCCGCTTTTCATGCTGCGATATACTTTTCTGTGTGTTCATTATCCATGATATTAGAAACAGATCGCCGCCATTGGTCTTCCCGCCCGCTGTTTCTTTCTTGTCGTCACAGCGAATAAATCCAAGTATCTGAGTCCACGTTATTAAGGTCAAAATAATTCGGAGCTCGACTAATTTCCGCTCCCATTTCTTTCTGACTTGGATCACCTTGCTCCCCCAACAAATTTGTCTCACTCACAGCATAACGCTTTAAAACATCGCTAGAGAAGGCCGAATTAAAACTTTTTAAGCGGGGTTTTTTCCGTGGTGTCTCTTCTGGTTGTGGGTCGTTCTTGACACGAGGGCATGAATTTTTCTTGGTGAGCTTTGGTTTCTCGATAGCAGCAAGAGGGCTTTCAGTGTTCTTATCGCTGCTTTTATCAAAACTTGAATTTAAGTTGAATTTCTCATCCACATAAGCGCCGAAGCTCTGGGCTAGAAACTGCTGACTTGCGCGTAAAACTTCCTCAGAAAGAGCTCTCTTAGCCTTTGGAGTCCAATATTCGTAGTTCTCGATATCACCACTGGAACGTAAACTCTCAGTTTCTGAGCTTAATGTTGATCCGTCCATGTAGGGCTGTAGCAGATGCTCTTTCCCAGCTCTAAGAATTGCTGAAGCTAAAAGGAAAACTATTCCCTCTCCCTTTGCGACATCTATTGCAAGTTGACCTTCGTGCGACGTTGCAGTTACATCTACGCAAGAGTTAATGAGGAAATTTACTACATCGACATGTCCGCCAAAAGCAGCGTAATGCAAACAAGTCCATCCGCGCTCATCCCGCAGTTCCAACTCGGCTCCATTCTCCACCAATAGCCTAGCCATTTCTAGCTGACCAGAGAGACAGCTGCGATGCAAGACTGTGCTCCCTTTCTCGTCCTGCTCATTTATTCTCGCTTTGTGAAACTTCAAAGCAAACTTGAGTTGTGCAAGGTCATTTGCCTCGATCGCTATATTAAATACTCCCGCTACACTTGTTCTCCTTTGACGATGTGCCATAGCAGGAGTCTTTGAGATTGTTGTATCTCATGAAACATAAATGCTATATCACTTTCGTCTTGCACTGCTTAAAAAATGACACAAATGATTAACGGTTGCGTAATTCTCGCTTCAACAAGCGCATTATTATGGAAATTACTAACCGGTTCAAAGTATAATAAGCTTCGGTTTATTCGGATACTGTCATGAAAACTTCTTTGAATACAAAGCATGATTTATTTGTTAAGCAGTTTGAGTAACAATTATTTATGCTTTTAGATGAGTAAAGAAGTTGGAAAGCTTAAGACAAAACTAGCAGGAAGTCAAGGAGTTTTAGAAACTCAATGCGATTGACTTTGGTCTTAAATAATCGGCTTGGCTTGTTTAGCTTTCCAACTCTTGAGCAGAAATGATAATCCAGATCGGAATTTTAAACGTAACTGCTTTTGATAAGAATTTACGATACTATGATATATAGCTCTCAACGTGGAGAATCGGTTAAATATATGATGATTTTTTTAATATTATTGTTTCTTAAGGTGGAGGTCGCCAATTAAGGTCGTTTTGAAAAGGGGCCAAATAGTGAAAAGAATGAAGAGATGGACAGAAAATTACAAAGCCAAACTTCTTATAACCTTTTCGCAAGGTTCACAAACTATGACGTGGCTCCTAGGGAATTATGTAAATCTCTGTAGCATTCAGAAAATAATGGGTGTTTTCATACTAGCGCGTGACAAACCATAACAAAAAAAGAAGTTAACATCTAATGAGAAATAAATTATTGCACTACCTTTTTTTCAATAGTCCATGCTTACCAATGCAAATTAAATACAGTTCACTACTCCTAAAGCTGTACATATGGATTAAATTAGCCTTTGGTGCTGTGTTTTTTAATTCTTCTCAATTAAATGTTGTTCAAGGTGATACTGGTTTAATTTTCATTAAGTCTATCACTTCAGTTTCATTAAGTTAAGCTTACAATGAAAGACAATAATGCCACCAAAACCACAACATTGTGCATCGGAAACCACATTATTTTGTTGAAAGGGTAAGTTTCACGATCATTTGATACCGACGTCAGATTGTGAAGTAAAAGGCCATGAAACTGAAAGGCTCAGTATTAGGCTCAATTGGATCTCGCGGAAACTACCATCAAACTGTAACTTCCTTGTGCTCTCTCTTGATAATTTATCTAAAACTGATATACCCTAAAGCGACAACACGTGTCGGTCAATCTGAAAAAATCCGAAAAGAAGTTATGAGCTTAATTCCGATATCTGCTTGATTTTATCATTGGCGACAGCCGAAAGGACGCCACAGCAAGATTAAGCTTATGATAAATCAGTTATCCATTGTGTTATTTCTGTGCATTGATCATTTATCCAGGATTTCGGTACAGGGAAGATCATAAAACTCTGTGGACAATATTGCTCCCTGTTATTTTTTAATTCGAGGGACAAATTGAATATCCGTTAAGCTGCCCCGGTTCTTTTTTTAATTTTTCCTTGCATAGTTTCAGGGATCCGACTTTTTCCCGGTCATGCAGTCCTATGTGAGTCAAGAAGATTGATATTCTGGAAAAACCAAAGTTCTACATTTAAGGAAACGACTCCAGTTTTTCAGTAGCAATTGGAAAAAGAGACAACTTTTTTTTTCTTTAAATAACCTAGGAGGAAGTTCTCTTTCAAGAGTTGCATCGGTGGGTGGAGCCTCGATTGCAGAATGAATTACACTTTCATTTTGCGCCCGGCTCAATTACCAGGCGATATGATATAATGACGTGATGTTTTGTGACTAATACTCTGACAGCTAATATAGCAATCCGCTTGCTTCACAAGAGCTTTATGCTAATGTTGTAGAAAACATCAACGCGCTAACTGTTCACTGATTGGACCGGGAAAAGCCTGGGATCGATAGCATGGCTTTTCACCCTTCTTGCAGAGCGCTTTTCTCGTAGACATGTCTACGAGAAAAGTGCTCCATCCAACTGATTCTCTTCAACATTTATTTAGACAAATGTTGAAGAGAATCAGTTACATTGGATGGAAATGAGTGGTCAGTTATAGAAATAGCTAATACTATTTCTATACTACTTTGCTTAATATTTGATTGATGAGAGGTCTCGAACAGCTAAGCCACGAAGAAAAAGTTAACAAAATTGCGAAAGAAAAACCGAAATAAAAACAATTCCCATTGGATGATTAAATATCTACTTCAATATTGAAATTACTTATGTGCAGAATACCAGAGTTTTTTGGGATATAGGGTTTTTCTCAGTTTTAAGGTATTGAATACCACGGTTTTAAATTGTCTCAAAGCTTTTAACTTTTAAACGGTGGGGCTTGGATCTTAGAGGGCAATTATGACCCTACAGCAGGCTTGAGGCACGCCCGCAGTCACTGTTGTCACGCAAATTTTTTGCATCTCCTACGTAATTCATTGATAACCTTCTTAAAGCTCGAGACACTGAAATTCTTTTCAAGAAAAAACACTTTGGGGGGATTTTCTTCTTGTTCTTGTTCCTCGTCTTGGGTTTTATTTTGTCGGTCTTTCTGTTAAGTTCTATGACGCATTTTAACTGAAATGACGTCAAATTCTCTTCCCTCGAGCCACGGCAAACATAAATTAATTCTACCTTCAAGTTTAGAGATGAATTACATTTACGACCCAAACTGATCCCAAAGAAAAACCATTGATTGTACGATTCCTTGTGATAAAAAAAAAATTAAACTCTCTTTGATAAATATGATCGAGATCGTTATGCGCGCAGCGTTTCGTGTCTTTCGATACAGTTGAAAAAAAAAAAAAAAAAAAACACCCGAGGCATTTTTGTTTCATTGAAATGGAAATGATCTATGAATTGAAATTAAAGGGACCACCTTATGCTGCGCCCACGCTGGTTTGTAACGTCTGTTTGCATTTGAAATAAAGACAAACACTCGGTCGCATAATACATCTTCCTATAAGCATTCTAATCGCTTAAACAAACCAGGAGATCAGTTCTCTTTCAAGGGTTGCATCGCTAGGTAAGGGTCGGTTGCAGAACGAATTAGACCACGGTAAGTTAGACTTCTATAAATCTTCACTTTTACAGTGGGACGATTGTTAAAAGTACTATGCAATTCACGGCAAGCAGCGCTGCAGTAGCTGTTTTCCTCGTACTTCGCCGAGAGGACAAGGTTTTTTTTTTCTAATTTTTCTCAAAAGAAAACATTTAGCCTCTGTCATTTTCAAACGTTGTTACCACTTATATCTTTTTTTGCTGATGGCGGATAGAACCAGCAACTGAAACTGACGTTCCCCGTCCATAGAGACATCATGACAGACCAGACAAAATTCATAAAAAAAACATCCTCCATGCCATAACTTGGATGTTTTAAATCTAATCTATATAAAAAAGAACTAAAAGTAACTATTTGCATACCCTCATACAGAGTCCTTAAGTTTTTCTCAAAGCAATAACATCTGAAAGACTCTCAAACGTTTGATGGTTGCTATTCTTTTTGACAGTGGACGATTACATGTTAGCTAGGGTGTTTGACAACTTACGGTTAAAACCTGATTGGGACCCTCTTTTAGCCCTCATTAAAAATTGCCAGTTTAACTGAAAGATCACTGAAAATTGCGCCTTTTCAAAGCCACCTTAAAATGTCGTCAACGTTCCCTGAGATCAACAACTAAAATGTCCTGTAGAAGTTTCTTAAAATTGTCTTTTCAAAAGTTTCTTAAAGCTGTGTTTACTAAGCAACATTGGAAAAGTTAGTTACGTGCTTATACAGGCGGTGTGCGCACTCTGATTGCGTTGCATCATGGTCGTAAGACAAAAATTGAGCCATTTCCATCTTGACGCGTTGAAGTGAACTTCTTTGGTGGCAGCGAATATGCGTGGATTGTAATGGGGATTCACTGTTGCCATTCCTTCGAAATTTAAATAGTTTGGCGGGCCTGCGCGACTAAGGTGACGAATTCGTTCTTAAAAGAAAGATTCGAAACTGCAATCTGCCTAAGAATCTCGACACAAATGGCAGTTACACCCACAACCAATGGTGGGATGAAATATTTCAAATTCAGAAATTATATTCCTAGACACGAGTTGATTAACAGGGAATTGACCCTTCACATGCAAAAGCATATTAAGGAGACAGAGACCTTTTAATACACGAACTTTTTCCCCCAAACGTAATACCCCTAAGAACGAATTTGTCTCGCTCCACGTTTAGTAAAAACATACAGAGTTTCAAAATACTCTTCGAGAATAGAGGAAACGTATCTCTAGAAGTATTTCTGCAGGAGAGAGGTATACTTTAAGACAAAGAAGATAGCGTGCGCACAGAAGTATTGCCTTTTGTAACACAAATAAATGGGTCTCAAACGCTATCACTTAAAATGTATAAAAAGTTTGTATTGTTGGAGCGCGTTTGAGCGCATTTGGTCAGAACTGTTGAAGAAGGATCAAAGTGACCATACAAATCTTTGAAAGCCTTCAAACTACGACGTACAACGAATTTGTCTTTCGCGAACACCGGTTACATATTATATGCTAAAAAACAGTGCCTGCGTTTCCCCTTGAGAACGATAGAATACGCGACAAATACGTACGAAAAATGCTTCTCCGCATTCAGAATATATCAAATTATATTTACCTAAAGTGAAATGAAAAAGAAATGGCCTAATTTTTACGGAATATTCAGTCAAAATCTGCCGATTTTTGCCGTTTTTACCTCATGGTATGACGTAATTCATGCTATGAGGTTTAGGGTTTGGAGGCGAAATTCAATTAAAAATCATTCACTCACTTTGTTAGACATTAATTTATGCATTAAACGTGGATTACACACTTTTTCTCCCCCTCCCCGACAAGTTTCTTTCTTCAAAGTCACGGTGTACGAATATTTGGGGACTGGTACAAAGGCGAGAATATGCCGAACTACTTGGACAGAGTCAAAAGGGCGTCCTGTCTCTTGAAGCGTGATGGTTGTTTTTATTCCAAACTTGATTAAAACATACCTTTGTGGAGCCAAATATTTGAAGGAAATATGCTACAGAATACTCGACTGCAGAGAAATGGGCGTCTAAGTCCTTAAAGTGACGATAACATGAACGATTCGTGCGTGAAGACCCAAACACCGCGAATATGAAGTGAGCTTAAGCTTACTGAAAATTGGTAAGCGTGAAACTTCGTTGATTTTATCTTGTAGCCACCGGTATCTTAACTAATTCTTTACACATTCGCAATTTAAGACAATTTTTCTTCATCAAAACGCTTACAAACACAATAATTGTGCCAGCACGTGTTGCCCACGAACAAAAACTCTTTCCAAAGAAAGCCAGATCGCAGGTAAATTCATACCATGAGGTTGCTCTAAGGAGCCTTTGATTATCACCATATTGAAAATAACGCTACTGCAATGCAATGCAATCGGAGTGCGCACACCCCCCGGTGCTTATAGGTTCGCAAATGGTATGGGTTAATGAGTTACACAAAGTGATTCAGTATACTTGAGTCATTTTTGATAACTTCATTCAGTGAAAAACATGGTGAATCTAGCACAAGGATTTTTTTCTCTGCTATGTCGGGACTTAATCAATGATTGGTTGATTCGAAGCGGGAGCCCATGAGCTCATTACTTACAGCGTGGTTAATTTGTAACTTGACTCGTTATAAATGACTGTGAATTTATGAAGATCATTTTTGTGAACTGCGGTTGGGAAATGAAGATCAAAGCGATCTTCCCGATAATGAACACTACTTGAGCAGTTATGAAAAATAAGGTAAAAAAAAAAATTCAGGCCTGTACGGTATTTGAACTCATGACCTCTGCGATACCGTTGCAACCCTGAGTTTTTTCCAGGCCTTATTTCAATGAGCAATCGCACTTTGCAGTAAATTCAAACTAAAAATGACTTGTCTGCGAAGACGCCGTGGGTCAGTTGGACGGTCCAGGAGTTTAATGAACTGAGCTTGTACTAATAATCATTCTGCTCCCAGATTTCATCAATAATTTACATGGTCTTCTTGCTCTGTTCTCTTCTCCAAACAACACGGTGAATAAAAATGGAGTTCGAAGTGCATTAGTAGGACCATCAAATTATTTCTGAGAAGGTATAAATTCATTTTTTGAATATATATATCTACTTATATCTACTTATATTTTTCGTTATCAGAAATTTCTGTTTTCTGTAGACATGGTTGTTTGTTGCTGTTTTTTACAACGGTTTTCTTTTTAGAATACACATTTATTTGCGTTATTTCATGTTAAATGATATACAGGATATTAGTGCGCACTAATTAATTCTCTTTTTGCTATTTGTTGCTATCTCTAGCAGTTTGCTGTAATAGTATTTACGAATCCCCTTTGAGAATTAAAAAGGAAGTCTCTGAAATATTTTTATTTGGTATTATTGGTTTTTCTTTAGTGAAGTGGTTTTTGCAACATGCTATCGCATAATTGTCTCATTTTGGAATGCATCCGTTGACTCCAAAACCCTCTTTGATCTATTATGAAGTTATTTCTAGCCAATGAAACTCTGGGTTACTTACACAATATTGATAAATCAGCCTCCTCCTGAATAGCCAGTCTGTCAAATGCGTATCTTCTATTCAAAACATGGCTTTGGTGATTGACGTGGTTGTTTGTCCTGACTATTCCTAATAGAATTTTTAAACAGAAATACAAAGTAGTGCCAGGATAAAATTGAAGTCAAGCAGTGCTTTTTTTTGCACACGCGGGAGGTACATATCTCGGTTATAATTAGAGCTCACAAGCCAAGGTTACCTTCCACTTACTTTGTCTTCATTGACAGAATTGAATTGAATTGAAGAAATGAATTTGCTCATTAACCATGTCTTTTACAATTGCTATTTATCAAAATATTCATTTAAGGATCGTCAACTTTGGTCCAAATTGACTCAAGCTAAACTGCTGAACTATCTTACATCAGGTTTTATTTTCAAAATTTCATCCAGTCGAAGACTGAAAGACACAATGAACATATAGAGAAAGAACGGAGAAACGAAGAGACATTTTTATTCATGACATCGATCAGAAAATTGAATGTTTGTCCATAAATAACTCAAAGTTTGTAAAGTTGAGATGAGTTGAATCTGGAGAAACTAAATTGAAGTCGATGGAGTTATGCTGATAACTGATCGGCGTCTTCGTTTGATCTTACTAATTAGTAGTTATATTTTCTTTCAGTTTTTCATTGTCCTCTCGAAAACCTCCAAATGTAAGCGATATCGACGGGGGAATTTAACACAAACTTGTGCGCTAGAACATTCTCACTGATTTGCATAACCTTTGAAGTCAATACGTTATTGGTAATATTCAGCGGGTATGCGCGAACTCCTTCTGCCACATGATAAAAACATAACACGACCAACAATACCCAGAAATATAAACTCCTCAACGAATAATTAGAAGGTGTCGTTATATCTAAGAGAGTCTTCATTATTGGATGAAACGAGATCGTAGCATGTAAGGTGGAAGGCAATGACACTATGGGGAAAAATTAGTCACCTGCTTCACCTGTCATAGTGTTCACTCAAAATAATGACAGCTTGCAAAATATTTAATGGGTTTCCTCTGTTTGCGTCGACTAAAATTTCGTTCAAAGTACGGATCCTTAGATAATTGTAAGTAAAGGCTCAATATTTCATACTTTGTATTGTTAAAATTAGGTAGAATAATATTTTCTGAAGGTCATAAGAAGTAATAGAAGGAGTTGCATCGCTCATGTGTGCATAAATATATATTTCAACAGATTTGAAGAAGGCTTCATTAAAAGGGAACAAGGGTACAATCGTTGATCATGTTGAAGCAAACAGAAGCGGGGAGAACAACTCGGAAAAAATACAAATTGGCAAAAGAGAAGAAAAGAAATAGTGCTGACAGCAGAAACAAGACAAGATTTAGCAGGACAAAAGTAGCGACAAACGAAAGGGAGACATTCAGATACGAGACAGAAAACACGACGATTGAAGGAGATGACTTGGGAATTTGCATTTACCCCGAAGAAAAGTGTATAAATGAAATTCAAGGACAAGGAGAACTAGAAGTTGCGAAAAGCGACTTTCAAAAGCTAAAAGTTTTTGACAAGGAAAGCAGCGATGACTCTCTCAGCATGATATCTTTGAATTCCCGGCCAACGTCAGCCGTAACTGATTTTGCAGAGGAAGTGAATCTTGAAGGCTATGAAGAATTTTCAAGTTTGGAGAATTTAAACGTAACCGATCAAATTCAGATGCGGAAGATTTCAACCGGGAGCAATTCGAGTGATTTGGAAATTTTAGTTGACGAAGGGTCGCCAAGGATACAAGGTATTGAAATTCTAGAAGAAAATAACTTGGTTGATGAGCAAACTGAGAAAGACAATTCTGGGAACGCAAAGGCCACTCTTCTCGTAGGAGAAGTAGAGATAATAGACGAGAACGAAAATAAAAAGGCAAATGTTAAACCTGCTTGGGAATTGAGTAAAAAATTCCTTTTAACTGCAGACTTTCCAGCCAGAATTTGGAAAGAGGACATGAATGGAAAAGCAATGAATGCAAGAAGGAAGTCATCTGAACTATTAAACGCAAGTTTTCCTCCATTATCTACGGTCCCTGAATTACGAAGAGGCTCATTTCCTAATTCATCTTTGATGTCCTCAGACTCGTCACGTGAGCTTCCAATGTTATCGGGAAGACACTGCAAAGTCAAACTTCCCACGCATTTTCCGGGGGTGCCCTCTCCTCACGTCGAAAGTGATTCTGAGAGCAAGTCTTCGGATGATGAGGTGTCAAATGTTTTACTCCTGGAAAAAGGACAGAAGGCAAGAGGAAATAGTGCAAAATTGCACAAGAATCAGTTAGATATTCCTGGAAAACAGGGCAATAATTTGACAATTTCCTCCACTAAGTCATCTCCCATTCTAAGTAGATCGCACTCACCAATGGCGTCTACAGAAAATCTTGCAATGAGAGTTGCATCCACTGAATACCTCGCCACCCGAGTTGTCACGCAACTGGACTGCGCTTTACAAGAGACTGTCAATGTTAGCAAAGACAGAGAAACGATTCGCGTAGGTTGTGTGACGCCAAATTTGATGCCCCGAAGGTACAGCTCTCTTTCGTTTCGTCCAACAACGAGTAACTATTTCGGAGAGAAAACAAATTCTCTTATGCTACCCACAGTTCACAACAATTGCAGTAAAAGTTTACCAAATTTGACGGATAATAAAACTAAAAGAATATTCGTAACGTTCGATAAAGATCTTCCTCGCGCGAAAGTAGTCAATTTGGAAGGGAAAAGTGACTTATCAGAAAAATGTCGCCTAATTAACCGCAGATTATCCAGCGAAGACGCCTTAGTAAGGGCAATGCTCGACAAAAAAATAAAAAAGAAGGCGATGGTAAAAAAGTGGGTCGTTTCATCTTCACAAAACACATTAACTGCAGAGTGAAATCGGACATGGATTAAAACTTTTAGAAAGCCGAGTTTGCTCAGGTCACTACGAGAAAGATACCATTGACTGGTTAACTCGACCGCCAATCAAATAAAAGTCTATTCAATCTTTGCATGTGTTAACTTTATCTATACAAGGTTAAAATTCACGATAAAAACAAATTAATAAAAATGATTTACAACTAATTCACACATTTTGCGTGTGGTAGTACTTTCAGAAAATCGTTTTAAACACTTCCCCTAAAAGCAAACTGAGGTATTAAGAGACCTGTTATTATTCATGAGGGGGGGGGGGGTGAGGGTTGGAAGATTTGGGGAGGATCACTTGGCTTGTCAGGGGGGAACGGAGGGAAATCAGTCACTAACAGAGTATTAGGGGAGTACTATAGAAAATTGAGACGTTAATTTCCCACGCACGAGATTACTGTGTGGTGGATGTCCTCCCCTGGGGTGGGATGGGTGGGTGTTATGCAACGAGCTTCTCTGCGACCTTCTCACCTTTGCTGTGTTGTCGATCAACAGAGTACCTCGCCAAGGGACGCTACCTATGCGCCAAGCAGTATCGTCATCATAGGTGCAGCCCCACAGTTAAACTATGGACATACTCGTCTTCGAGCTACAGGCGAATATATAATGAGAGCCTTAGGGGGGACTAAGTAGATTTTACCTCCGCCCCACCTCCCCTTCGTGATAAAAAACTACCTGCCTTAGGCAGAGAATGTTTCGCTGAAAAACGCCACTAGAAGTGAATTATGCTTCAAGCTTTCTTCTTTCGCTGTGACGAGGGACCTAACGTTCGAAACGTCAGCTTTAAAACTCTCTACGGTGGCCAAATCACAATATCAACTCAGTTGATAAAACCAAAATTACGCTTCAAGTGGTAAGATATTGATTTTGGTTTTGGAGGGGATTGTTTAATTTTAATTTGCATCGAGAAGAACACAATATTGAAATAAGATGGGATGATATTGTTAGTACCCTTATATATGAAAACTTATCTTTTCAAAAATTAAGCCACCAGATTTTTTGAAATCGTACGTTGTCAAACATATGTATAACACGTAATAATTCATTAGTTTAGATAGAGTAGCGAATTGCATGTATAGGATTTTTATTGAAATTTTGTTAATTTTGTAATTGTAAAGCGCATAGAGTTCAATTTTAATGCGCTATATAAGAACTTATTATTAAATTAAATTAAATATATTCTGTTTGCCGAAGTTTTTTAGCCCCTAGAGTGAATAATTTGTCCCAAACAAGCAACTTAGATGATAGCTAGAACTCATATCACAGCTTGACAACAAAGTGACATCTTTTATACTCTGGTTTCGCGATTTTGTACTTTTTTCGAAATTTATATCACTCAGTTGATGCGAAAACCATCCCAAACAAGCGAACCGAAATGTAATCGCCGTGCACATGTATGTGGAGCTTTTCTGCGAGATTTTTCTCAATGTCAGGTCTAAATTATCTGCTTAGGTTGCTTTGGTTTGTTTGGACGCCGAGTGGCTAAGACTTCCTCCGGAAGTTTCTTGTCGGCTAGCACTAATTACTGCACTTTTACCTGAAGTTGGAGATGCTGCTATAAAACTTACGTTACCTTCTAAATAAAAATATCAAGTCCTTCAGTTCTCTTTTAAATATCCATTGTTTTACACACAAGAGACCCTGGCTGTACAATTGGTCACGCCAAGTAAAACATTCGTAGTTTTACACTCAAAGAGAACCCGACCCTACAGTTGGCCACGCACATTGAAAAAGTTGTACCCATACAGGACAACCAGAGAGCCTAACTGTATACAGTTAGTGACGCACTTTTTATTCGCATATATGTGTTTACAAATGGCACTCAAAAAGCTCAACTTATGGTAAAATCTTAATTCTAAGGTAGGGTCATAAAACCTTACAGTTTTTAAATATAGACACACTCTATAAATTATCCTAACTTTCCTTGCTTGGCGTTAAAAAGCCTCTGATTTCTAAAGTTCACGTCAAGTCATAATATTCTTATACAATTAATTACACAATGATTAATCTATATATATATAATTGATGAAACTTTTACGCCCTTTTATGTTATTATACAAGGTTCAAAAGTATTCCAATGGAAGATCAGTCATTATTTATTCTTATGGAAGAGGGGGGAGGGGAGGGGGAGGAAAGGAAGGAGGATCAGTAATCGTTAATTGAGTATAGAGGGGGAATATAAAAAATTGAGTGTCCAAGTTCTCAATTACCTGCAGAGATATTTAACATTGGTGTTTGGAAATAACCCCACCATTGTAGGGGGAGTGGTTATGAATATCAAAACTGCCGAGGAGAGGATATCAAGTAAATAAGATTAAGACCGAACACCCCACCCCCACCCCCCTCGGGCGTTACATGATGACGACCGGTTCCTGGGGTATAAAGTTAAAAAAAATGTTTCTTTCAACGATTAGAAGTATACGGCGTCTTCTGAAATTGCGCAAGTATCAATCTTTATCGGTCATCATCATCTCGACGCCTTCCAGAAGCTGTCAAAATGTACATTTCCAGCTTTCTCTGCTCCTTGGTCTTCTTGGGCTTCTTCCTCCCGTTTTTTCGCCTGTTTTCCAGCTTCTTTTGCTCCTTCTTCCTCTTTATCTCTTCCTCTATACGTCTTTGTCGTAGTATTTCCGCTAATTCAGCCTACAAAGCACCAAGATGCATTTAGTTTGATACTAGTTCTTTACATTATCCTCTCTTTGCGTCCGCTTACTGACTCTCCTTCTCCTTCCACTAGCACCCAGGACCGACATAGGTTATTTTTATCAAATCGACAGCATTCGCTACTCTTACCGACTACGATAATCTTCATTACAGCACAGGTCAAAATTTGTTGCCGACTTACGAGGGGCAGCAGAGTTTAATTCCCCATTCACGCCATTGCTTAAACATGTTTTAAAGCCGTTTTGATTACCACGGTTTAATTCTGTTTTCTTCGTAGAAGCCGCTCAAACTGACTTTTGTTGAGTTCAAATTTAGCACGTTGAAAGTACAAGTCAGCGACTACCTTAATCTTATGGAAAATTCAGTTTTTCAGTTCTCTAGCTGTTTCTAATTTTCATGCAGTTAAGGATGATTAAGCCGCTAAACATGTTTGCCTGGTGTGGATGGGGTATAAGGCATTCCAGATTGTTTGCGGTAATTTATTGATGAAAAAAGGTAACATATGTTTGTTATCTTGACCTATTTAAGTTAACATGCAGTTGCCAAATGAAATTGCCTCGCGATTTAGTGTCTTTCAACCAAAGCCATAGTAACCACAATGGCCGTTGAAATCAAGGTAACATATCGTAAGGAGCCAATAAGGAGTGCCGGGAGAGTGAGTGAAAACAGATAAATTGCACAAAGCACGGGAAAAACGTGCGCGAACGGCCAAGTTACGATTGGTTTAAGTTTTGAATTCATTGGTTGACGGAGTAGCGCGAGTATTTAAGCTCAGCTAGAACAAAAATAAAAGGGAAAGGGAAGCAACTTCAATGAGATTCCGGATTATTTCCCGTACTCAATCTAAAATGATTCTTTCAAACTAAACTGAAATTAAGGCGTCACCTTGTATTTCGTCCTCCACAATCTCTCCACCATGTCCAAGAGGAATTGTTCATCTGGCAGCGTCAGGCTAAAGCTTATTGTCAACCCTTGTACCTTGTTATCGTGACCAAAGAAGCCAAATTCACCCCCTTCCTTATAGCAGGCATAAACGCCTCTAGTGGGGCATCTCCGATTTCCGCCATAGAATTCCATAACCTTTGGTGAAATAGAACGCTTTTCATCTTCCTTAACAATTCCGGTCACATTCACTCGCACAGTATAGTACGGGTTATAAATAGAACCGGTTCTATTAATGGAAGTAACTCTGCCTGTGAAAGCTGAAATGCAACGTAAAAGAAGGCTAAAGGAAAGGTATAGTCAACAGCATTCATTCAGGTTTAGTAGCATGAAGGAACTAAAAATATCACCACCAACTCTTACACGGTCAGTCCATTACAGCGATTTTAGACCCCCCCCCTCCCCACGACTCGACAACGTTAAACCAGGCTGTCTCCTGGGATCACTAATAGGGATGTTGTCGTGGTCACCTAATAAAATGATTTTAATCAGGTTATGGTTGCTCTGAATGGCTGGAGAATCACGTTGATAAAAACTAGACTAGAACTACACAAGTTGGACTACATATGTCGTTTAATACGTTAAAACGTCTTGTGATCTACCATATTCATTCTCTTGACCGTGTTTATTCGATAAAGAGCCCAAACTAGTATAAGCGTCCACCCATCAGGTAGGAAAAGGAGACGCTGCTCTGTTTACAATATCTGAATTCAATGTCCGACAATCTACGAGACTAATGGAATTTGCGATAAATGGGTTTCAACTGCAATGTCCAAGGGGGTGAATAATTTTTTCAGCCGCAAAATCTCTCCTATCAGGTGTTCGCGCTTGCTAAAAATGGTAGTACCCACATTCAAGGTTCAAAAATTTGATGAGCACCCATAATTTCTCATTAATTTTGCATCGATAGTTAACAATCATCTACCGAAGTGGAGTTAAACAATGGTAGATATTCACCTCATCGCACAGTAAAGACCCAAATATTAACCACTTTCACCGACACTTAGGTGAATATAATTGTTTGGGATCTATACCGGACAGAAACCCAAAAAATTATTTTATTTCTTCAATATAACAAACAGTGGTTGGAAATTAAATTGTTGACGCGCGATTTTGTCTCCTCGGCTGCTCGGAGGTGTAGTACTCAATTTCTAATCACTTCCGAACCAACCAACCAATCAGTGCGCGCGGAAAGCACTATTTACCAGTGTTGTATATAATAATGCTAAGTATTAGTTTCGAAATATGTATAAAAACAAGGATGACTCACCAAAAGTGTATTGACTCTTAAAAAAAGCTTCATAAAAATCTTTCGTAAAATTTCGTATGACTGCAAAATAAAACAAAGTAAGAAAAAAAATTAGTATAAATGACCACCAAACCTCACTATTATTGCAGAAAATTGGAACAGTGCAAAACATTTTACGCCTTCCAGGAAATCTATATTCCAATATTAAAACAAGTGTTTTTGCAAAGTTTTCCTCAATTTTAAATCGGCTAGTTTCTCCTCCTTGCTTATTTCCAAGATTTTCATTCGTTCAAAACCAGCTATAGTCTTTTTTATCCTCCTCCATCTGTAGTTTTTCAACAACAATTTTGAGCCTTTTAGCTCATCCTTTTTTGTTTGAGTTTTCGATCTTATAAAAGATATCATGATTATCTTAGCAGGAATAGTCTTTTCTCTCGTGTCTGTGGATCAGTCAAGGAAAGACTCAAGAAAAGGTGAAAGCCCTGGGCAGGTTTCACCAACACAAAAAGATACCCTTTATATATGTCTGATTGCTGAACTTGTTTCGATAAACTTTAGGAAATAAACGTACTTTTAACTTTTAATTCCATGGTGATGTGATTATTTGTAACATGAGAAGACACACGGGGCTTGCACTGCAAGTATCCCTGAGAGCTCCACACAATTCCTAATAATTTTATTATAAGGAATTGTATGGAGCTTTTTCAGCGTTAGTCGAGGGTGTTGTCACGCATGATCATTACGAGGTGTTTTTCCCGACGCTCTTCCAACAGAAGAATGTCGCATAATGAAAGCAAACCAGAAACGATTGAGGAGTAACTCCGGCTTGCACATGTCATCAAGTTAATTAAAACTAGCACTGAATTTCCTACACATCAGCAAGCCTTTGTTTTATACTATTATACCGATCTCGAGCTCATTTGTGTTTCCAAAATAGATCAGTTTAGCTACATAATTATGACGAAATTTGTGAAGAATTTTGAAGACGAAGAAAAACGATTAAAGCGAGTTATCAAAACAAGAAAAACACTCCAGAAGAAAGAAACAGACAGAGAAAAGAATGGAGAAAGAGGAGACAAGGGAAGCAAATGCCGAATTCAACGAATAAAAATGTTGAACTAAATTCATTCAACCGCGAAGTAAATGACTAGGTGCCATGTACTTCTGAGGCTAAGAAAAAGAAGCTGCGTCTTTCGAACCAATATCTTGAGCCAGAAAATATCAAGAAATCTCGTCTCTTCGCGCTTAAACCAGGCAGTAGAGAGAAGAAAGTGAACTTGGGTGGTTTCTCAAGAGCTGGTAAGATGATTCAAATGGCTGTTGGTACCGACGCAATTGTCTCGCAGAAACCTTGCTAGAAACGTCATCAAACCTTTTTAATTGCCAAAAAAAAAAAAAAAAACCGCAGCGAGTAATGGATCCAAATTTGAACCCAAAGAACTTAGGCCAGAAACATTGAATACTTGTCTAAAAATCCAGTTGACAGTGGAAGCTTTGGAAAGTGTTTTCTTGGGCGCTATCGAGGCATCGAGGTTATGGTCAAGTCTCACAAAGAAACGTCAGAGGATAAAGAGCGAGCAAGGAGAGATTTACTCCACGAAACAAAGGTTGCTTCTGCTTTGGGGAACCATCCGAATCTCGGCCCGTGATTCTTAGTTTTGTTACAAAAGGTCTCACCATTATGCCTTGTGACTCAATTTCATAGTGTTCAGCAAGAAAGTGTAACTCTCCATCAAGTGGCCGATAACAACGTAGTTACTAAAGCAAACTGTATTTCTATATTTCAAAAGATATGTAGTGCTTTAGACTACGTGCATTCTAAAGGATACCTCCTTAGCGATATAAGGGGAAACAATGTTGTACTAGAACGGCCCTCAATCTCGACCAAATCTACAAACCCTATAAATTCGCTCAAAGTGGATGCATTCCTCTTAAAATCAAATGCGAGATTTAGCTCCTAAGAGTTTGTAAACAACTAGCGCCTCACCAAGAGATTATCTCGCCTCCTAAAATCGCCAACTAATGGGAAGACGGGACCTCCTAACGTCAATGACAATGAATCAAGATTTTCCCGGGAAAAGTATCGCAGAGCAGTCACGTTTTTTTATCTCGCTCTGTTGAACGTTAAGTAATGGGCAAGGTTAGCAGAGGAAAAACCCACGGCAAAAAAGGTAAAGCTGAAAAAAATTTCTGAAAAGCAAAACAGTGAATCGACAGACAGCTTAAGGAATACCTTTATCGCTGAAATGAGTTTCCTCGGGAAGGTTTATTCAGGATTTCATGCGATTCGAAGCGATTGCCTATGTTTTTGTATCAAGGCCGGCCAGTACTCGCTTATTGAAAGGAAACTTCTTTTTTAACCCAATGTACGACAAATATTGATCTGATGGCGCCCTCTTTGTTCGCAATTTGGATACCAGCGTGGAGAGAAATGCCAGGACTGTTTTTTCCTGAAAAATGGTGCCGTTTCTCTCTTCTTTAGGCCTGTTTTTTTCTTTTTCTATTTCTTTTCCCAAAGACTCCTCTTTAACTTTGATTTATGTTTTTTATCCATGAGAAAAGACTTCCGTTAGCAGAGACAGTAACAAACGGTATGATACCAAAATGTGAATGACATTTGAACAGATAAGATACACTGAGCTTGTGTAACAGAAAAATGGTAAGAGAATTTCATTATGCAAAAAAGAATTTATATTTTGTTCAGAAATTCAGTCAACAGTCCGGGGAAAATAAACAAAAAAATTGTTCCTAAGGCTAACACTGACAAGTGCGGAAGAAAGCAGATATTTAACACAAAGTAATACGAATGTAATACTCACTGTACCAATTCCATGAGCCATCAAAGGGCCATCCAGTACGCATGTCTGGCTGCATGCATAGTTTATCGTCATAAAACGGAAGGTATCGGCAGCTATGCCCCAGATATCCAACCGTCATATGGAGTGAAGGAGAGATGTACTTAGACTTGCACGCGTTTGCGAAATTCACACAGGTCTCATAGCAAGGCCTTAGGGGCATGCCAATATGAAACGTGTAAGTACAAGTGGCAATACCCAGTGAGCAGGTGTAGGCAAATATATCAGGTGGGCAAATTCTCTGATCGACCTTATAAAACATGTCGTGTAAGTCTGGAAACTTAGGATTGAAGCGGTATCTTCTCAAGTAACTTCGCCAACTTATTCGTATCATGATTCTAACAAATCTGCGTGGGCCTCCGTACCCCGTTACCAATATGTGCCTTCTACACTTGACGATCTTCTTGCTCCAGTCTTTACAATAGTCGATTTTCTGCTGAAATTGAAAGCCATGAGTTGTCACGGGAAGAAGCAGCATTAAAATTGCGAGTACATTCATTGTGAACAGTGTTGATTCTAATGTTTACAGACTGTGGCTCCTTTTATAATAGACGAGGTGGCCTTGGGGGGAAGGTCAGATTTCTGAAATTAAAAGATCAAAGAAATCTTAAAAATAGAATTGGTCTTGCCTTAACATAATCAGCTTTTTGTAAGTCAGTTTTTAGCTGAACCACACAAACGCTATTATAATTAATGTAATTTTCTCACTACCCACTGATGGATGGACGCATAATCCCTCCATTAGTTCATTTGTCAACGGATATTAGACACTTCCCTTTCGCTTTTCCTGAATTTTGAGGATCGTTGCTCATTCATAATATCTTAATATTTGTCATTTTTGGCTTATTCTTAATATTTTGGAAAGTTTTCTTTCGGCCACAGTCTTTATGCTAAACATCAACATGCATTATTTCGCCCGTCCTCTGAGCTGTGAACAGCACATAGCTCTTTTCAATTGCACTTTCCTTAGTCAAAGTGAATGAGACAAAATACGATGTTTCATAGTTCATGGAATCTGATTTAAACTTGACGCTTGATTAAAACTGGTTTTGTAGTAAAATTGTCATTCATCAAGAAGGGTTTCTGCAGAGGTAGAGAGGACTTGATACGCCTGTATACAGTGTAAAAGTGAGTTTTAAAAAGAAAATATTCCGTTTGACCAAAGAACCTGCTTGTTTCTGTTTTAACTTTTATAACAATCGTTGCTATGCTTTAAAAAATCGGGCAGATGAAGATTTATGGACGTTCTTCATGTACATGTAAGTACATGCTTATCCTGTGATGACTGTCAAACCCCCAGGTCACGCCCTTGAAGCGTGGTTGAGTATTTTTTAGGTGTCTTTTACCCAAAGCAGGTGCGACAAGATAACGGAAAAGGAGATGTTTGATGACAGGAAGGCGTTTGTTCACAGGAATACAAAAATAACATTCATTAGTTGGTCGTTCGCCAGCTTGGCCTATTCGTTTTCGAGGGCAAGTTTGAAATCATCCTCTTAGAATTTTTTCAATTCTTTGCGCTTGCCAGTTCTGTGAAAGAAACATGCTTCCACCACTAAGTCTCTGAAACCTAGTGTGTTATTAGAAGCTTTAAAGGTAACAGGTTTTACTTGGGGAACGGAAATAGTTATAAAGGAGGCACTCTCAGAATCTACCCCACCATACGGGGAGGCATCGTCTCCTATGTTCATTTTTACAAAATGGAGATTCTTCGTTTCAGTTCATGGCAGAAAATGATGAGGTCAATTGCGTTGCAGGGTCATTTCAATCGAAAATGGAGAGCAACTGTTTTAGCGATGGTACCGAAATAGCACGGAGGAAATTGTTTCAAAGGAATGACTCTCTGAAACGTCATCATTTAAATAATAGAGAACTCAGCATTGCAAACACGTCTTCCTAAATTAAGTGACTTTAGGGTCTGAGGCGGCGTTGAAAAGAAGGGCCACTCGTGTTTTCCTCAAAAAGATTGCTTGGTTTAACTAAAGTCGATACGCCAAATTGTGGGTGGTTAGTACGGTATTTCGGTATCAAATTAGTAAGCTAGGGCTTTGCTTGCAAATTGGCTTCATGGATTACAGGTGAAGATTATCCTGATAGCGGAAAAACATATGAATTAGTCGCTGTGATTTGAAAGTCAATAATCATTTAAAGAGCAAAAGTGCCCGTCATATAATGCTTAACCTCTGTCTCGAATTCAGCCCTGTTAGATAACAAGATCGGGCAGAAACGACGTCACTGGGTAAAATTCCTAATGGTGTGTATAATTGATAAGATACGAAAATAAAAAAGGTACACATTTGCCAAATTGTTTTAGTTTTACGCCAAATGGAAACGCTAGGCCCAAATTTTTAGAATATATACCACTAATTGTATTTGCGGCACGTTTAGCCTGGGCCCCCATCCGAAAATGGCAAGCGACCTAACCCCGTTTCCCCGGACACATTTCCACTGATCCTTGATAAAAATAGGGAAAATAATGTTATAGTAATGGTATAAAAATGAGAGCAAAACAGTTTTCTTTCACCTTCGTCAGTGCACGGAGTTGTCTCTCGAAAGTATTTTACGTTCATTACCGATAATCTTAATTTCTATCGTTCATCATTTTTAGTCCTGTCTAGAAGTCATTCCAGTAATCTGTAGTGAGCAGAATAGTAGCTCAGGGTCACAGATTCTAACAGGGAAAATATCCACTGTAATGTAATTAACATAGAATCTAGTCCCCCATGAGTTTACAAGTCTTGGCACTACATTGTACAGCCCAAGAGAGCTAAAAAATGTGTTTGTCTTGGCAGACAAAGGGCTTACGGCGACAGCGACAGGTTTGATTCTTGCCCTAAGCTGTTTACCGAAAACTCGTTGATTAATCTCTCTCTCAGCTCAATACCGTATTACGCAATATCAAACATGGAATCAAACTTCAGCAAGGTTTTTCGGAGAACACCCCTAATCATATCATAAAAAATCACACTAACACGAACTCAGGACCATTGCAATTTCATAAAAGCAAACAGGATGTGCATACGCAGTTCGAGGCTCACACATATGTTATAAATGACTGTGTACTCAAAAATTGAAAGAGACTGCGGTGCCCCTTGGCATGATATTGCTATCGTAAGATTTTTGGTTTGTTTGCATCCCTGTCATATTTTTGTTTTCAATGTTCTAAGCTTGTTATTTTCCCTGATCCAGTTATGGTACTCAGCTCGATTTGTGTTGCATTATCACGCGGTTTTTTTCTAGTTGGTAATCACTGAATTAGATTAAGACGAAGGTCATTAGTGATAACTCCCAAGAGTGCATACAGGGATCCCATACCAACATTTTTTCAGTAATGTCCCCGGAGTGTGTTACTTAGAAATGTTTTGTTATTCTTTCTGTTGTGGTAGTTTTGGAAATACTTTCGAAATCGTTAAATAAATTAGCATCCTTCGAACTGTGTAGAAATTTCGTGTTGTCTAATATGCTCGCTGCAATCAAAATAGATTTTTAAAAGCATGCTTTGATTTTCCTGCCGGCCACTCGCCAAAAGCAAACTATACACATCCGACATGGAGCTTTTTAATGCCAGGTCGGTCCCTGGTCTTGAGGAACAAGAGGTAAATATGCAAATTGGTGTCTTTTCGGAGACAAAAATAACTCTGAGTCATTATTTTGAGCACGATTGGTGAGAATAAAACAATAAACTGGGAATATTTTGGAAGTTTGTTTTTATCAACGCTCCTATGATGCAAACATTTGAGCTAGTTTCTTGCTATTTTGAGTTTGCATGGCCAGTTAATCGAATTTTGACGTAATATATCTCGGTGTCTAGCGGCAAATTACCTCAATATCCCCTCCACTTGAACGACAGTATCAAACTTTGCGCCTCTCACAAGACCTACGGACACGATATAGCACGTAGGTAATCAGAAATAGCCCCAAGAAAGAGATTGCCACAGGATAACCCACGAGAAAAAAAGTAACATAGATTTACATTGTGCCTTTTAAAGGCGAACGTTGCTATTAATTCTTATGTTTGTGTGGTTGCTACATTCATATCGTCATAGAAAACAGTTAAAGCAGAAATGCCATGCACACCATATCACATAAACCGCAAACACCGACAGTCACTACTCAAGTAAGTTGAAAGTAACAGAGTTAATTACTTCCGTTTCCGGTCGTATGAAAGTAATGAACGTGTTCCAAAAACTTCTCCAATTCTTTGAGAGTGCATTGGAAATTTTTTCATCCGTGAACGGGGGGTTTTAATTAGCAGGGTATGAGATAAGGTGCTCTAACTGCTAGCAGAATAAAACAGGGTAAACATATCATGAAAAAGCCATGCGTTCAACGCCCACGATGCTTATGCAGTTCTTCACTGGTGTTCTTTCTTTCTATAGAGCGCGAGCAGATGTGATGACTGACCATAACCTTAATAATTGAAAACCGGCATTGTTGATATTACACGCCTATGCTCTTAGGAAAAGACTCCGATCAGGATTGCCTATGAACGTAACCAATGTTTTTTGCTGTGTTTGATAAAATTGAAGCAAAAGACCATTGATGCCTTTTTACTATTTTCACAGATATGGGTATTAGGGTACTTCGAGCAATTAGGGAGACATTGAGGCTAATTTTGTCTGCAATTGCCGACGAGGGCGTAAACCAGATGTTTTTTTTTTGTACTTGAAGGGTCATCTCCAGTGACGATGTTCATATTTATTTCCATTTCCTGAATTCTGCACGCAGACAGTCATGTTTCAGTCAATCATGATAGGTGGTCTTGTTCGGGGAAATTTTTTGAAGAGGCGCCAAAGCCTGCGCCTAATAAAGCCAATGTATATTGTCATTAGAAAGAAACAAAGGTTATCAAATGCACTGTCGTAAATGTTTTACATAATGGACACTGGACTTTCTTTGAAGTGTTCCCCTCTTTTAGCCTGCCTAGGTGCTTGGTGGTTTTGTGTTTGAAACCTCGGGCCTTCATACAGTGGAACCATGCGTGCGAATGAAGAGGCACGCAGAACTACAAGTAATCAAGACAACTATTCCTTTTGACAGACATATTTTTTAACTCGTTCAACACAGATATGCCTTGAAATATACATTCAGTGACTGTTAAATTCAGGGGATTGAGATGAATATTTACACTCCTCGCTTATCACATGTATAAACAGCACCTATCCTGTGTATTTCCTTTCATGAAATCCATCTTTCCGCACTCGAAAAGGCACTTGGAATCTTTAAAAACCCCCCGATGACGAAATAAGACCCCGAGGGCTTTTAAGTTGCATGAAATGCTCCAGATGTACTTAACTTTGGGAGTGTCTGTGGCTACTGATTCCCTAATTCTTTGATTTGACCAAGCACCATGAAAATTGCACTCTCGGTAATGATCACGTATAATGATTGATCTATCTAATGTTAGCAGGTGCTTCAAGAGCCGCTTGATTTCCTTTATTCATTAATCACTTTTAACGTCATTCATCACACAAGCTCCGCAAAAAGATCACCAACAAAGCCTGAATTAGCCACAAGGCCTTGATTAGACCATCCTGCAATTTTTTCTCTCCCTTTTTACAGAATACACTCGAGGCATTTCATTCAACCCTTTGGTTCTTTATCTTCTTTGTTTACGAATGGAAAAATCTTGAACATAGTCTCTCGAGAAACGTTAAGGGAACATGGCAACATGTTCACGCGAACGGAAACGGAAAGAATTACACTTCTCTGCTTGCTGTCAGCCTCCTTGAGTAGTCACAGGCGGTTTTTGCGGTTTCCGTGGTATACATTTCTAATGTAAACTATGCTTGTTACTATATGCATAGTGAATAATATGCATGTAGACATGTAAACAAACTTATACTGTAATCCCAACTTCCGCCTTGAAAGGCCACAAAATCAATCCTTGTTGTTTTCTCGATGTTTGCCTCGTGGCAATCTTTTTCTTGGGACTATTTTTTATGAATCATTTGATACATCGTGACCTACATCCTTAGCTTGGTTAAGATCTTATAAGAAGCGCAAAGTCTATTACCTTTCGTTCAAGTGCAGAAGGTAACAATGGATATTGGACTAATTTTAGAGCAGCTACCATCGGAATTGACAACGGATTACTTCAAAATTCAATTAACTGAGCATTCTAACTCAGTCAGCAGGAAACTCCTAAAGATGTTCACCCCATGATATGAATGATCGTCACATCGTAAGAGCATTGATCTAAACAATCTCGCAAAGTATGCACAGTTTGTATTTACCTCTCAATGGTTAGTAACAACTCGTGCTCAGGGTCAAACTCGCTTCTTACGAAATCTCATGACTTGCAGTTATTTTAGTCTACAAAGCAAGAGATTATTTGGTTTGTTTAGATATTATCCTCAAGTACCCAACTGGTGTTGAAAAGCTCCATACTGGATGTGGCTTCCTTAGTCCTGACAATTAGCCAACCGGAAAAAAACCATTCTGGAAAATGTGCGTTTTATCCTTTAATTTTTACCGCCAATTACCAGATAGCCGCTGAGGGAATGTTTCACATTTATCACGGAAATCATTTAATCGTTGCTGATAAAACTGAAATGGATTAAGGAAGTATGCGTAAATGCAATTAAGATCACAGGCAGATGATGTCGCGAAAATTTTGTCTATGTTCGAACGATGCAAATTCTATTAACAAATATATATATGCCAGACAACTGCGATAGCATCAAAAGCGAAAGCTTTCAAGGTACGACTATCAGATTACAGTATGAACCTACTCTTAAGTTTTGCATGTTACCTCATCCGAATTCACGATTTTTAACCGCGAATTGCGCAATGGTAAACAGACGAACCATCGTCAAATTTTATAGTATCTTTCAGATCGGCCGCTTATCCCTTGGTCTGAAGCAAACTGATTAGAATTCCATTTTAAAAATTGTAATTAAAAGCTAATTTCCTGAAGCAATGATGGAGAAAGAAAGTGATAATGCATAAAATCAGTCGTAAAACCTGATATTAATACATTTATAACTATCTTGGAAAAGCAGGGCTGTAGCGAGACCGTAGAGGCACCGCCTTTTTCACTACGAGGATCTACGGCATTTTATAGATACATGAAACTTGAAGTTCACATTGCTTCGTAACATTACATAGCACGACTTATGCACTCGTGTAGGACTTTTCATAGTAAATTAATGGCTAGATTCCCAAGCATTCGCTTCTTTTTGACACTGGCATTTTTTATGTTGCGTAATGTGGTATTACATGTTACTAGCGAGGATAAGAATGATGTTTATGATAAACGACGAAGGTTCAAGAGTCAAACTATCACCTCTAAGTAGTTTTTTCATCAAACGCAAACATTTACATTAAATGTGGAGACGGGAATTATTTGATGTTATGATAGAGGATATATCTAAGGGTTATTCGAGAAAGGGATAAATGGCGAGTCAGTGTTCATCTTTCCCGTTTGGCATTGCCCGTCGATGAAATCTATGCTCAAGCTCTCTGCTAATTGATATAGTATTCACCGAGTTAGGAGGCTCAGAAGAATTGAAGTTGTACAGTGCCATATCAAGTCCAAAGGTCAATTTGTTTCATTTTTTTAACTGTTATTATTATTTTTCATCACCTTTTTTTATATACAATGTTCAACAGCCATAAGTAGATATCTTTTTGAAAAAGAAATTTAGTCATCGGAGTAAGTTGAGGTAAGTCACCCCATGTAATCCACGATTTAATTGAGCACTGCTGAATAACTGCGTCTTATCGACTAAAAATAAAAAATGTTCCCGAGGATTGATCCGGCTCAGCAGAAATTTATTCGTTACAGCTTTGTGAATTCTTTCATCAAGAAAACAAATCAAGGGAAATACGATTTGGAAGGTGGATGCCATCTTAGAATTAGAGAAATTATTTAGAGCGAATATTTTGCTTTCTATGGTATAATGTCAAGACTTCTGAAGCATATCGGGGATGGACTATTGGTAGAGGAAGTACAATTACAATTACAATTTATCACTTATAGAGCGCTATTTACAAGGACAGATCAACAGCGCTTTACAATCAATCCTAACCCGCCCATCCCACCCCAGGGGAGGACATCCATCACACAGTAATCTCGTGCGTGGGAAATTAACGTCTCCTACCCCTAACCCTGTAGGAGACGGGACCTCCATTTATTCGTCCCTATCCGAGAAGACTAGAATATCTAACCATTTCTTGATGTTATAGAAAGGAAGCATATTCTTCTCAATTATTTTAAGACCTTGAGTGTTGGTCCGGCAGTAGAAGCTATAGTTACCCCCAAAGAGCGAGAAAGGTGTAAAGAGACAACCACGAACATGTCAGCGAGTTGAAAGAAGTATTCTCTGATTAATTTCGTCTGGAATCAGTGAGGAACAACTTGATCACCTCAGCAATACGCTTTGGGAAGGTAAGATTAGATAGCTTGTCATTTTTCGAATTGAGACCTTGGTTAGAAATACAAATATGCCACGTTCGAAAATGTTAGGTAGATTATTGATATCAGTAAAAGTTTTTAACTTAAAAGCTTTAACCTCACAAAATCTTTCAGAACTGGTTTCTATTATCCTTTTAAAAGAATTGCATTATTTTCAATCCAGAGGCATTGTTTATACATGAGGTTAACAGTCTTGTAATACTTCAGCTAAAAAGCTCAAGAGAAAGGTAAACTGAAAAAATGTGCACGCGAAGTAAGGGTAGAGCATGCAAAACAGCAAGAGTGAAATGGCAGATGATACCCTAAGCCAAATATCCCAAATTCAATGTCTCTGAGTAAAATAATTTTGTCATGTTGTAAGGAATATCTCAGAACTTCAGTCGTAGAAAGGCAAAATCAAAAAATTGAAAGAATCGTGGAATCGGAGAAATTATCATAGATCGATCATCTAGTCGTATCGTTAAGTCGAAATTTAGTTTAAGTCTTATAATAGAGGAATATTAGAACTGGAAGAATCTTAAGAAGGGAAAACTTTTTTTAAAATTGATCGACTTTTGGCAAACTCGTATTTTTCACCAACTACAGTCATAGATTCACACCCTTGATAGTGAATCGGAGTAAAGCACTCGCCAATATGGTGTGTGCTGTTCTCTGATTAAACACCTTCGTAGCCGTGTATATATCAGTATGTATGAATTATCTTGGGTAAAGAGCCAAAGGTCGTTTCTTTTGATAAAAAATTCGAGGTTTATTCATTTTAAACAATGTTCGTTTGTTCCACAGATGTTTAAAGGGCTGGCAAGCCTAAGAGAAAACAATCGTGTCTGTCTATTTTACTTTAGGCTCGTTCTTTACACCAAGTTTAAATGGTTTTCAACAATAAATTGAGATATCTCTTTACAGGAGGGTTCTTCATTTAAGAAAATCATTTTTTTTTCAGTTTCTACGACTCCAAGACTCCGTGATCAACGACAAAGGAATAAAAAGAAAATATACAGTAATCTTGGTAGCCTCAAGAGAAAGTTGTTCACAGTGAAAGAGGAAAATTATGATAGATAATAGATTACATGTTCACACCTTGTTTTAACAGATGGTGTGTATTTTCAAGAGCAGTGGGGGAAAAAAAACAGTCATTTCGCGCCTCATTAATTTGAAATAGGATTTGGTTGGGGTAGTCCGTTTTGATAGTCCATTTGGGTTGTCCGTTTGGGTAATCTATTTGGGTAGCGCATCGTGGTAGTCCACGGACTGAAGATCAATGTTTTGTCCATCATTTATTACCCCCTTAATAAGTACCTTTATATTTAGCATCAACATAACATCTTATATTAAACTGTTTTACCCTATTTTTCGATACATAACATAACAGTCCGGTTAAGGAAATAGGACAGGGTCCTACACAAACTTTGGTTTACAATCATTTCATCCTCACGCCCCAAAAAGGCACTTCGCGAATAGGATCAGAAGAATGAACACCACATGGTTGTAAACCAACCACCATTCTCTAAAAATTTCTTTCTGATACACCATTCATTGTTCACGCAAAGTGGTGGTAAAATGATTTCTTTTCTCCTCAAATACCATTTGTAAGAATATTTTATTAACAGTCTTGTTATACAAAAACATGGCAGAAAAATTCCCTGAAGGTAAACCTCGGTTAAAAGAATCTGTTTCACGTGTTCTAACCACCTTCAAGAGATTCCTAAATACTGCGCTTCGATCCAAGCATAGCATACACATGCAGTTACCTAAGACGAATGTAGAATTTATTTAGTTTCAACAACCGCCTCAGTCTTATGTTGATGCTAATCCTCACGCTAACCCTTGGTCGGAAAGAAAAACTTACAAAGGACTCTACTTCCACCCGTTGCTTATCTGCAGTAAGGCGAATTACAGCAATGGGGATTTTTTTTCCTAATTAAAATCCCAGGCCTGAAAGAACAAAACCAAATACAAAATAACACTACTATTGATAATGATAAAAAAAACACGAAGCAAAACAAACAAAAAAAATACTACGATGGTCAGCGCCCATTATCCGCAAGCAAAATAAACCAAAATCTATACTCAAACAAGATCTAGAATAAGTTGCAAAAGTATAGTTGGCAGCCTCTCATTACTATGTAGTCTTAAGAGAAATAAATATATATCATCTTCTCTCGGTGGTCTACAACCCTTCTCGCAACATAAACAGAAATCGTCCATGCGATTCGTCTTTAACGTAAGCAACTTGAAAGACTCCTCTTTCAACCAAACAATGTTGAAAAAATAATTAAGTGACCACTAACTTAATGAGCACCAACATCGTCCACTACGCATTACGAAAATAGTCGATGTATACAACGGACGACAACAATGACGTGAAGCTCGCTACGAGAACAAGGATACATATTTATTACAATGGTAGTATCATAATTATAAAGAGTCTTATTGTCTCTGCTGCACTAAAGACTCTCCAAATATCTATACTTCAAACAAAATATATGTACACTTTTTTTATTACTGCCTCTGAAGTGCTTCAAGATCCAGTGCATAAGATCTTTAGCAAAAAGGCCAAAGTCATAAAATCGTTGTTCGCTTAATATACATGAATCGCTGAAGACAGCTTAAAGAGACAGTGTCACGGTTGGGCATGGGCAGCCGATGTGCCCACCTCTTCTGTGATTATTTTGAAACTTTCCGCTATCTTGAATATCGTCTGCGGAAATCCACTTGACAAAACAATAAGAACCATTTTTTTAATGAAGGACGGATGAATGGATCTACCGTTAAACTAATAATTTCCTCGATTGTCTTCTTTTCGTTTTGAATCACAAAAGCCAGTTTTACATGCTTGAAAGTATTGAAGTAAAGACAAAAAAAATTCCGGGATACCGATCATAAAAGATTATATTTTTTCCAAGAACACCATTAAACTATTATAAGATTGTTAAGTTAATACACACAACTTGCTCACAGATTAAATACATGAAACTGTTCTAAGCGGCAGATATAAATGACCACTGAGATTATCGACTTTTATGACGGGTGAGAGCTTAACATTTTTGCTTATTGTTAAAAGAAAACAGGATTTAACGCTTAAATCAACTTTCTATCTGTGATCCTCTATAAACCAGTAGGAGATAATTTCGACTGGTGTCGTATTCCGAACTCGATTAGAAAAATAATCTGTGCTATGTGTTATCTAGAAGTTTCTTGTGGCTGATTTTATAATAAAATACTTTTCCTTTCTCTGTGATGATCTTGTTTCGTTTCCTGCATGTCGTCATTATCTCACGTCCCTCATTTTTTGTCTGTAAGACGAAACCATAGATAAGAACCGTCACAAATTTTCGCTGGTAGTCTTCATGCTCTGTGATCAATCCAGTGAACTCGACTGTGACATTATTCTATGGAAAAAGAAGGACTTATGACGGCAATCCTGTCTAATTCTACGAAGATGTTTACTTTGTATCAAACTCATCGTCCATTAGTGACCCTGATTAGGGGATGAAAAAGCTGTTTGAAAAAAAGAATAAGAGAAATTTAAAAAGTTAGTTTCCGATCCGCTATGTTGACAGTGGCAGTGGCCATTTTCACTTATTTTACTGCTGGAGAGCAATTTGGGTGAACATTAGAAATTGCCACTTTTCACACTTGGTATGCAGTTTTTAAAGCTAGATTAGCAATTCGAGAAAAGAGTAAAGGATCATTATGAAAGACTGCTCGGTAATAAAACCGCATAAATTGCACGCAGTTTTTTGAAAGTGCCTTCAAAATTTAGCGACCAAGCCAACAACCTTCTTTGGAGTTTTTGAAATAAACCCCCTCACGATAAATGCCGATGCTAGTATAAGATTGTTCAAATTTGTAATGTCCAGTTGTCTGCCATACTTTATCAAATGTTGTACCGAACTTTCTCAGAACCTATAAAATCTATCATATAATTGGCTCGATCTTTAACATTGCCTATGTCTAGGGGCGGCAAACTGTTTTGAAACGTGTGAATGAGGGGGGAAGAGCAGTCGCCTACTAAGCCAAGCGTTAAAAAAAAAGTCCTACAACATATTACTGTACTTCGCTAAGTGCGGTGACGATGTAATAATTTGTGATATATTCACAAAATTTAACATTTTTGCCATGCATTTGTATGCAACGCTAACAATTTTTTTCACACCAAAATTGTTTAGAGTAGTCCCCCCCCCTTAAATTCCTTGTAGTAGTGGGCCGTGCCCTGTTCTGCCTGGTTTGCCGATGGCATTATGTCGCATCACTCTAAATGAAGGTAAAATCTTGAAATGGTAATCAACCGGGCCATCGGAAAATTAAAAACCTGGGAAAGGAGAGGTTACCAATATTGAACAAGGACATTCCAGGGTGGAATTTACTCAGGCCGCTTACCTTTTCTTTCCAAAGTTTTATTTTTCCTGTTCTGTTTTCGTCCAGAACCTTTGGCTGCTAGACGCTTTTCCCACTTTCTGAATTTTCCCACCCAGGCTCTTTCCCATGGAACAATCACGCCCATATCACGAAACAAATAGAGTTTGTTCTGTTCAGAGTCCACGTGACCGGCAACTAAGAAAGAAGCGTCTACCTTGGGGACCTGTGGACAGTTACATGTTGTATTCCTGTGCAGGTAAACAGAATCTCCCTTCTTCAAGTGAACGTAGCCTTTTTGTAGTATCCTCTGAATTTTTCCCTTTATTATTCCGCCACTTTCTTTCTCGGTAGTTGCTGTGATGAATATTTTAAGGACTGTGGACGGAATGGTGAATTCCACAATATTACAGAAGCAGTTCAATATTACGTCTTAAATTTTATACAGAAAAAGGGACAGACTTGTTTCTAGATTAAAATGCTAGATGTAGGTCAACAGTTTTTGGTGCTTCTTCTATCGACTATTCACTCAAAGAACTCATTCACTTATAGAACTCGGTGCAAGTAAATGGTTAGCTCTTATGGGCTTTGATAGGCATATTGGAAAATCCTGTTATAGGGTGAAAGAAGAAGGTATTTGCATGCCTACATATGTAGCCGCGCTTGTGGGATATGGCCATGTGACTATCATAACAAAATGACGAAAGAGTCATTGAGGAGAACAAAAGAAAGTATGAAAAGCGGCAACGGTACCAGAAACTAATTATAATAATAAAGATAATCCATGATGATCATCGTAATAAAAATCATAATAATGATAACTAGACGCATGATCTTTGTGTACCCCGACGCTCTTAAAATGGTTAATTATAGGCTAAGTCTACATACGGTTTTCACGCTTCTTCTACAAAAATTTATGGTGATGGAAAATCAACGAGATAAAGGTCCTGTGAAAACATTCGAAAAGCATGTAAAAAGTGTTACCCCTTTCACACACCTTTGCCGGTTCTAAGCTTTTTAATTAGTACTTCAGGTTTTTTTTTTATGAAAGATGAAAGCGTTTTAGGGAAGGTACGTTTTTTATTGGGAGAGGGGTGGGCCGGGGCTTCGGAGGGGAGGGTCATTAGTAAATATTTTACAAACTGGGGAGGGTCAAACCTGTTTGATACGCAGCCGGGGGAGGGTCACAGTTTTTTTTTTTTTTTTTAGCAAGGAAAAAACTACTCCATGTCGGTTAGTTGACTTTTAATTATTTGTTACCAAACACGCGAAGTGTATAGAAACCTAAAACTTATATATACAAGCAAAGCTACCAGTCAAAATCAATCTACATCATTTTAAACAGATGTCGAATTATTATGTCAAAAAACTATCTTGTCCCAACTAACGTAAACTGTCTCTCTCGACCCGTGCCCGCTTTCGTCCATATTTTGACGTCGGTAATGTTTCGCGGGGCTTTGGTATAAAATTAGTGTCCATCTGATAGGCTTAGCCACAAGTTGCTCGGCAACTTTCCGACAACTTTTGAGATTTTCGGCAACTTTTTAGAATTTTGGCAACTTTTAGAATTTTCGGCAACTTTGGGCATTTTGAGATTCTCTGAAGCCACTTTCTTCACGTTTTGAGCCACATTGGTCAGTTTTCAATAGAAATTTATTCAATTTATTCTAAAATACAATAATTAGGGCCCCCCCCTTGGGTTGATTTTTGTGATACCTTATCACGAGGTCAGCGGTATCACGTTGCACGTTTTTCAAGATGGCGGACAATTACAGTGACTATTTGTTGATCAAGTGAAATGGAAAGAACCTCTGATATTACCATTGGACTTTGACAAATAAAGTTTTGATAAGAAGCGATGTGCGAATTTTTAATCTTTAACACCTAAAAAAGGTACGAAAAGCAGGAAAATGTTGGCAACTTTTCAGCAACTTTTTGGAAATTCAGCAACTTTTCGGCGACGTTTTGAAAAAAATAGCAACTTTTAGACACTTTTATTGGCAACTTTTTTGGGATTCATTGGCAACTTGTGGCTAGGCCTACCATCTGACCTAATGAAATCCTCACATTCTCCGCAAGCGCATTTCCTTCTTTCTATTCCTAGCACATCCTTGCCCATTTTCAAGTTTTCACCGTGGAACGCCACGCAATTAACTGCTTTGTGCGCAGACACGGCTATGTGAGCAACACTTCCGGTCAGGTATTTTCACTTCCGGTTATTTTTGTTTTGGAAGAGGTGGGGGGAGGATCAGATCCTTTTGTTTAGGCATTTATGAAGGGTCTTGCATTAATCCAATCTGGAAAGTGGGAGGGCCACAACTTTCTTGGCAAAAAATTTCTAAAATACCCCGGCCCACCCCCCCCTCAATAAAAAACGTACCTGCCCTTAGGGCATGGATGGTCATTCGTGACTTAAGACAAACAAACCCTGAACTTGGGCCTCCAACGAAGTGCCTAAGTAGAAATATGATGGTAAACGTTTTCTGCCTTTGTCTTCCACGCACCAGGCATCACTCATGATCAGTACCCGCACCCCTGGATTCGTTTCCCTGGATACTCCATTGTCTGGTTCAACGATGTTTATTTCAACCGGGTAAAAAGTGAGAACCAAGACAACTTACCGAAATGATAAGAATTCCTTTTATATCGCTGGTAGTTCATACGAGGCCTGATGCATCTGCAGGATGACACTGTGACACAACAAAAGATGAAGATAAATAAAAAAAATTATACATTTGGCAACATGAAAGAGAACAAAAGAAGAAAGTGACTCTATTTATTTACAACTGTTCATGAGTTTTCGAAAAGCCTTCCCAGTAGAAAAACAAATACCATTGTAGTTTACAGAGTTTTATTTGCTAATCAAGAGATGTGAACTTTTGGAGGTTTTCTTTGTTTGCATAAGATCATTTTTTTTAGAATACTGCTGTCATTGTTATGACAGACAATTAACTGTCGCGCCGTCTACCGTTGGCTATTACGGTCTTAAGGGGCCCACCATTTAACTTTTGAGGGGGGGGGGTGATTTCTGGTCATCAATAAATTTTTTTCTAGCAATCTGCTGGGCAGGATATTTTTTTCCGTTCTAAACGCTCTCTTTTTTTTCTGTTACATTTGCGCTGCATGCAATTTTTTTCTTCCAACAAGCGCTTGCAGGAAATTGTTTTCAAAATCATCCACCCCCCCTCAAGAGTTAAATAGTCGGCCCCAAATTGGATATGGCTTTTATCATGTCAACTACGAATTTTAAGAGGGAGAGAGAAGTAACAAAAATGAACGATTCCATTTTAAGTCTCCTTTAAGGTCATTCTTTGGAAATTCAGTTACACAACGCTTTTCCCCGTTGCGTCCAAAATACCACAACGGCGAGCGTGTACGACGGCGATCAAGACCTGGGGGAATGGGGGGAGGTCACCGTCGAAAAGCGCGAAATATGGTATATCCTAAGAGAACAATAATAACGCCTGTTGAGGAAGCTGAGGGACGGGTTGGACGGGTGAACTCCAGCTTTTATCTTTCGTCGAACGACGTAGGACTACGAAGGTGTCATCTTGAACAGAATATCATAAGTTGTCTGCCTATTATTTTGTTTTGCTTTGTTTGCTTTGTTGTTGTTCTTTTCGTAGTTGTCTTTTTAGTTAGGTTCTGATAGTTTCATACTATCCTTAAGTTTATGATGATATCAGCGCACTACATTAATTTGGTACAACTCGTCCTTTAACTTTTCTTCAATTTCACAGATGCATTAAGAGTAGTTAAGATGGCTACCCTTAGAAATCAGTAATTGGTCGCCTTACGATAGCGCAACATTGACTTATCTCTTAATCAATACCTGAGAGGCGAGCTGATATCTATTACTCCAGTACGATATTTTGATTGGTTGATAACACTTAGTACCACTTAAGTATATGAACTTCAATTACAGTTCTAGCACTGACACCACTTACGGGAAGGTGGGCCATTGGATTTTTCTAAATTTCTGGGCTACGTTTTAGCAACGAAGTGACTCGTCCAAATTTTAAACAGATGGATTTCGAAATACTCGATTTTGCTCAGGATCGTTCGCAACAACCCTCAAAATATTACTTGGGTATCAATGCTTTTACAAAATACGAATGAAATAATATTGTGGGATCATCCTCTGACTGATCTTTTACACGCAATCTGCGGTGAAGGCGGCCACCGCTTGTCGGTTGGTTTAGTGTAACTCATTCCTTTCAGGCGAACCTTTCGCTTTTGCGTAAACTTCACAGCTCCCATTAGCACATATTAACGTATTTTTACCAAGTGGTTGTCGATATTTTTTTAATTTTCTTAAGCAATGACCAACGTAGCGTTTGCTGTCGAAATCGCGTGACGAAGTAATACAGAAAAACGCGTGATGACCCAACTCGGAATGAATACTGACTGTTGTTGTTTACTATTTTGAGAATGGAGCAAGGTATCGAGGGCTTTTCGCCAAAAATAAACATCGATTTTCCTTTACGCCCTGTGGTTAGCTTTTATACAGTTTTCCTTTCAAAGGCATCGCAATAGGTACAGTGTACTAAACATACTAAATTATGGCAAAAATTTTAGGAATGCTGTAGGCAAGTTTTAATAACTGTAATAATCGGTTTACCGCAATTTGCTCTAAAAAGGTCTTCATTTTCTAAAGCCAAGTTAATATATTTTCAATGTTACATCAAAGCAGAAAAAAGAAGATTAAGAAGTGAGACGTGAGAGTTAACGGACGGAAAGAATTGGCGGCAAATCAAGAGCAAATTGCACCCTTTATGAGGCTTGCTCTCCACAAATACTTAACTAAACAGTACAAAATCTCCTGAACGGAAAGAAGAGGGAGAAAATACTTCAAAAAAAGACAGTAACACAATTTAGCTATAAGTTATCCGTGCCACAGAGGTGAGGTTTGAATCAAATAAAACCTACTGTATGGAATTCGCACACTATGTCTGAGGTAATCCTTCAGTATTCAGTAAATTAGTTTTGGACTGAACCTGCGGAAAGACTTGAAATACCTCTTGAATACCCTCCGCACCCGCAAAAAAACCTGGAATGAATTTAGCCTTACAATTACCTCTAAAAAATCTAAATGAAGGAACAAATAGTTCTGAAAATATGGAGTATGTTCATTAAGTATATTATGATTCCCTTGCAACCAACACTTTTGGTTCGGATTTCGATAGCAGTGTCTAAAGATTTCAAAATCATAGGAGACGAAAGTATTCAGTCCTCATTGCACTCTATACCAGATATTGGGATCAACAAGCAACTTTCACACGTTTCTTAACTTTGCGTTAGATTTTTTTAAGTGGATTTCGATAATTTCCTGTCTGCCCCATGAACTCTGAGAGGAAGAACTTCTCAAGAGCTGTTATCTCAAGGACACGATGAATAAGACGTGATTTAAAGACATCACGCTATTCCTGCGCGCGTGTGGGAAACAAGTCCGTTGTTCGTAAACTCTGCTGGCTTAATTACTACATTGCTGAACCTAAATACGGTAGTCTAATATAACCGCAAAGTGGAAATTTATTTATAGAAACTGTTAGCTTTATTAAAACTTTTTTAAGACACGGTTTTGGTATTCAAAAACATGACATGATTTTGGATTTGACCTTTCCATCTATGAGACAATTTGTTAGTTCTAATCGACGATGTTCACAAATGTTTACAATTCAAGTAGACAGATAAAGAAATATTTCAACTACGAAAGCCATACGCGACCCCAAGAGGCATATTCAAATGATGCACTCCAAAACTCCGGAGAAAAATTAATGGACTATAAATAAATGACAAGTCTGTCTTTCTTTACAAATAAATCCCCCTTGGAAGACTGCAAGCGCTCCTTGATTCGGAACGATAGAGTCACATAAAATTAAGGAAATGTGACCACAGATTTTTTTGGTAGTTTGAATATTTCTCGCCAAGAAAAGTTTCATTTCCTGTGAATTAATAGGAAAGTCAGCTGTGTTGACATAGGATTCTATGCCTGTACGGTTCCAAAATTTTATGAGTTTTTTTTAATTTGGCCATACAATTTGAATCGAGGTTAGAAATTGAATCCCGGATATCTTAATTCGTGGGTAGATGTAAGTCAAAGGGTGGATATTAAAGGAAACGGGCGAGTAGTGATTGAAAGTAGCGAGGCTTAGCTAATCCAGTTTTATTCTAGCTTTGAAAAATCCGCCAATCCAGTCAGAAACAACTGAAGTTGACAGTCAATTAAATGTTTGAAATTTCAGTTAACCAACCTGATAGGGTCAGTTTACGTGGCGTAAAATTTGCATAAAGATAAGTTTCAGAGGAGTGCATGCCACCAGAGGCAACCCATGACCCGTAGTGGGAGTCTTCGTCTATATAAACATTTTTTCATAAAGAGACGCCATATTTCGGAGCTTGCACACTAAATAAATATTTAAAGAAACGCGAGATTCCTAACGTTAATTATAACTGCATGATCATTCCTATCAGGCCCTTAAATACAGGGGCTGGCGACAAAGGACTAGATTTGTAGTATGCAAGATCAAACGCTTAGTGGACCATAGTGCAAATGAACAGTGAGTAATCCTGATGGGTTTTTAAGACGGACGATTAAGAAACAAAGAATGCAGACTTGATCTCACTTACCAGATTTAACAAAGGACGCAGGCTTGATGCAAACATCGCTTTCATAGGATGGCAGGTCCTTACAGATAACGTCTGGAGGCCATTGCCTGTTGTATTTTCTTATGGTAGGCATACACTCTCTCATGACCTTTTTGCAAACCGATCTGCACGGACGAATTGGCCTGGACTTAAACTCTGGTGCACAGATGGGTAAGTGATAGGCACAAAGGAAAAATCCTGCATCAGCTGAACAGTTGATGGCAACGATGTCACTGTACAGTTCGATCCTCTGCCTGCTGTAATGTTGCGTGAGATGTTCAAGCGCATTAGGAAACATTGTCATGTTGTATGGCAAGTGTTTCTGGCAAATTGGAATCTTGATGGGCTCACATGTTCGGCCTGCCAATGCGATCACAATATCAAAGCAAAATATGAAAAATCCCGTCAATAGATACATCTTGTTGCTTGTACTTTTTCGTCGTAAAATTAAATTATCACGGCCTACGTGCTGTTTAAATAATGGACTTAGTTATATTGTCGCAGCGCACACCTCTCCTTATATCAAGGAAATTGATTGTATCATTCGCTATTATCGGTTCTTGCAAGAGGATAACGCCGCCCAGTCGAGTAGGGATATGCCACTCTCTCTAAAACGTCCTGAAGGGTAAAGTATTAATTAAACCGGGCGAAATGGTAAGACCACGCACTTAATTGCCGACAGTTAACACGTTCCGCGGTGTTTATAAACAAAGAGCTTGACCTGCCTTATTTGAACAAACTGTGTTTCGTGATCTGCTAATGCATGTTGACGGCGTTAAGCTTTGATGTAACCTTGCTCGCCAGCGTCGCCAAAATTTTAGTGTTATTAAAGACTAAGCTTGGTTGCATTTATTATATTTGTCAATTCTTTGACCTCGTATATTCTTGAAAGTTATTTAGCGTTTTATAATATATCGCATAAAACGCTTCTAAGTGTCATAGTCTTGACGAGAATCAGTCATTTGTGAAGGCGGGACAAATATTCAGACAAAGAGCCTTTTTCATAGCCTTATCCAGCTATGTTTGGAACAAAACTATTCAGCAAAAGAGAAAACTTTTCTTTCTTCAACTTCCTGAACCGCGTCATAATTCAGAAGTGCTCACAGCATCCAGATATCAAATGCTTGAGTGGTAAATATGGCGTCAAAAATTGGCGGGAAAATCACGCCATTCCCTGTTGCCGCGTCGTTAATTGCCAGATGGAGGGAATGAAACGGACGTAGCTCGCGTGTCTGAAAGTTCCCGGTTCCTGAATAATTCAGTCATAGCACTGATCTAGATACTCTATCTTGGCAAACATGTGAAGTTTCCGGTATTGCCGAAGAACATGCAAAGCATTTCCATTTCCAAGCGAATGGTCATTCTAAGCTTCCTTTTGGAAGACATTTGGAAATTCTTGTCATGCATGATAAATCGCATGTAAGGCTTAATGACGTCATTAAAGAATTCATCTTGATAAATTTTTGCACGCTATTTTGACTTTACATTTATTCTGCCCGCTAAGATCTTTGAAAACACTACAAAGGAAACTGTTGGGGAGCTAAGTAGAAATATTTTATTTGATTAATGCTAAGAGTCTTAATCAAACTTTGAGAGAGAAAAGCTGTAGATTAAAGAAACAGAAGAGAGAATCCATTTTAAGACATCTAGAAAGAACTGATCCACACAATGTTCTCTGATTACAATTACATTCTTGCATGCAATCCTGCTTCGAAGTTAATTGAGATAATTTACGTTTTAATGTGGAAGAAATACTTAGCAAAACAACCATCCGTCGTTGAGTGGTCGGACGTATAATTACAGCTTCTCTTCCTCCTGTGGCACCTATATAGTAGTTTACGGGGTCACTTTGACGTTTTCGATGGCAGTGCTATAAGACCGTATTGCTTGAAATATAGCAAATATCACCCAACGGTTCTGAGAGACTTTTATTCCACTAGAAAATTGCCGGGGATTCTTAAAATAGATTTATTACTGTGCGAACCTGTCCGGTTCTATTTTGGAACTTGTTAAGAGATATTCGTGCCCCAGCGTTGTCATTGTGTTAAAATTGCCCCCTAATGAAAATGAATCATTGTTTATTTCTTGAAGTCACTTTAATAAGACTGACAAAGTCTATTGATTAGTTTAACTTTCGTGGTGCCGTCAGAGATGACATAAATTATTAATCACAAACTGAAATCTTCTTCTGAAGTAATACTGACATATAAGGTTGAACAGACCGATCAGCATAGTATGTTTTAGCAAATCTAAAACAGGCGAGGAACAGATGCTTAAGAACGATTCAGATTGATATTTTCCGTTTTCAGCCATTAGTCTTTCAGGATGATTAAATGAGCTATCTCTCAGTTCAACCTCAATCGTTCAATGCTTTTCGAACCCAAGCAAATAGAGGGAAGGAGTTTGTCATAAACACAAGCCTATTAAAAAAGCTATTTTCAGCGTATTACCGGCAATCATAGAAAGTCTTAAGATACAAGAATCATCGTTTGCGTGGGAACAACTTTGATTTTCCAGCATTTTGTAATAAACAGTGGGCACAGATTTTGTGGATGTTTATCTATGCGTTTATCATTTGTTATGAAAGAAGTAATATTCTCCTGATTATGCAGCAGTCTTCCTGGTGTCCTCATTTTAACCCCCGCAAAAATCTTTCGACGTCTAGCTGAATTTTTTTCACACAATCAAAACGTTTTAGCAATGTTAGACTTAATCGGGAAACTCAAAACAACACTGTTTATTTCGTTCCGTAACCTGTTGAAGGCTTCAGTAACTGACTTTTTTTTTTATTTCATATGAATTAATGTGCGTTTTTCGTATGAAGCGTTTATATCGAAAACTGTCTTGACCTGACAGACATTAACCTTTCTGCCACAAGTTACCTTTTTTCCGTTCTTAGCGGGCTAAATGGCATATATGATATTCCAAGATACTTGCTAATGGAAAGTGTCCAAGGTATTCATGATATAGTCTAATACGACTTATGAATACGAAGCATATAATTATCAAGAAATTTTCGATGTAAATCGGCTTTGAACAATTGTAAGTTTGTTTTTCACTTTTGGGCCCTAAAAAATTGTATGTAATCGAAACACTTGACCGCAATAAAAAATTAACGAATTTAAGAACAAGACCATAAATCTTCCCTAATCAAGTTAATGAAATGTTCAGTAAATACTTTGCTTCAGTCATGCAATAGATTTGCTATCACGCACATAAATATTCGATGTTTATGTACATCACTGATGAATACAAGACCGATTTAAGTCCAATTCGGACTTTTAACAACAACCGCGTATGCCTTACTAGCTTTAAAATCATTTATCATTTATACCAGACTTAAAAAAAATTCAGCGATGAAACGATGTAGTAAACAAATCCTCATAATTGAACAAGTGGCCTGCTCACCCAGACGAAGTGATTCAGACTGCACGCTTATCTGTTACTTCTGGGCTCACGGCATCGTAAATTTCAATCGAAAAGTCACGAGATTCGAAAATAAAATGTATTACGAAGTTTCACTTCAAATTAACTCCTTAATTTTATCCATGTGTACATAAAAACTCCATTTGTCTAAATGTGCAAATCGTGAAACCCGCTAGAATCAAAGATAAGCAACATATGATTCATTCCTCTATTGACTTGCCCAATGATCTCCGAAGTATCCCGAAGATCATATCAGTACACTGAATGCCTGGACGTCTTTCATAATTAATCTTTAGAGGGGATGCAATTGGCGAAAAATTTTTGGACGGTCAAGCCATATTTGTGTTGATCTGATTAATCAATATACCAAGGCAGGAGCCCTAGCTAGCCCATGGGTAATGGGCTCCTGACCAAGGTGTATTACTATCTATCGATTGACGTTATATTTCCGTAAGTAAGAATGTAAAGCCTTGACTTCAAGTAAAAAAAAAATTGTGCACTGTTTATTGTCTCTCTTAAATCAAGTAAATGCCCAGAGTGAAAAATTTTGTATGGGGTAAAAAAGCATTGCACTATCATTATTTTGATCTTTGTAACCCAACAGAGACGATAATAAAATAAGTTGGTTATGCTTTTTTTATGTATTGCATCGTTCCTTTGAAGCTTACTGTCTGCTACTTTGTTATATTTTCCTTTTCTTATTAGTATATTGTTTGGATTTTTATTCGTTATTTGTTTGTTTTCATCGTTATTAGTTCTTGAATGTTACAACCTTTTCATATTCATGTCTGTGTCTGTCACTTGCCCACTCCCTGCGTACCCCACTCTGCTCGCGGCCAAATCTGCAAGGCGTTCAACGCGTGTAATTAGGAAGCCTGTGTCTAGTTAAGATGGCGGACGAACTGGTGCAAAGGGCGCTTATAACCGGCAAGTTCAAGTGAAGACGAGATGTACCCTCTTTTGACTCAGAAGTTTGGCTGTTCTTTTTTTCGAAGTTATTTCGTTCGTTTGGCTCCAAGAAATTTTATGGCATACAGGTATCAACCCCTGCAATAACTGAAAAAAAGTATTTTTATATTTAAGGTTCAGTATGGTTCACGCAGGTTAGCCCTTGTCATATTGGACTAGCTAGAAAGATTTCTGCTCGAATTTTCGGAGACAACAGAACTTAACAAGATCTTGAGAGATACATTTTTATCTGTGTTCAATGTGAACAATTCATAGTTGCAATATTATTTGCCTTCTGCAATATGCTGCATATACAATGCGCTAATTCTGGTGAGGGCCCATTGGTAGCATCTGAGTATCCCATATCCTATAAATGTTTGGCATACATATCCTATTTCCTGTAAATTAGTGTAACTGTGGTTTGTATCCCCAAAATTTCAGTGCGTTATCCCAGAATCTCTTTTTAAATATCCCATATCCTTTTAATTTTTTCCTCAACTATTCTGTTTTCCTATAATTTTTTACCCCAGTATCCCTTATCCCAGTAACCCCATGATAGGGCCTATCTATGTGCACAATTAGTGTTTAGAGGAAACATGTGTACTTCACTAATGCTGGTAAGAGTACCCTGCACATGGTTGTTGTTCAATCACTTCCAGGAGGTTCTGGCTGATTTTAATTTTTTTTCATTCAAACTTTCTTTCCCATTGCTACAACTTTTCTATTTTTTTGAGTGATGCAATTCTCTTTTATTTGTAGCAGTAACAGACCAACAGTTTTTAGGGAACAACAATTCTCAAAAATCATTGTAAAATGTGCTTCAAAAAATACTGGAGGGGCGTACAGATGGAGAACTTTGCATGTCTGGAAATTATTGGAACAGAGACCAAATTCTTATTTCAGTTGCTGGTGTCTTCTTAAGTATACTGGAGTCTTAGCTGTTGGAGCTTTAGTTGTCAGATCAAAGGTTTCTAATGCCTACTGTGGGCTGAAGTTGAGTCACAAGTCATCATCACACCTTTTGCAGAGCAAAGACAAAGATGGGGAGAGGTTGCAGCCAAAATTTGATTTCAGGGAATTTTGGAAATTCTTGTGGCCTGATATTTGGCTTTTACTATTAGCAAGTGTGAGTGCTTTTGCAGTTGCCATGGTGAACATTGAATTGCCGCTGTTGCTTGGGAACCTTGTGAATGCAGTTTCCAGTCTAACTAGTGGTAATCATGACACAGACATAATTCAAGTATTAAAAGAACCTGCTATGAAATTGATTTCACTTTATGGGGCTCAGTCATTCCTCACATTTGCTTATATCTCATTCCTTTCCTGTTTGGGAGAGAGACTTGCAGAGCGAATGCGCAATGCTTTGTTTGCGTCATTGATACGACAAGACATTGCTTTCTTTGATGATCATAAAACAGGAGAGTTAGTCAACAGGTATGTTTCCTCTTGCTAAGAGTTGAATGGCAAAAACATTTTTTTGTATCACAGAAAATCTTCAATTTATGGTATGTACAACTTTAAGGTATATGAGAAAAAAGCAAGCATACATTGTAAGAAGGTTGATAGTTTCTGAAAGAAACTGTTTGGGGCTGGGTCGGTGGGAGTAACGAAATAATTTGGATATATCAACAAAGTTGAAATGGTAAATTGGCCCCCGTAACGATTACAAAAGCTGACGTTTCGAGAGGTAGCCCTTTGTCGGAGTGAATAAATTATTGAGATAAATTATACATTGTAAGAGACTGTGTGTCTAAGGTGATAGCATGACACGCAAACCATAACTTGAACATAATTATTATAATTTTACTTTGAAAAACCAACATTTCTCAACTACCGATTCAGTAATGTCAATACTGGGGTCCAATCGTCTATCAGGATGAATTAACATTTGCTCAGTTGATATATTATTTTTGTTCACTCTGAAATTTAGGTCGAAGGATTGAGATAAGATAAGCTGTATCATGCACACGTTTTGACTGGTTCTTTCCTAGAGGATAGTCACCATTACCAACATTTTGCCTTCTCTATAAATTATACAAAAATGGAGTCCATATGTTGCTGTGGGTCTATACAATAGTATATCACAGAAGAGGTCAAAATGTCTTCTGTGCTTTGTGCCCTAGCATCGTTCTGTTTCCCCAAACTGAATGCTGATTATTTCTTGTATTTAAAACAAAGGCTACATATTTATAACTTTTGCTTTAATTCATATCATGGAAATCTTGCTTTGAAGGTTGACTACGGACATTCAAGATTTCAAGAGTGCCTTTAAGCAGATAATTTCCCAAGGTCTGCGCAGCACTACTCAAACTGTGGGCTGTGTGGTATCGCTTTATGTGATTTCACCTAAACTGACAGGCATGATGATGGTCATCTTACCAGTTGTTATCATTGGTGGTACTTTATTTGGCTCGCTGTTAAGAAGGCTCTCCAGGGCTGCTCAAGCACAGGTTGCAAAGGCAACTGCAGTTGCTGATGAGGCTCTTGGAAATGTGCGAACTGTGAGGGCATTTGCTATGGAAGAGAAGGAAATTAAGTAGGATCATAATAAATGTGCCTTATTCACCAAGGGTCAGGTCAAGATGGCTAAATATTGGCCAAGTTCTTTTTTGGGTTTTTATGGACTGAGACAAAGTCAAGGTTTATAAAAACATAAAAATGCAGAGCGAGCCTAATATCCAGCCATCTTGACTGAACAAGCTTGGTCAATGACGAATTATTATTACAGACCGAGCTAAAAGATGTCACTTTAATAAAAATCAAGAATGACTTAATATTTAATTTGAGAGCTGGGAAAGAAAGCCAACTGTGTTTGAGGCCCAATAAATTTTGGTTGGGTGTTTGTTTTCTTTGTTTCAACTGTCTTCTGCCACCTTTTGCAACTCCATCGCCAACATTGTACACAAGTTACAAACACTTTAAGTCTGCTCCACACACTTTTTTCTTACACAGGATCAAAGAGGGAAATCTGGAGCAGGCAAGATAGGCCTATCTTGCCTGCTCAGTAGCAATCAGAACACAGGATTTGCTTCATATAATGCCCTTGGGCTGTGTAATAAGTGGCATTATTTTGTTACAGTAATTGCTAGCAAGTTATAAGAATTGTGACAGTCACCACATTTACCCTCACAGACCATCTTTTAATACATCTTTGCTAAACAGAATTACATGTTTAGATGGGCATCCCCTCAGATCCTCTTACTTTCTGAAAGGTTCAAAGTGAAATGATGAAGGATAATATGGCAAATACATGAATTGTAAGAAGATAAAAAGCTTTGTCTTGCACACACTACTTTCATATATTGGATTAATAGGTTTCTTTAAATTTGATTTTAATTTGCAAATTAATTTTTTTTCAATTTTTTTAAAATTTGATAGTGTCTGTAAAGAAGAAAAGTTAAAATGTATGAGAAAATTGTAGATCAAGTATCAGAATACTAAGAAATAGACTAAGTTTAATTCCTATTGTAATTAATATAATAAAACTATTAATAAAATCATTGGCACTAATTGGATCATTTAACCTAACAATCAAAATTTTCTCATAGCTTGTATCAAGATGAAGTCTCTAAATCCAAGACACTGAATGAGATGTTAGGTGTTGGAGTCGGTTTGTTCCAAGGTTTATCAAACCTGGCTATTAATGGCTTGGCACTGGTAGTGTTGTATTATGGTGGATCACTTCTCGCTTCCAAAGAAATGGAACCTGGAGACTTGATGAGCTTCCTGGTGGCTACACAAACCATTCAAAGGTACATGTATGTTCTATAATACAGCCCATTCATAGGTACATGTATGTTCAAACATTCAAACACCTCTGGCTAACATAGTCTAGTACATACTAAATAGTGGATAGCTTTGAAGGAGCACTCAGATTGGCTACTCAAATTCTGAATATCCTTTGCTATTCACCTCTAAACAGCTCAGGCAGATTATGATCCTGTTGTTAATTATGGTTTGTGTTCTTTGTCATTGACCAAGCATTTTCCTCCAACTTATGGCCTGAGCCTAAGATGGGCAGCCCGTTAACTGAAGGGGAAAAAGTAGGATCAATTTTGTAACTAACAATATGGGTGGAAAAAAACTACAGACGATTGAGAGATGTCTGCTTTATTTCTGGTGTGAGTCTGACAGGTTTGGAAAATATTTCTAGTCAATGCAATTCAATTTATTTAAATGACTGATAGGCAGTGAGAACAGAATGAGTAAGACTGACACTTTTTCTCAGGCTTCAGCTCATATATAGCTCAAAAACACAATCAATAAAATTAATTGAAATTTTTCATTGCCTGGGAAATTTAATAAAATGTATTAAAGAGAGATTTTGGCTGCAAGAGTGCAACAACTAAATAAGATCAAGACAAAACCCACTGAGCTTTTTTCCGAACTCAAACCCAGCCAAGTCTGCCAGTAAGGCTGTATGCTTGGCTATTGTAACAGTTCCAATTTTTTCAGAGTTAATTTTTTTTCCATTTTAGATTTCAATATAATATTAAATAAAAACAAAGAAACATAAAAATTGAACTGGTCTGAACAAATTTAAACCAGGATAACCTTTGAACCTTAACATCTATCCTGCTGTGTTGTGGGTTTGTAACAAACACTTTTAGTTCTAAAGCTATTAATTTTCTTCTTTACAATGTCAGGTCTTTAGGACACATCTCTCTCCTGTTTGGCCAAATTGTGCGTGGCATGAGCTCAGGAGCGAGGGTCTTTGAATACCTAGCAATCAAACCTGCTATACCAGTAACAGGTGGTAAACAAATCCCACTTAAGAACATACGTGGAGAAGTTAGCTTTAAGGATGTCACTTTTGTGTACCCTACACGACCCACACAAACTGTTCTTAAAGACTTCTCCCTGTCGGTGCCAGCTCGTAAAATGGTAGCTTTGTGTGGAAGTAGTGGAGCTGGAAAGTCAACAGTAGCGGCCCTGTTAGAACGTTTTTATGATGTGAAGAGTGGAAGTATTGCTCTTGATGGTCATGAAATAACTTCCTTAGATCCAACATGGCTGAGGGGACACGTGATTGGTTTTATTCATCAGGTATTTTTAGACTGCAAATAAAAGTAGGAGGTCATTACCAAGAACCAAATTGCCGTACAAAGAGATTTTGAATGAAACTAGTTTGTTATTACAACCAGAAAGCAGATAGTTGTGAAAAATTAGTTACATGTTAAGTTCTGATTATTGATAATACAGTTGTGATCCAAATGTTGTTTCTGTTCACCCATTCCTTTAGCTGTTAAAGTCAGTGACAACTTTTTCTTAAAATCATTCATTTATTAAGAATAAAAATGTGACGGTAAATGATAAATAATATTAAGCATGACCTATGAGATGTTGCAATAATTGTGATATTATTAGGGATAAGGGTAATAATGATGTTTGATATTTACCAGGATGTTTGCACCACATACCTTGGTTTTCAGCAAAAAATAATGAAATGATATTTGTGTTCTAAAAACATTAAAACATGTATACTTACAATTTCATTTCCAGCCAGCATTCTGCTATTATTTTTGTGTTTTGTCCTTTACATTTAGGAGCCTGTGCTGTTTGCAACATCTGTTTTAGAGAATATACGTTATGGCCGGCCAGAAGCGACAGATAATGAGGTATATTTGATAGACAATACCTTGTGCTATGATCATTTTCTGATAAATTCATTGATTTTTTATCACATCCTTTCCTTTGACTTTCTTTTTATATATAAATAAGGTGCTAGCAGCAGCTCAGCAAGCAAATGCTGATGGCTTCATCAGAGGTTTCCCTGAGGTAACTGATTGCACTGTATACTTTTGATTGCTTTAATCCTTTTGAATGGCTTTTAAACTTTCAGGGTGACGTCGAAAACAGCCAATTAATTTCTTACTATTGTTTCAAGATAGTTATCATGCTTGTGGTAGGGAAAGTGGGTAGCAACTAAAATGACAATTCTTTATCCTTTTTAGACATCAAAGTTTCAATTGAAGGCAACGGTTTATGCACTAGTGTGTATTACAAACCTACAGACTCGCATAATTACTTGTTATATTCGTCTTTGCATCCATCTACGTTAAGAATTCCATTCCTTTTTCTCAGTTTCTAAGACTTCATCGTTTATGTAGTGATGACTCTGATTTCCACCACAAATCGCAGGCAGCCCAAGCTCACTTCTAGAAAAGGGGACGTGACTCTTAACGTGTTGCGCAACGTNCTAACGTTCGAAACGTCAGCTTTTGTAATCATTATGGTGGCCAATTTACCATTTCAACTTTGTTGATATATCCAAATTATTTCGTTACCCCCACTGACGCAGCCCCAAACAATTTCTTTAGAAACTATCAGCCTTTAACTAAAATGTGAATCTGGATGAACTTACCAGTGCATTTTTCATCAAATATTTATAATGAGTTTTCAACCTTCAATCCAAAGTAGAGGATTTTTTTCTTTTTCATCTCAGTCAGTGGTTAGCATTTACACTTTTAAAAATTTAAACCCAACTTGTCTTCACAATTTTTCCATAGAGGCCACACTGTGTTTGTGGAAGGGTCAACTTTCGCTAGGTCTTGGCATGAATAATTTGTATCATGCCATCGGAGTATCCATGCAGATTGAAATTAGTGACCTAAGGCAACATTTGTGAATTATGTTTTGATAAGACTTAAGTCTTTGGATAACTTTTGAACATCCATTGGATAACATTATCAGCCGATTTGAACAACAGGGTCCTGAAGAATAACTTATAGTGCATGCAGTTCCATTTAATTTATTAAGGATTTTTTTCATTTTTAATAAATACTATTATAATAAAATGAGTTTTTTTGTCACTTGGTTTTCAAGGTTTTACAGCTACTTGTCGCGACTAGCGCTAATCTGACTTCTTCCCACAGGGTTACCAAACTGTCCTGGGAGAGAGAGGTGTGACTGTGTCAGGAGGACAAAAGCAAAGGTGTGTAGCATTTAAACTTCAGGGAGCATAAAGTAAAAGGTTTCAGTCAGCTTTTTGCAGTTTTTGAGAAGAAATTCTCAATTGAGACAAAAAATGTTTATAAATCTTTTTTGTTACTTTGTTTGTTTGTTTGTTTGTTTGTTTGTTTTTTGCTAGGATTGCAATTGCCAGGGCACTTCTAAAGAACCCAGCTATTCTCATCCTGGATGAAGCAACAAGGTATTTTAAGTTTGCCTTTTGGCAGGGTAGTTTATTAGCTGCAGTAAGATGGCTGACTAAGGGGGGTTTTCTCATGCTTAATTGTTCAGTTATCTATTCAAATCAAATCATTATGATTATTTGGTTACAATGAATATATGAAGTTAAATATATTTTGAGCTGCATTATTAGATACGTAGATATGTAGATCAACTTAATGGCCTGCTCCACGCAGTTGGCTTGTTAGCTCAATTGGTAGAGCACTGCACTAGTATCGCAGAGGTCAGTGGTTCGAATCCCATACAGGCCTGATATTTTTTTCTGGTCTGATTTTCGCTATTGCATAAAAGGCGCTCTCTACTGTGAGGATCGTGCATCATATGCATTATGATTATTATTTACAAAAATTCATAAAATGATGGACATTATCCCCAGGCTATCAAGGATGCTCCCTGAAGTAGTTAGCATTCCTGAAGTTCAGTGAAAGTTCTGCTTTTTTGATACTAAAGAATCTGCACTATTGATTTATTAATAAATAGAAGTGAATGTAATTTTACAAATAATTTGTTGGGCAATTATTTGTGTTAAGTGTCATCTTTCATTTACATCCAGTGCCTTAGATGCAGAGTCTGAACGTGTTGTACAAGAAGCTTTGGACAGAGTTACCAAAGGTTTTAAATTTACTTTTAAATTAATTCCTAGCTGCTGTACAGTTAAGTGAATATAACGTTGACCAGAGATTACAATCGTAGTTTATTAGTAGAGGGGACATGACAACCTATTTATGAGTTGCATATGCTACTCAAACCATTAGTTGGAGATTTCATGGGTTAATGTTTCAAGATACCCTTTTATGTTTACTGCATTCACTTAACAAAGTGGGCGGTGTGTGTGGAAAAGGTATTTTAATGTGCCTAACAGGGTGAGTTTAGAGAGAAAGTAGAGAAAATATATATTAACTAAAGTTTTCTACGACCTAAAGGTCATTCTCCATAGTGAAAAACTGCGACCTTAGGCTTAGATGTTCCTGTAGTTCTGCCAAAGTTTTCACAATATAATTCCAAGACCTCCCAGCTAGCAGTAATAAAACAATCTATCATTATTATTTTGATGTTTCGTAAAGCCTGTAGGAATACTTCAAGTTGATTAATCTAAAGGAGAAAACTAATCTTGTCCATCAATTTCTGTTTTAGGCCGCACTGTCATAGTCATTGCTCATAGGCTCAGTACCATACAAAATGCTGGTAAGTTAATATGAAGTTGTCCATGTAGCTTTCTTTTGTCATATGATTCTTCTGACCAGTTGTTGTGAAAACATTGAGAGATTTCTATACAAGAAATTGAAAATTGATAGATAAGGATTATTATCTGATCATATGATAAATGTTTTTGAAGGCCCTTCAGGCTATCGCATCAGTCTGAAGCTACATGTGACTGGCATCATTTTATTTATTTATACATTTGATATTATACTGGTATTTGTATTATTGATGATCTCTGGTGCTGGCCTTATCTTGAATTGCAGGATCATAACCTGAATATTCTCTACAAAGACTAGCATTTGCAAGTTATTTTGTATTATAATTAATAATTTTGACTGATATGAATGAATGTATAACTTTGGGTAAGTATGATGATGAACTTAAGAAGGTTTCATTCATATCAGTACTTTATTATTCACCCAACTCTGTTGTTGCAGCTTTATTAACTTCTCTTTTATATTCAAAACAGATTTGATTGTGGTTCTTTCTCATGGTAACATTCGTGAGGTTAGTTTTTCTTGCAAGTATGACATTGTTTTTTTAAATTAATAATTGCATCAGTTTCTGTGACTTTCTTGTACTTCCTCCTGGTTAGCTCAATGGATAGAGCGCTGGACTGATGTGCGGGAGGTCGAGGGTTCGAGCCCAGGCTGGACCAACACTCAAGGTCTTAAAATAATTGAGAAGAATATGCTGCCTTTCTATAACATCAAGGAATGGTTTAGATATTCTTATTACTAGTCTTCTCGGATAGGGACGAATAAATGGAGGTCCCGTCTCCTGCAGGGTTGGGGGTAGGAGATGTTAATTTCCCACACACAAGATTACTGTGTGATGGGTGTCCTCCCCTGGGGTGCTATGGGTGGGTTGTTGTCTTGCATTTCATACATGAGCCTCTGGCTCAGGCAATATGGGTTACCATGCCCCATGTAAAGACATTAAACTTTGCTGTTTGATTGCTATATCAGGTGTATCCCTGGTTAAAGTATTTTCATCTGATAATTTTCCCATACACTTTGTGTAAAAAGTTCCAAATAATTTTAAAGTGTGTTTTTAATTTATGGTTCTAGTTAAGTTTTTTGCAGTAGATGTAGTTGTTAGGGTTGTAGTGCTATTTTTCACATTGAAATTAAGATCTTTCCTTGGAACTTAAAAGATAACTTAGGTCTTTCAAAGAAAAGAAGTGTTACCACTAACAATTAGTACTTAAGTGGCAAAGTTCAAATTCAAACTGGTCCAGTCAGTCTAAGCATCTGTTTTAAAGTGCATATGACATAAAATTTTTTTCTCTTGTTTCTTGTAGTTGGATATATTATATAGAAAACGTTTCGAAGCTTTAAAAGAGCTGGAAAAATGTAAAAAGCATTTTTTTGGCTTTTAAAATGCATGCAATTTGCCTTCAAATTTGTCCCGAAGACTGGGACCTAGTTTATGGCCGTACAAGTTATTCATGACGTCACATTGTGTACCTTTACCGCGAAGGTCTGTTGTTTCTTAGAGGATTCTGCAGTACTTCGCAGTAGATAGATAGTGCATCAAAAGGCAGAGATGTTCAGTGATTCTAATGATTCTTTTGAGTCCGACTCTTCTGAAAGTTCCATTGACTTTGAAGAATCTGGGTACACAATGTGATGTCACGTGTGATTTTGGCAGCGTGATGACCAGGACAAATTTGAAGGCAAATTGAGCGTATTTTGCAAGCAAAAAAAAAATGCTTTTTTGACTTTTTCAGCACTTTTAAGGCTTCGAAACATTTTCTATAGATATCCAACTACAAGAAACAAGAGAAAAAAATGTGATGTCATAGGCACTTTAAAAACAGAATATGTGAGACAGATAGGTTTTAGACCCAAGATGGATTTCTCACAACTATTACTGTGAATTTAGGCTTTTTCATTTAAAAATTATAAGATACAGCATGTTGATTGTAAGTGGCTTTGCTATGGTAGGGTGTTGAACCTCAGCTCACTTCAAAAATGAACTTTAATTTGTAATAGGTGGGAACACATAAAGAATTGATGGCTAGAGATGGACTTTATGCAGACCTTGTACGACAGCAAATTCAAGAACAGGATTAACTTAACTAGCATGTGCCCCAATATACACTGAATTACAAGAGCTGAAACCAAAAGATGCCATTTTTCTTGGAGCAGTGTTAGTTTTACCCCAGTGCCTAATATTGTGGCTTAGATCCATTTGATGAGTTCACCTTGAGGTTCCTTTAAGCCAGTAGATTCCATTTGAAGGAGTATTGTGAAATGTTTGTGGTATTTTACATTTCTTTAAGGGGGTAAGCTTTTAAAGAAATTGTGGTGCTGCATCAGTGGGGGTATTACAAGATAATTTGATTTCCTCCACTGAGTTAATAAATATATGTAAATTGCCCACTGAAAAGAGTTCTTAAAGCTGACATTCTGAGCACAAGCCCTTCATCAAAGCAAATATATAATTGTTTGAAATCAAATAATCCATCTGGTGGTTCAGCTTCCCAGATACATAAGTGCAAAATTAAAACAACAGATATGACTTAGGAATTCCACCATTCCATTTTAGGTGATATTGTACATGGGATATTTTGTTTGGGTGAAGAATGTAATTCACAATAAGTGCCTGGGAAAAGAGGCTCACCCCATATTAAATAGGCTGTGATATTCAGTGTATTAAATTTCCCAGGTTTTGGTTTTACTATTGATGTCTAGGATCAAACTCTCCTATAATTAAATAGGAGAGTTTGAACCTAGACATCAATACTTAAAAGTGTCCAGGGATCTCTTTAAGGGTACTGTTGTAGTGAGAATGGTCTGAAAGGAAATCACAGAGGCAACAGTTAGAGCTTGCAACTTTTCTACTGACTAAAAGTGCCTCTTGATACACCTTTTCAGGAACAGAATTTTGCAAAAATGTCACTTCCTTTTGGTACATGTGATTCCTGACCAGTTTATTGTTTCTCATGACTTTTAATTACTGTAGCAGCCTTCTGGACATTGATTGGATAATCATTCTGTTTATTCTAGTGAATAGTGAAACATGTAACTTCTTACTCTATAATCATGACCACAAGTTATGGTAGGAGATAACAGGTAGACTTGAAATTTAGAGTCACAACTTAAAAAGAAGCACTGTTTCATAAAGGCCTTGGATGTCTCCCTTCTCCAAACAAAATTCAGCATGGCACAGTTTACAAAACCAGTAAATAAAATCAATGAAGTTTTTATAATGACAAGCAAAACATATTATTATGACCTTGGCTTGAATTGTTTGAGTTATTATATTAAAAGTAAAATTATCCTCATACAGTCATAAATTAAAAAGTGATATGAATGAGATTAGTATTCAGCAAAAGTGAACAATGGGCACGTACATGTGCAATTGTTGCATCAATGTTATAAATGGTTCGTAATAATCTTTTTTTTAAGTTTCAGTGCGAATCAATAATAACAGATTTCATCCCAGTAGTACATGAACATGAACTCTAGTCTAGTTGCATACACAAAAACCATAACCTGAAACTCCTTTCTGTGTTACCTAAACACACTTCATAATCAATAGTAAATTTACACCCTGCTTTTAACCACAAAGGCAGCAAATCTGCTCTCTAAAATGAGTGTGAAAATTAAAAAAAATTGATTTAAATGCACACTAATGTAGTTTTGATTAAATGTTCACACATCAGCTACATGTAGCTGAGTGTCATAGTTATGTGTGAAAATTATAGAGAAAGACACAGACAAGTTTTGAAATCTTTCCTAGAATGAAGGGCTCTAAACTGAGAGCATGATCAAGGAAATGAGCTTTCCCTTCATCATGATGGTACTTTGTTGCCATGAGCTTTAGAAATTTAGACCCTTAAGAGTGGCTTGCATCTTCTGTTTTTTTTTAGAATAACACCATGCAGAGTCAAACATTGAGGTCAAGAGAATAAGGAAAATAATTACTGACTAAAAAAGCTATAGACTGATAATCACTCAAATTCTCTTTGTCAATTCCATGTGAAACTCATTGTTGTGTTGGTAACATGCCAATCATTCAGTGTTGGAATGTGCACAATTTAGTGTATTAAATAATTTTGTGTCTTTTTGCATTTGTTTGTTTATACTATTCATTTTGTATAACACTTGTGTACTTGCTGTGTAGTAAGGAATTGGGCTATTAAAACTTCAAGTTCTCATGGTAAATATTGTCTCTATTCTACAACACTTAAAGAGATCACTATGGAAAGTAAGTATGCTTATGTTAAGGTGTAAAGCAGTAACCTTGAATGATACAGTTAACAAACTACATGTAACTGCATGTTGTAATCAATCAAACTTTGTATATATTACTTTAACAAACAATACAATAATTATTATCCTTCAGAAATCCCCTTAATTTGGGGAAACCTTGCAGATACAAATTCACAACCTCCTTTCCTTTTTATTTTAAGTAGTTGTAGTAAAATGTTACTTGGAATCTAAACCTTCCCTATTTGACTCCAAGCAAGCATTAAAATGTTGCATTTTTCTTTAGGAAACCTCAGTTCACGTCCACTCATTCGACACTGTTCTAATTCCTTTAGTGCCTTATCAAGCTCCCTCTTGATCACTCCTTTTTGTTCTTGTTCACGAGATATCCAGTCCAATGCCATTTGACTTCTCATCTCATCATCGATAGTTCTTTCTGCATAATGCTCCAACACTTCCTGTCGAGAGCAGTTCCTATCCCTCATTGCTTTCAAACTGCCATTCCAGTGAAGTAACTGAAATATTGTCATAAGATCTTGGAATTCCAACATAGTTTTTCCCTTGTTTGATTCCAGCATAAACCGGAATGCTCCCACACCAGTGTTAGGATCTTTAGAGCTGTCTGCACCCAGATTTATTGTTCTTCTCTTCAAAGCAATCTGCATTTCTGTGGACTCAGCTTCTTTGACAGCAGACTCCACAAAGTCATCAGTGATTTTTCTGTTGAGGACAAAAATAATAATGCATTTGGATATAACTCCCTGATTTTTTTGGCCTTGAAGACAACATTTTCTCTAACATTGCCCCCAAAGTCAAGCCACTATTGGTAATAGAACTGATTGTAGTCAGTTTAGTTTCTTAATGTTATGGAAGCATTGATCTAAAGTTCCTTTACAAGTAGCAGATGTATTTAAACTATACCAAACGACTACTCTCCAGAGATATAGGACCCCACAAAGTGAATCTTCCAGGCTGACAACCACTTGCCTACCATACATCCTAGCCAGAGGTACACACATATATGGCAAAAGAACTACCCATACATGTACAAACAGTGACATGTGTGAGGCCATTAGACCTTGTATTAACTCTTGTTTCATTGCTTGGATTATTTAATATTCCTTGTCATGAAAATTTATTAAAATTAACCAACTAAAGCATCAGTCTTACTTCTTACAAATATTAGGACATTTTAAATCACTGGTAATCAACTTTCATTTCAGTCAATTCAAATCTATCTCTGAGTACTACTTTCTATCAGATTTTCAATTCAACTCTGCATGAAAATCTGGGTCGAGACATAGAGACTAGCCTTAAACACTACAGAAAAACCAGATTGCTATATTGACAACTGGGTGACAAGTTTTAAAGAATATTTTTCAGTCAGTTTACTATGAAATGCCCTCAGAAACAGACATCAAATAGAAGGAAACTGTGAGGTTTGTGGTAAATAAATTGTTAATTAGTAAATGAGATGCTGTTGACTGTATTACCTGGAAGGATGCTCATTAAACACAGAGTTCATTAAGGCAATCTTTGCAGCACTTCTTCGTGCCTCAGCTTTGGTTGGGCATGGTTGAAAACTTCCAAAACAGCTGCCACCAGGGAGACTAACATAGCAAACATATGGAGGCTTCTCAGAAGGCTCTGGCTCATAAAGAACTGTGGGGCCACCTTTGAGAGAGACACCTCGTGTTTCCTTCATTTGCCAAAATTCTTGTAATGCTTCTACAACATTAACTGAAAAACAAAGTACACAATATAATGCCTGAATCACACATTAAAGTCACAAGAAGAAAGTTTGTCAAACAAATCAAACTTATCAGCACCTTGGGAAATGTATCGAGAATATCCCTACCCACGTTGGGGTGAAAAGAGTTAATTAGGTGAAAACAGATAATTATCTATACTCCTAAATCCTACTATCAACTTTAGCAATTAAGTTTCATACCAATTAAAGTGATTCAGGTGGACTTAGAAAAACTAAATAAAAACTTGAGGTGTTAGGGTTACAAAAGCTTTATTGAGTGATGGAAACTATGTCCGTAATTGTTTAATTTTTAGAAAATGTAAGCATTATTCTCGAGTCTGTCATTTTCAAGCAACAGTGATTAAATCTTAACGACCACCAACAAGCTTCACCACCTTTTGACTCAATAGCCCTTATCGCATTGGTGTCTGCAATGAAAAGGGTCTGTGGAGTTACAGTTTAAGGATGAGGCTATCGGGTCAATGTTTCTCGAGAATAACCAGAAACAATCCATGTCTGACCATATAACTCTGGAATTTGTGTTTTTTTCTGCCGAGGAAAAGGTTAAAATTCTTAGTGGTAATTGTCCTGGCATCACGAAAGGAAGATTGAAAGAATGGCTGTCATTTCAGTAAGGAATGGCAAAATTTTGTCGCGTTTGTTCATGACTACCGTTGTTGTTTCTTTGTTGGCCTTTTTGAGGTTTAACTCAGAGTCATGTTTCAAAGCCCTTAGTGCCTTGCATTCGGCTGGAAGCAAATTATCTTTTGGCTTGTAATTTCTATTTCTGAAAGGTCACTTTTAACTTCTTCTAAATAGCTTTCAAGGGCTACTGATTTTTGTATTGGTGGTATCCATGGCAGGGAGAGGTTTTTTTGTCCTCCCCTCGGAATGTGTAAATCAGACGCATTCTCCTTGCAAACTGATCAAAGTCAAACAATAGTTGTTGTCTGATCTGTTTTTGTTTTGTAGTGGGTGTTGGAATGAATTTAAGCCCTTTTGCCTGTAAATTAATCTGGTCATTTGTAAGTTCTTTATTTGAGAAGTTTTTGAGCATTTTGTTCGCCTCTAGTTTGATAGTTCAACGTGTTTGGCAAGACCGCGGTTTCGATCCTAATCTTGTGGATCTCGTCAGTTGCCGATTCACTGAATAGACTGTTGCACCCTTATGCAATACAATGTCCAACCATGACGAGAACACGCTGTATCCTTAAGAAAATGAATAAAAATGCCTACAAACGTACCCGTTTCCTTCTATTTTACTTGAAAGTTTTACCTGTGTGACCCGATAGCCTCATTTCAAAACTTCAGAGTCTGCTGAACTCTCGTACACTGGGCGTAAATGCAATAAGGGCTATTCAAAATCTAAATACAAATTGATGTTTATCTGCCTAAACAAGCAGTCAATATAATTATTTTGTGATACATTATCCCATTTGAACAAATTCTCCATTCTACTGAAAATGGCTCAAAATATGTTGACTCGTTTTTGTAATACATTCAACAAGGTCACAGATTGGCCACAGCAAACGCTTCCTTCATCAATTCTTAGATTACAGGAGGATATGTAAAATTTGTATTAAATTGGTTTGCACTAATTCATAACTTGCTGCAAAAATGCAAAATTGGGATAGACAAAATTCTAAAATATATTTGTAACCATGGTAACTCAGTAAAATAAAACAATCACAAAAGTTACTCAGATAAATTTTCTAGAACGTAGTTGTACCACACATTGTTTAAATTTAGCCTCTAACTAAAACTGGTACAGTATATTGTCATACTTTTATCAACTATCTGACAAGTAATTTAGATGATACATGGAAAAATTTCCGTATAACCCCATACCAATCAAAAACAAAGCCGTAGTCCCAAAGGAAATCTGTTGTTTTGCCTCTTCTTTCCGTGATCCAAGAATAGAATGCATAATGAATTATGGGGTTATACGGAAATCTTGCCAAACCTACTACAAAGACTTCCAGATTGAAATGAAATTTACAAAATTAAAAATATACAGCCATGTTCAAATTAAATGGCACAACAAAGATAAATATCATGGTCAACAGAAAGCTTAAAATACATAGTCGTTGGAGGAACCCTTCAGTCAATATTTTTGGATAGTGAGGACGACGACGCGTGGCGATTAAGTAAGAAGAGATAACACTTATCGTGTTCCAAATCACTATGACCTTATGTGAAAATTGGGCACGTCTTTAAAATATAATTTATGATGTCGGGGCCTTTGACGTTAAATGACTCATAAAAATTAATTGGCGTTTTCTTGTAGTCGCTCAAATTAGATATTCGTGTACAATCGATAGATTAATACTGACAGTATCATGGAATACTTGCAACATCCTATCGGATCGAATTAGAAATTTAAAAATAATGTTTAATAAATCATGCAAGAAAGTGGTGAATAACATGTCTAGTTTCACTCACTTCTTCAGTGATGGTACGAGGAAAATAAAATTGTAAACGCGGAATATCAGAAACAAAAGCAAGATGGGAAAACAACTCAAAAGCCTCAAGGCTTTTTATGACACATTCGTGTTGAGAGCTCATATTGAACTATAAACATAAACAGTGTAACACTGAAACGTAGCTTACCATAGGGGTGAAAAATTTAAACATTACGGTTGCAAATGATAGGAGTAAAGACAAAGATAAGAGTAATCAAAACGGTCGTAAATTAACTGCTTCCCGTTCAAAAACCTAATCCCTCCAATATTTCAATCGCTTTCATTCGGTTTGTTTCTTTGGGAATGATTTGACAAACTGTACACTTACCTCGACCATAACCATGCGTGTGTTTGGCAAAAGAATTCAAAACAGCATCAACCGCTTCTTTTAACACTGATTTACCAGGATGTGCTCCACCGAAAGCGCTTGGTACACTAAAATTTCCCGTCTGTTCCTCTCTTGTCGACGCCATGTTTGACCCAAACTAACGCAACCTTAAGGAAATTAGGGCTCATATCGAGCAGAAAACGAAACATTCCCTTCCATATCTATCTTATTAATTATCCAACGTGAGTATGTATCCGTTTCACTGGCAACTGAAAATAAATTTACGGTGATGACAAATAAAAATCCGATGAAACGCCTACGACGACAGCCTTGAAACTGATCGGAACGCTAACGTCGACAAGAGATCTCCTGGGGGCACTTCACTCAATGGAGGAGTGGGGCTGGTACCGAGTCTCTCAATGGCACTAGTTAGGCCCAGTCTGGCCCAGGCAGCAAAATGTAAAGAACCTTTTGACGAATTAAATATCCTCGCTTTCTGTTTTTCCTTTTCTGTTTCATTTAGGAAATGTAAATGAGCTAATCTACAATCCCTCTTCGAGTAGTCGACCAGAGTGAAAGTCCACCAGTTACAAAAAAATCATATTCATTTTTTCAATAAAAAGACTAAGGCCGCTTTTTTACACCTTGTCTAACCCGAATGCCTTACGTATTCATTATAAGAGAGTCATTCTCAGTAAATAAACGTTCTTCCACTGCAGGTTTCGGCCCTCTTCACACGGTTCCCAAAAATAAATGATCAGATAAAAGGTTGAGTTAAATTCAAGATAGTTTAGAGCGTCTTAAAAAAAAAGGAAAAAAAAAACGGCTAAACTTTGTTTAGATAACCGGCCCTAAGTTGTCAATTGTAAGAGATTCAAAATTTTAGATTATCTGAATAAGTTGTCTTGAACCGGAACTCGGAGTACAGAGCCGTTAGAATACAAGCTTTTATCTTGGTGTAGAAGGACCATTTTCAAGGCTTTCTAAGCTGAGATGAAGGGGTTCGCGTCCCGGAGAGAGGGACGTTGTCATTAACTCAGCGTAATCATCCAAAGCTTTTTTAAGGGATACATTTTTTACATATCAAAGCTAAGGGAATGCGACTGCCAAACTGACAACAAGTTTATGCGACCTTTCTGTTAAGAAAAATTAATTTCTATCAATATGAGAAGACACACGGGGCTTGCACTGTAGTATCTCGGAGAGCTCCATACAACTTCTTCTAATAAAATTAGAAGGAATTGTATGGAGCTTTTTTGTTTGCTCCGACGAAGGGCTAACGCTCGAAACGTCAGCTTTTATAATCGTAACGGTGGCCAATTTACCATTTCAACTTTGTTGATATATTCAAATTATTTTTTTAGCATTAGTCGAGGCGCGGTGGATGTTGTCACATATGATCCTCAGAAGGTTAAAACGTGAAAACACCCGCCGCGCCACGACCAACGCTAAAAAAGCCCCATGCAATTCCTTATAATAAAATAGTAAGGAGTTGTATGAAGCTCTCTGGGATACGTACAGTGCAAGCCCTGTGTGTCTTCTCAGTTTATTAGGGGGGGTTGACAGAAATTTTGAACCTTTTTACATTAATAATTACTACTGTGTGTGTATTGAACACCGGCCGGATCTAGCCTATATAATCATAATCAAATAGTCATATATTTTCTAAACTGAAGTCCTTCCCGAGCGAGTTCTGATCTCGTATGTCGCTCGTCACTGGTGATCATGGGTTTCAATCGGTTACTCTCGATGCAATATCTTTTAACCTGCTGTCATGTGACACAACTTCTCCCTGGGAATCGACATGTTTCAGCCGGAGACAATCTAAATGGGTACCTCGATGAGGGAAAAATTAAAATCAACGCCTTTCTGGTGGCTCCACTGGTGCAAAAATGAAATCAGCTTGTGAGCACAATTGACACAAAACTCTGTGATCTCTTTGACATTGGTGAACGATATTTTTACTTAATAGGTGAACTGTTGCTCTCTGCTCGCAGCGATAAAGGGATCAATAAGATCATCAGTGGCGTCACTACTTTTAATAGAAAAGACCACGAACTCCTCTAAGGAAAGTGTCAATAGCGGATGAAATCATCTTCCAACGGAGACTCGACGCGCAAAATTTGTTAAAAATTTCACGTTGATTGCAAATATACTGGAAAATAAGGGGAACAAGATAGCGATCATGCTGTCCGTGTGGGTGGCGGTGTTGTCCGCCTTCGTCGCGGCGAGTATTGGAAGCATTGCACCAGGGAAGCGATCTGATTTTTCCATGTCTGACAACCAGTTTTGTAAGTGAGTTTCAGAATATTATATCATAAAGTTTTGTTGCGAATTAGACTCCGAATTCAATAATGCAACTTGGAAATTGTCTACGTTTAATCATTTTAATGGATCCATGAGAATTTTTAATTATTTTGACAGTCTTAGAAAAAATTCTTACGCCAAAATTTCCACAAAGAATTCGATTCCGAAGCACTCGCGATCAACACAGGTTTTTTTTACTACATTTAAAGCTAACAGTTCGTGTGTAGGTTCAATCGATTAATATCAGTGGTAGGTAATCAGTGAATGTGTTTGCAGATCGCGTCGGAGACACGAAACTGGATGATGAGGTCACAGACTGTGCTCTTGTAGAACATCAATTTAAGAAAGGATATATCAGACTGCGAGAATATCTGGAGCGACGAAGGGGATGTGGGAGGCAAGGTAACTTACTGAAAACTCTTCTCCACGAGCTGAATTTGTCAAAACCGTAAGAAAGGATTGTTTTGGTACCTGTAACAGGTGGACGGTTTTGAGGAAAAGCTCGATATATGTTTGAGCGTAAGAAAGATAGAAACTGGGTCTTATACACGAAATCGAGGCTGGCAGATAATTTTTCCTTCCAATATTGATCTGAGAGACAAAGTTGTGCTTCTGTTCATTTTTACGAAAGTACATCACTCAACTCAAACAAATTTTCATCAGAGCTAACTCAGAGAGAAGAAGGGCTAAACGAGTACAGAGAAACAGATTAGGATAGGATAGGTAGGATAAATAGTTTATTTGAAAAATATTGCAACCAAAGGTTGAATTACGCATTCATTTACAATATTAAGAAATATATAAGAAATGGAAACATATTTTTAGAATATTAAAAATTCGGTAACATACAATTGTTGTTTACTTGCTTGTTTAGAATCATTGTAAAGTGTTATTGAGTTACAAGCTGCTACAGGAAATAACGCTATACAAAGGAATTATTATTATTATTACAATTATTATCATTATTATTATTATATAGCAGTGTAAACCTATGTATGCTAAACGATACCTAAGGCACAGTAGGTCGCTGTTGCACAACCTAAAGGCAAACAGGAAATAAGAAAATTAAATAAAAAGCTAACTGCAGAAACTAATGCATTAAAATGTCTTCCAATGTCTTATTATTATTATTATTATTACTATTATTACTATTATCATAATCATCATTATTATTATTTAATTGAATTGGGCACTTTACCAGTAGGCACTCGACCCAGCTCTCTTGGATTACGGCTTTACCTGGCAATGTGGAAGAGATGAATCAATTCAAGAGAAGCATGTTTAGATAGTGAAATGAAAACGCTGAAGTTCAGGTCGTGCAAAATTCTTAGAGCGTTAGCTTTTGCTTGTTTTCGGGTGGGTTATAATACCTCAAATTTTCCTCTGAAAGTATGATCAGAATTCCGTGCAGTGAGCAAAGTTTTTAAAAGTGTCAAAGTCTTTGACACCCTATTGCGTTTTGATCAATCATGCCTTACTTGGTTCATTCTCCTTCAAAACCCATTAAATGTTGTCACTCTTAAGATACCGCTTTGCTTTGGATAAACACAGGGCCTCGAATAGATTTGCACAAATACTACCAAATCTGCAATAAAACCCACCATTTTTCATCTGAGTACTAGCTTTCACTGAAAAGTTTTCAACAAATCCGACGATATTTTGACTTTATAATCATATGATCACTCAACGTTTTTATTATAGGAAAACTGAAAAACATCGAAGGAATTGAAAAGTCAACAGTGGATGACGTTAACAACGATAACATCGCCGAGATTGCCAAATCTACCACTGAAGACTTTCATTACTCTGTGCCGTCGCCATTGCCAGTCGCTAAGAAGGTCCATAAGCCTAAAACTATTCCTCAAGGTGAGAGTTTACCTCCTTATTTTTTTTTTTGATAGAGCAGTTTCAAAGAATTTCTAACATGTCGAAAGATATCACTTGTTGCGTTGGAATTCAATCACAGCGCTCTGTGATTGGTGAAAAAATTTCACCCCTGCCTGTTGACCAATCAGATGGCACTTCTCACGTTTGGGATGCTTTGCCTCTTTTTGCTTTATGTGACCTCTGATTGGCTCCTTGAAAAAGTCTCCCTATCCCTATTTGGGGCTATGAATTTTGAAGACATTCAATAAAAAAGTACCCTGAATTTCGTCTCGATTGAATGTTTCTTTAACCATAAAACAACAGCTAACACATCAGGGTTTATCAAGGTGAATTCTCTAGGCACTTTCAATTTTTGAATAAGTAAGAGCTCGACAATTACATAGAAAAATGTTGACATTATTACATCAGTGGTTTGTGAGTTGAGATGAAAACGCTCAGTTAGTAGCTCCATTGAAAAAGGCCCTTGATCTCATTTCTTTTTCTTTTCGTTTTTGTGCTTAGTGATCAACACCTATCAACCTCATAAGATGGCTTATGTGCCCCGCAGGTATCCTGTGGCAGGTGGGTGACCTTTGCTGTCAGAATAAGTCAAAACACTATATTGAAATAATAACTTGATAAATTAATAGCCATGTACCTAAGGCGTACCAAGTTTTTTTTTTTTTAACACCTCAATTATCTATTTATATGTTTGATACATTTAATAAGTTTAAACGGCACTCTGACTGGCCGACGAAGTCTTTTTGTCAATGCCTAGACGGAAAGCGATTTTCACTTATGCAATCCATGCACACCTTGCATTGTGCTTGATTATAAGAATACATGCCACTGAAATCAACCGATACTCCTCTTCCCTCATACTGAGGAAACTGGCACAGGCCAATGCAGTTTGAATCACTTAGTTCTTGATGCTTAGCCATTATTGACAACGGGTGACTTAATGGAAAATGAGAAATTTGGCAATGGGACCAATATGTCCGGGGATTGTGATTTAACCAATAAATTCGAAGTAGTTTTAGCCACACCACCTTACATAAATCAAATTTCTATTACCAGTAAAATTATATTTTTTTTTATTTACTAAACAGCGGTGACAGCAACAGGAAAAACAATAGCACTGCACACGCCCGCCCGCCCCGCATTCCAATCTACAGTACAAAGGAACAAGCCAGCAAGACCAAACTTAAGCGACTATCAAAGCAAATCTCAGAATTTAGGACTTTCTTTTAAGAGTAACCCTTCTGTCGCAGGTTTTCCAGGCTCTGTAGAGAATCAAAACACACAGTCTATATTCACTAACGCACTCGGGGATCAATACACACGTCTGGCTTCCAACTATAATCACCCCGACCAACCAAAACCCAACCACGATCTACTTCAAACATTTTATCCAGGCACACTTCAAGAACGTTCACACACTGGAGAAACTGTTGCTGTGGGTCAACCGCTTTTTGTCCAAAAGGCCCACGTGCAAGCCACTTCTAGTCTTCAAAACAAAATGTCAAGCTTGCTAAAAAATGCAATGAATAACTTCAATAAGCCCTCATTAGGCACACCTGCCAGTGCCAATACATTTAAAGGACCCAGTATCAACTTGAAACCAAAGGTTTTGAATAAACCTGCGACAAAAATTAATGTTCAGAGCAACCCGGACGAAAATATCGACGAAAATCTTGCAGCCATGCGCGATCCCGAAAAAGACGACAGCAATGGTTCTATCGATGACAAACCTACTCCGGAACCTGGAATTGACGATAAACCAGCTAACCAAGCCGCTATCAGTCCTTCTACTAATCTCAGTGAATTGTCTTTATCACAGAGACCTGGAGAAAATCTAAGACCCATGAAACCAGTTTCAGACACGTCAAACGGGCTCGGAAAGGCGGTTATGAAAGGAACTCCTACATTTGTAAACAAACTGCAAAATGCTGCAGCTCAACCCAACACTGCTGCAGAAAAGCTTCAACAGCCGTCAATCAACTTTGATTTCCTCAAAAACAAAATTATGCATACAACCAATGCAACTTTCCTACGGCGCATGCTCGCACTCATTCAAAAGATCACTCATCACAAAGACTTTTCGAAACTGCAAGCTCCTGCTAGGAGTCTGGTAGCCCAGGCGAACACCGCTGTCCAGGCACTCACTAGCGCGTATAAAGAGAGAGTGTCGTCATCGCCGCTGGCTGGGGGGAATGGTGACCAGCTTTATCCACTGAGTAAGAAGTCCGCTGTCCAGAGATTTAGTCAGGCGTACAACGGGAGAATCTCAGCTTCACCGCTAAATCTTGGTTTTGTAAACCAGATTTATAGGAATACCTATCCAGTGACCAAAAAGGCGACTCTCCCAGTGATGAATCAAGCATATAACCCAAGGATCGCAGCCTTAAGACCTGCTAACCGATTTTATGGCAACAACTTTTCGGCCCTGACCAAGAAATTCCAAATAGCAAGGAATCCCTATTACCAGAACTATTACCAATACGGAAAACCGTACTACAGCAATTTGCAGAGTATGCAATACGGGTTATACAACGGCAATGTGCCTTGAGTGTAACTCAGTGCTCAAAATGACCTCGAGTTAAAAAGAAAATAAGACCTGTTACAGGTTTTAGCGGTGTCAAGTGAACAGTGCAAAAGAAATCCGGCCTAGAAAAACAGGCTTTGGGACTCAGACCATTCCTTAATGAAGCTTTCTAGTGCCCATTAATATTCTTTGAATGGGGGGCATTATCTTCTCCTACTCCTACTATAATTTTAGATATAATTCTCCATGAACTTGTATAAAATTAATCTCTGCTCTCTTTCGTTCTTTAATTTTTTGATGACCCTACAGCTCTCCAGCACTTTTGCAGCTCACGTGAAATAACTATTTTGTGGTTTTGTGGTTTGCCAAAAGTACTTATCATGTGATATTAGGTCAAGGAAAAATATATAGCTTATCACGGTAATGTTGAGAAATCAAGTCGATAATCACAGGAATAACCCGCTGTAGTAATTTTTTGTATACGCATGTTAAAGTTAAACTGATTTTAGATTTTAGGCAGTCAGTTAGCACACAACCAAGCAACAGAAACCTTTCTCACGACGACTACATCAATGAAACGCTATTTGTCTTTTCAAAGGCTTTGTATGAAAATAAAATTTGATGTTCATATCATCATTAGTTTCTATACTATTTCAGTTCAGCTTTTTCAAGTGACCAAGCGTGTGAACCCAAGCTCATACGTGAGCTAATCTAGCCCAGCTGGCCCTTGCTATTAGTTCATCGGTGCGAGCTTTTCCGTCTTCGCAGGAACGAGGCATAGGAGCAGCGCCAGCCAGTCTGCAAGGGAGCTAGATAGCTCTCTCATTATTAGTGCCAGACCTTCAGCAAACCTCTCCCTGACTTGTCTCGAATCTTCCCGCGACGGAGAAACGTGCGTCCAGCAAACAGCGCTGATAATCAGGACCTGCACATGCGCAGTTTAGTGCTCTTCTGACTTTGCTGTTCGTGCTGGTAGGAAAATCGTTCAATTCAAGCACATCGATCGGTTTACCCATAACATCGTAATTTTATTCAGTGTCTTCTTTTTTAATCGATTTAAACTTGTTCTAGTTTACACCTAGTGTGCACGACGAGCAACATGTTTTCTTAACCAATGTGAACGCGTTTTGAACTACAAAAAGTGTTCCTGGAATTTAAATCCTTGATATCCATACAAAGTGAAGAACAACAGATACACCGGCTCGAAAGAACAGTGAACTTTTAACTTAAGACTAGATTTTTTTAATCCTTTGACCTCTCAGAGTGACTAAAAGTCTAATTTCTCCTTACAATATCACCCCTGGATCACACATTAAGGTTACGAGAATAAAGGAAATGATCTCCAACTGAAGACGCCATCCATTGTTAGACAAATAGTTTTCCTTGTCAGTACCTTAGGAAACGTTCAGAGAACAGTATGGAGATTATGCAAACTGATGTTGGAATGTAAAGAGCTAAATAAGCAACAAAAATTGTTGCCCAAATACCTGGCTTCGTCGATAAGCACGTTACAAAACTCCATACGGGTAGTTGTTTTTCTCAGATTCAGGAGAGCCTGAAGAAGAGAAATTGGAAATTCTGTAGTCGTATACGAATTTCTGGAGGGGAGTGATATTTGGCTAGGAGAATTGTTAACGTTCTATAGATTTGACCCAACAAACTTTCCATTTTGATTTTTTTCATTTTTTAAATTTTTTTGGGTGATTTATAGTTTTCATTTCTTGGCACCTGCTTCAGTTAACATAAACCATATCATTTGCACCAATCAACATGAAGAGTACCTCCATGAAGTGTGGATTCAGCAATGACGGAAATAGAAGTCCCACGCGCGGCTTTAATTGGTTGTCCTTGATCCCAAAATAACGTAATACCAAAACATTGGGTGAGATCTGACTCGAGCAACGCAACTGCCAAATTTGGCGTCTTAGCTGATGGTAGTTATCAAAAATTTGCTGGTTTTGATTTAATTTGTCAAGTTTTAACTCGATCAAACCAAGCGGAACTGCGCCGTGTGTTTGAAAGAATGGAGCGCTTCACAGTTGCTTGGGTTCTGTTTTCGCTTTGTCTGTGTTTTGTGTCAGGAAAAACCGCGAAACAGAAGTCATCACTCTTAAATACGATAGTCAAGAGGTGGGATTTAATCGTCGAAAACGACCGTAAGTCAGTGAAGTGTTTAATTTGTTGCCCTCATGTCAAGAATATTAAGTACCATCATAAACGCTTTAAGCGTACCTATCGGCGCTCGCAATTCATCAGAAAAACTGGCATAGTACTTATAAATAAGGGAAATCCAATATCTCAAAACACAAATAGCATTTGAAAGGTCAGAAAACACTTGCTGGTCTCGAATCATGGTGATGTGAAGGTTGTTAATCGTTCTAACTGCAAGTTAGTCGAATCTGGTGAGAAAGGATCAGTTGACGCAATAAAGCACTTAAGGTTAAACTTGGGTTGGAGGGTTTTGGTTGTCAACCTTTTGACATAGCCTGCATGTAATTAATCCCCCCCCTCCCTCCTAGTCATCCCGAGGAGAAGGGGAGGGGAGAGCACTTCATCAATTTTGGATTGCAGGGGTGCCGCTCCTGCCAACTGCAACTTTCCGCACCAAAGAAGAGCCCGTGCTAGTCGGCCTCTTTGATCGAAGGTTTCCCGAGAAGTGAGAGCAGGAGGGGCATCCATCACCTATCTACTTATCAATTTAGAAATATTTCCTTTTTTTTTTTTTTCGGTGTACAAATTAAATCATAACGGTTCCGCGGAGTCTGAGATAGTAGCATTCGACACCACTAAAACGACAAGTTTCATGGGGCTTTCTGAGTGAGTATCAACCAGTCAACTTTTTGGATATTATTCGCAATTTTTCCTGATTCTCTGAGTTATCGTGTCTTCAGATATTTTCAAGCTGAGCCTTCATTACTAACATCTAGCAAAATGTTTTGAAGCCAAAATAGACTCTCACTCAAAATTCATTATCGAAAGCGAGTTTTTTTGGCAGCAAAATATAGCAATGGGTAGGGATGGCATTTTAGATTCATTTCTGCAGGTTAACAGATGCTACGTGTAAGGTGACGTTAAACATCATTTCTATCAGAGATATTTAGATACTTACGAAAAACACAACACTTTTTTTGCCACATTGTGTATGTTCAGTTTTATTTACAAGTAACGCATACTTTACTTTTCATGCGCCATTACCTGCTATTCATCTGATGCGTCTATGGTCAGCCTAAGTGTGCATACAACTCTGCCAGCAAGAAATAGTTTGTCAGTGTCTTACATTCCTCGCAAAGGCTGGAAACTTAAATTTTTGGCCGTCGGTAGAAGTAACTATGAAATAGAGCCTTCCAGATTTTTAAAACAATTGGCTAGGCCAGGCTACGAATCATTTGTATCAGTAAGATACATATTTAGCTGTTCCAAATTACAGTTTGAAATCATATTGAGAAGACGAGGGATCATGGTCTGGATCACGCGTCCTATTAGTGCATCCAAATGTAAAAGTAAAAACACGGAGTGTTTGAATCACTGGAGAAAAAAAAAATTAAAGTTTGCCAAGTAAATGAACTTTCAGCGACCTAGCTCTTGGAGCGTCAAAGCTAAAGATGAAAATCAACAGGGAAGGGTGTCTAAGTGTATCAACCCTCGGTAAAAAATGGCACAAAACTTGCCAAAAGATACTAGTTCACAAAAGTTTGATTCTTCTGTTTAATTGCTATGTATACTTAAAACCCTCGCGTAAGTTTTGTCCACAAGCGTTTGATACTTCACGCTTCAGAGAATGACGAAAAACTCACCTGCTAGTTCTTAAAAGATCGCAACAGTTTTAGCAGGTATCTCTTTATAGATAGAAGTTGAAAAAGATTGATATGCAAAAGGAAAACATGTATTATTCATTAAAGTTGTGACACTTCCTGTCGTGTAGTAAAAGCAAAGCCAGAGGGCACGCGCTCCCTTGGGTTATCAACCGTGAACAAGAAATCCTTGGAATCCATTTTTCTATAATTTCATCTCGGACCCTCGGGTTTCGAATATTTCAAGATGAGGAAAAGCGTAATTTTGATCCTTCTAATGTTGATCGCAATTTGTGCCGCTAAATTGTCCAAGAGCAACAAACACAAGGACGAGAAAAGCAAAACAACTAAGGTAATCGACACTAAAAAACACAAGGACGAACTGAAAAAACACAAGGCTAAGAACGAGCAAAAAGACAGCAGCAAGAAACATCTAAAGGATGCCAAGAAAAAACAAGACTTGAAGAAAAAAGATAAAAAACCAAAGATTTCGGAGGATAAGGCCACTAATAAGACAGCAACTAACAAGACGGAAACTGTAGAAAAGAAAGAAAACAGCACCAAAGGTAAATCAGAAATTTTGAAAATCGAATTTCAAGTTCGGAAAACGCCAGTTCAAGAGGTGGGACTGTTATGACAGGTACCGGGCAACTTTTCAAAATAAATTCAGTTCATGCCGGGCACTTCGGCTGAGAGTTCCGTGTCTCTCAGACGTACTGCGAAATATTGTAATTCAGATATCATTTTGTTCTATTACAGTCGATATTACAATGAGTATCTGACGAGTATCCTACCTGGCAAGCGCGCGATTAAACCGCGATCTGTCAAACCCCAAGAAATGAATTTGGTCAAAACAAAAATATCTTCCGACGAAGACAACATTAGCTTGCACACGAGTATTAATACTCCTGCTCAGCTTTTTTAATTTTTAACATAATTCTACCACATTCTGTTTTAATAACCTCACTCAATGAGAATATGGATTCACATTAAGACAAAGCTAAAGTGTACAAGTTTTGAACCATTTGACCTGCCACTGAGGCAGTGAGTGTGTGGACATAGATAACAAACTAATGACTAAGATTGATTCCGGTAAAATCCAAGTCATTTCACGAAAAACAAGTTCTTCTTTTCCCAATAAATGTTTTACTGTTAAGCGTGTGAAAAGTTATATAAAAATTTGAGTAAGCGACATAGAACATGAAACGGCTACGTAGCTACGACTGAACAGTCTGGCCAAAACAAAGGGTTATCATTCCAGCGGTCGCTTTGTATGAGCCCAGTCAAAGAGATTGACTCCAATTCTGAGATCTCACCCTACCATCCGTCCTTTACAAAACATTTAACCATGATCCTGGAAGAAGGTGGACTGGCTCGGCTAACAATGTAAACCTTAAAGGGTAAAAATGTTCATCTCTACACTCAACAGAACACTTCGCACGTGTATGAACATTTAGTAGGACAGAAATGTAAGTTTGGTAGCCGGGATGAAATTCCCTTAGGCACAAGACAACTAAAAATTCACCCTTCTAACCGGACCACTCCGTACTTCGGACCCATGCATTAAGAAATCCTTACACTTCAAAATTGTCTGCAAACCAGGTACCTACACAATTTGCGATATAAGGTTAGTTTAGGGGAGTACCTCTTGCAGCGTACATTTTTTCTATCCTTTTTGCTTTTCTTAAAGTTTCCTTTTTTAACACAGCAATCCTCTCGCAAAACCCACCTGCCGATTGCCAGAACATCATAGACGATTATTCCAAAGGAAAACTTCTAATGTACGAGTACAAAATCCAGATCAACCGCTGTATGAAAAAAGCTAAGGGTGATGCAGGTAAGTGGTTTGATTGACTGACAGTTGATTGATGGACAGGTATACTTGCATATGATCGTTCAGTGATTTTTTTACAATCTGAGTTACACTCAGATATAGTGAAACTCATGTAATTTGCATGTAATTTTAAATCTTGGCTGTTACTTGGCAAAGACGTTGGGCAGAACCGTATAAAAGAAGTAGTTCGCGGTAATGTACGCTTTCAGTCCCCTGAATAAACCGAATTCATAGAACTAGAGTCGAAGGGGAGGGCTGCAACAAGGCTTTTCTTTCATGCAAAAACGGTAACGTTCGATACCAGCTGGATCAAGCCTTCCGTTTTAGAATAGTGCGTCTGACAGTAATTTTGTTCAACCTTTAATTCCCTGACCGTTCTCAACGCTAGCTAAAGCTGAAGCGAAAGGACCTTAAACATGGAGGGTGGGGTCAGTCACATTTGCGCCTGATTTACCTTGAAAGCCGGTGCTCAGAAATTAATTCCTCATCAAGCTAACACATGATGCATTAAGGCTGCTATTAACAAACCTTTCCATAATCAATCAAGTCACCGTAAGCCACTAACATCTAACGATCCTAACATTGTATAACGCATTAACCACAGACGGCACAGCTGACGCTGACACAAAATCAGCGCTGTTGCGCCCGGACAGTGAACCGACAGAAGACACAGACCAAGCTGTCAATGTTAGACCTTACAGCACCGAGGAACAAAAACAGGACTTTGACCAAGACTTTGACACAGGTCATAGCGATTTTAGCGCGCATGATAACGATAACGACGATGATTACAAAGATGATGATGATAGTAGTGACGATTACGACGAACCGGAAGAAAATGCAGGTGAAAATCTGGTTTAAACAGGTTTCAGGAGTTTTTAAACATTTCCGCTGCGTTAAAAACCACGCAATTAACGCCGAATAATCTGAAACAGTGCTTAGTCAGCTGATAATTGCAGAGTAACTTGTTCAATAAAATGATAACTTTGAAGAAGAAAGGAAATTAAAGAATTGCCTTTCGAGAACCGTTAATAGGGTTCAAATGCTAACTGTTGTTTATCCCGAATAAGTTTTCAAGGAAATACAAAATTTGTGTTCCTTTGATTGTCTTCAATTTCAGAAAAAAGAAATCTAGTTTAAAAATCAGTTTTTCTTCGCTCTGTGTGCTCTAAATTTAGCTAAAAAGATGCAAGTCCCTGCAGCTGCTCGTTACCAAGCTCCTGTGCTGCCAGCACAGAACTACAATATGCCAGCCCAACAGCCAGAAATTCCGGGGCAACAAGCCGCCTTTTACTACCCCAATACGGGTAAATTATTTTTCTTGTTCAAGGTCTCATGACGAAGGTTAACTAAGAATTGGCTGAGCCTGCGATGGACGAAAATTAATTGATGACTTACAAATATGGCCCATGCTCAAACCTCATTAGGATTGGACATGGGCCAGAAAGACTGGGCCGAGTATAATGGGTCCGCACTTCACGGTAAACTTCCCACATCGCGTAAAGCAATAAAAAAAATTAGCATATTAAATTTTCTTTGTCGGTTAGGAGGTTCTGCTTGGCCTTCGGCTCAATTTCAGTAAATTATTATCGGAAAATATTCTAGTTGTATAATGAGATTTTACAAGAACAGCACATAAAATAGACGAGTCGGTCGTTTCACTACATTTCTCTCGGAAGTTTGCCTGGAGGCCTTGACCTCGTGTACTCAATCCAGGCTGCCTGCCATTAAAATAACTGACAGAACTTGATGACTGTTGACCAGGCGACTTTAAAACATATAGACCCAGTTCATACAGTGACAAACACGACGATAACAGATACCTCAGAGCTTATTGCAATCATGGACTTTCAACCATTGACAGGCACAAACTTGTTAAAAAAAGATACTTAACTTCACGGTGTTTCCATATTACATTTCTCGCCCAAACCGAAGAATAGAGCACATTTCGTGTCAGTGTCTCAAAATGAAAACTTAGCGCTAGCACCGCAAAGGCAGTTGTCCACAAGTCGGACAAACCTGAGAAAACAAATACAAATACTTTCATTTAATTTTGACAAAAGAGTTCTTCACCTTCTAAGCCTTGCAGTAAATTTGATACATCGTAGTATTCATCACGTTCAAGTGCCAAATATTTTTTTAGCTCAGACCCCATATAACGGAGCACCGGTTCAGAACCCTGTCCTCGACCAGACTCAAGCAGCTTTCGCTCCAAATCCTATGAACCAGTACCCAGCCAATCCTGCTCCTTTCCAGGCAGGAGATCCAAATATGGGCATGAATGCTGTGGCTAAAAACACCATACCAGACAACACACAGGTTTGTTAAAGAAAAGGGGAGAGAATTCATGAGAATTAATGAAGTTGACGAATACTTCATGTTCCAGTCAATTTGGTAAAGGCAAAATTTCCAGTCCTCCCGACGCACAGTACCGCACGTGATTAATTTGCCCATTAGAAATTTGTCCAAATTTATCGAGATCTTTTGCAAGAAGCCCAACTACATTCTTGGTAAGCTAAAGAAAGTTAAGTTTTTACAATTGTTTTCTCAACTAAACATCACATCATAGCCATTGATGAAGTTCAATTACTGATCAATTGAATTAAAACTGGTGTCTGGAGTGAGAAGTATTAAAGTGGGCGGACCAACCAGATTCTATGTAAAAAAAAAAAAATGTAACTGATACTCACTTTTAAACACAAAACTCACTTAGACACAGCAGCCCCCAGCATCTCAAGCAAATGCTGTGTTCGATCAATGGCGGGCCAGCAGTTTTGGTGCAGCAGCTGCAACCAAGGACGAAATTCCTAGTGCACCGGTGGCTCCCAGCAATGACCAATTCGCCGAGTTTATGAAGCTGCAAGCTTCCACTGGCAACGCAGCAGAGGCATCACCTGTAAGCCAACAAGCGGCTATGCCAGCGGCCATGCAACAAAGAAGTGACGTTCCACAGCAGCCAAGCTTGTTTCCCGCGCAGCCGCAGTTGCCCAACACTGTCCCTAGCCCAAGCCAAGCCTTTTACATGCAACCCGAAGAGCGTGGTGATTTCCCTGAAAACCCATGAAAGAAAAATTAAACAGTTTTGATATGATTACTTGTAAGGGTAATAGCATAATGTAACTCACTATGTGGAGCTCAGAAGGGCGAAAACCGTTCCTCATTTGGAGAGAATTGAGCACAAATTCATGAAAGGAGGTTCACTTAAGATGAGGCTATTTTCATGCAGTGACCCACCTGGAACCTTTAACCTCTTGCTCATGATATCAAGCAAATGTTAGTGAGCAGAATGAGGCGGATAACAACAACGAAATAAAGGTCTCCTCTTTTTAACACGTTTTGTCCTGTTTTACTTTGATTAGAAGTGTTTTCTTGTATCGCGGCATGGCAAATTTGGGTTTGAGTTCCGCCGTGACCATTAGTTGACACTGCTTTATGAAGTCCCAATCATGTTTCGTTGATTTAGATTATCTGCTGTGTTAATTTAAGTGAAATGCCTTGTCTTGGTAATCGTCATCTCTCTTTGATAAAAACCAGGATAAGCCCAGCGGTACCGGCTGTTTGGCTTGGGTGTAGACTTAACCAGGTTTAGACCTCTCTCAGTACTATGGAGAAAATCCCTGTTCAAATTAACCGTTCGATAACAACCAAATGTTGTAAAACGTAACAAAATCAAACCTCCCCTCCTCACCCCGCCAAAAAATATAATATACAAGAAACTGCCGAGGCTTCATCTCCTGGCTCTCCGTTATCCAGATACGACTGAAGGGGAGAAGGGGGTGAAGAGGTCGCGCTTTAACCCATACATGCTGAAAATTTCATCCTCCGACTGTTTCATTTCCAACCTGGGATTCAAACCCAGACCACGACCGTGACAAGTCACGACGCGTATATTGTTGGATCTCACTTTGAGGATGTTCCCAGCAGACGGGCAAGCTCAGTACGTCAACCCTCTTGATGGTTAGTAGTCGGTAAATTACAAAATTTTTGCTCCCTTAACTCAGAGTTTTTCCATTGAAACGTAATTTATAACCTCCGGTATAGTTTAAGTTCAATTTGACGAGGGGGTCTGCGAGACATGTAGAGTCGCAGCTGTAGGAATCCGAATAACGAATGTTTTATAATTTTCCTTCGTACCTTGGCTGTTTATGAACTCTTCGACAAATCACGCTACTTGCCACCCTGCGCTGGTTTTAGTGACGGAGTGTCAAGTAGAATTGACAATTGACTCCGAGTTACCACAGTCGTCTCCATTGGAACCTGGACTTGGTTTGGAAATCTTCAGTGCGGGTGTTTGTCGAGGCTGGGCGTAGGGTGGTTTCTGTACTTCATCGCTCGTCTGTGTTTGACTATCGGTTTTAAAACATTCTATCGACTTCATAACAGTAACCACAGAAAAGAGACTTTGTTTGAAATGCTTCTCTGCATGGTAATTCAGACTTTTAATTAATACTACCCCTTCATGGAAATTTCCATCAACAGCACCACAGACGACGGAATGACAGCGATGCCAACATATAATTCTTCGTTGAGAAAAGGCCACGGATCTCACTGTAGAACAGGTCACGCGCACATCTTATGGAACTTCCACACCTACCCAACAATTTCTGATAGGGCTTAGCAGAGAATTAGGTAAGCTGCTGTAATTCCCTCTGCTCAGCTGTGTTGAATACATTTTACCCCGTACGAGCAGAGAATTCATCCCTCGGTCCAGGAGAAATTTTCGTGATCTTACAGAAGCCAAAATATGGGAGCTCGCAATAAATAAAATTTCAAACCCTTCCCAAATTCCGAAAAGGAATGCCTAAATTTTAGAAGAGGCGCTTAAATGTCTACTTAACCTATCAATTTTAATTATTTTCGTGTCCAACTTCGTAATATATACCGATCACTGTAAAGAAAAATGGGCTTGTAAGACCAAAACTAAAAAAAAAGAGAGAAAGAAAAGTAACTAGAGTTCGAATGAAAGAAAACTCCCCACAAGGTTGTTCAATTGGTATCAACAGAAACTTATGACCTAGAACTAGGACACAGGCCTCTGGTATCACACGACTTCATCTTCCGAGTTCAGTGGAACATGAGATAAATATGCACACAGAGAAATAAACACAAACCAAATCAACTTACCATACACAAAGACACATCAAATATTTCCAGGTATGACTCAGTCTACTGACAAAGCAACAATCCTGACCTGGCAGGGCAACCAAAACTGCACCCTCCCTCCTAAACATTTGAGAATTTAGGCTATGGCTCAAATTAATTCTCAACATACTCTAAAAAAGTTACCCTTTCAGCCGACCTCTAATATCGTGATACACTACAGGGAGAAAAATAAGAACTATGAAAAGATATTGCAGGGCAGTTCAACTGAAATATTAGTATGTTGAGTTCAGAGCCTTTCCCACACAACTCTTTTTCAGACTTGTAAAAAGAGTAGAACTGTAAACAAGGGCATTTCACCGTCTGGCAATTACTTTTCCATAGATGAAGAGGTAACACCTCTCGCAGCCATTTGCTCTACCAAAGGATTAACACTTGAAACGTCAACCTAAGAACTCTTCAATTCCCAGTTTTCATTATCAACTCTATTACTTTCCAAGAAAATCCTGGTTGTCAAAAACTATTCCACTTATTACTAATCAACCTCTTAATTGCCAGACTTCATCTTTTTTTTTTACATGTTTTTTAAGGTCTGGAATAATACTTTGTACATATACTATTTTTTCAACACCTCAAGACTTCTGGTCACTTCTACAAATACCCTTTAGGTGATTTTACTTCACACTTGCTGTATATCCAACCCAAGACTATAAATTGATCTTTTTGGACCTCAATGGTGAAAAGAATCCTCTCCAGCAATACCCTTGTCCAAATAAACATCTCAATTTCTGTTCCCTCATACCCTGTTAGTTACTTAAGAGCAAGATTTGAACAATCAAAGGTTTTGTCTTTAAGACCAAAGAGGACTGCCAAAAAGAAAAAATACCTTCAAAAATCATCTTGCAAATTCTGAAATGATAATCATTTCATTCTGTTTTGAACCCTGTCACAACTGCGAGGTATAGCCTATCATAAGGTATCCCTTATTGTAATCTGACATGATGTGGGCACCAAAGGGAATAAACTGATTATTACTTTGTGAAAACCAGTTCAGAAAGTCTTCATGGGAACTACCTTATTGACAGACTAAAACCATTTGAACTGTGGGTATGAATTTGACAGACAGATTTGATTATTTTCCATTGCTCCTTTCTTTGTCATATCGCCACCAATATTTGTTATGTCAGCCCTTTTTTTATCACTTGCAACGGACACAGCAAAACGTTTTCTTTTAATAAAGCTAAGTTATGGAAAATTCAATAAAAAAGAGAGGAAAGCCAACAGTGTTGGTTGGATAAATACACAAAAAAGGACTTAAGAAAAACTTATTCTTGTGCTATATTCAATAACGATACAAATGAATATATGGTCTCTGCTAAAGTGAGCTATTTAACATAAGATATATTTCATCAGAACATCAGAGAGCCAAACACCACTGGCTGAGGTTTTCATAGCAGTAAAGCACATGGGTCAACAACACAGGAAACTTCAGTGCACCGAACATCATAAGCTGAGGTTTATCACTCATCAAGTTTCAGGACAGCACACCGAATTTTTTTGTCTTGTTCTAGCACCTCAGCACATCAATGCAAATACAGGAACTCAGTTGAATCACGGAAGTTGAACAGATCATTACCAGTCACGGCCTTTTGTGAGAATGGACAAACAGAACAAATTGAATCATTAGGAGTCACCACTGAATTAAAACCGCACATGCTAAAGCAATGTCTCGGCAGTGTACCAGCAGTCAGATTATTTTAGATTTCATCATAACAGAACTCAGTGTGCAAATCTATTTCTAAAACTTTTTTTGAATGAGGTAAATGGAACTCTTATCAGTCTTCAGCAACATAGTCACAAGTATAAATGCCTCATTACCTCTTTTCCATCTGAACCCAATCTTTATCATTACAGAATGTAGGTCTGGAAAACTAGTTTAGAAATAATCACTTCCTTCTACAATCTTACATTGGAAAAAGCCTTGAGGAACTCTCAAGCAGACTCAAGACTTCTCGAGTAACTCAAAATTACATGAACAATCAAAAATGATAAAACCCTAAAGTGTGTACCACTTTTGGAATTGTTTTGCATTATGCATGAAAAATGACATTTGAGGCCTTCACCAGTACACTACATTCTTCTTCAGATATCATTTCGGCAAAGGAGAAAACCACACGTTTTATGGAACCAAACAGACACAACAAAAAGATTTTCATTCAATAAACACTTTGACAACACACTTGTCCTATGTAATAACCTCAAGAGAAAATGAGATATGGGGTAAGAGAGTGACTAAAATGTGTTCAATCTGCTCTCAAACTGTTTTGCTGAAAGACTGAAAATTACGTCAATTTTCAAGTCTACAATATGAATTCATAATTGAGAAGAAATCTACTTTTCCATCTTTTATCCAGCAATCAACACACTATCTCACAAGATGTTTATCTGCTAATTAGAACAGTGCATTGATGTTAGCCTTCATACAGATGACTAAGAAAAAAAGCTTTCATCAAGAAGACAATTTACAACTCGAGATGTTTCATAGAAATGACACATTCTGGGGTCTGAAACAGGGATTTCTCTGTATATCCTCATTTTCTCTTGACTAACACTCATGTATATTTCACTGTGCACTACCTTTTCTGTATTGACCTCCTCCTCCTCCTCCGTAGGAACTAGAGTAGGAACCAGAGTAGCCGCCATCATAACCACCATCATAACCACCATCATAACTTCCACCACCACCACCTCCATAGCTTCTGCTCCCATAACCACTTCCTGTCAAGAGAAGACACAGAGTACTTAGGAACATATCGAAGACATGATGTGATCACTAACCAAAACATAAACTCAATGGCACTGCCACAGACAAATAAATCACCTGACCTCTCTTCTAGGTCTTTACACCCTTCACCACACCTTCAATGCTGGTGAGTGTTTAAGTGTTGTACAAATTGGTAATTTTTAAATTGTTAAATTCACTGTATGCCTTCAACCATGCTTTCAATAATTAGTTTGCAGGAATATACCATACATCCAACAATAGGATCGTGTGGAATGATGATAATGACCCAAGCTCGTCACAGTTTTAGAAGACTGCTTGAGAGACGGTATTCCCCAAGGAAAGATAGAAGCTACTTATACCTCACCGACAAGCCAAAGCTGATCAGAAATATGCAACCCAAACATGATGATATCCCCTGGTCAGGCTCCATAATCAGGAGCTTCTACAGCTTTTTTTTCATACATGGCTGTGTTGTAACGCAAAACCCAAACTGAAGAGCTTGCTCACAGGCTAACCAGACATTGGCCATAGTCCGCTGGTAGCTAGCTTTTATTGAAACCCCAGTCTATCAGGCAGAAAATGGAATGTTAGTCATACCTCCTCCACCATAACTCCTGTCTCTGTATCCTCCTCCTCCTCTGCCACCTCCCCTGCCACCTCGGTAACCGCCTCCTCCTCCTCGTCTGTAACCACCACCACCGCCGCCACCTCCACCTCTGGCATTTGCTTTCGATACCCTGATTGTTCGACCATCCAATTCCTTTAAAGAATTAATTAAAAAAAAGATGTTCAGAGAGCCTTAAAACTTCTATACTGTACCTTCTGACATTTTTCTATCAATTCAAATACAGAAACTGTTTTCCTATGGTGTACTGAGAAATAAAAACACATCTTTTATCCTTCTTGCCACTACATATAACAACAGCTGGAATATAAATGCATGAATTCTGCATAACAATATATGACAATTAACTTTTCATTTTGTCTGAAGCCAAAAAGAGATATCAACTAAAATGTTTCCATATTTGTTGATAATTCTATGCATGTTACAAATGTAACCTCAGACCTAATCATTAGGCTTGATCAGATAAACTACAAGTTGAGTGGCTGACTCAATCCTCGGGATAAGGGAAGATTGTCTAAACTGAAAACAACTGCGTGCAAAATAAATAAGATTTAAGTTTACAGTAATTCCATCAAAGAGGTAGAAAAGTCAATTCTTACAGTATCATTAAATTCTGCCACTGCCTTTTGAACATCATATGCTGAGCTCACTGTTACAAAGCCAAACCCCCTTGATCTGTTTTCATCTTCTCGTTCCTTGACAATTTTAGCTGTGTAAAAATGAAGAATTTCACATGTAAAACATTCACACTGCCGTTTGGAATTTTCATAATCCTTAAGAAAGCATATTCAGTTTTAGTTTTCACAAAACCAGAAAAATACCTGACCCTCTCCACAAGGAACTCAGTTGATGAATTTTAATGGCTAATTCACCCGACCTTAGTCAATAAGTTAGTTATTTTTAGCCTTGTTAGTTACTTTTAGTCTTGTTTTATCTGTGAAGTAGACAGAAAAAGCAGAAAATTGAAATAACGACTATCCAACTGCTAATAATAATAATTGATATTATTATTATTAACACATTGACTCCTGAACCGCCCGTAACCGCCTGAACCTCGCGATCGCCTCGCGCGAGAATGCTTTCCCCCCTACCTCCCATACTAAGTGGAGCTTTGTCCCCAAACTTCCTCTATAGTTTGGAGATCAATAAGCCAATCAGAATCCATTGTTTGCACAGATATTTTTTCGACTTTAGGGGGTACTAGAGGGACATTACTCTATGCGTCTTCACTAAATGATCAAATTTGAAAATATGGCGTCCATGTGGCCGACCCTCAAAATTTCCAGGTCAGATTTTTCGTTCATTTGCGATCGTGTTAGACCTTGTGGAATTCAGAATGTAAAGTAACAATGCTCTAGAATACTCTGCTTGGAAAAGAATGGATATCCAGGTCTTAAAAGTGACAGAATAAGCTCTCAAGTCAACGACACAACGATTCTCTAAGGCGATGCGAATTATGGACATAAAGTGAAAACCGAACTTTCGGACTTCAAGCAGGGCCTGGCAACAATTTGACAATTCGATGGCCCGGTAAATATTATGTTCGAGTAACAATGTGTTCAATAAGTATAGTTTAATAGAAGATTTTGCCTCAAATCGAAGTTTTTTCAGAATTTTCAACATAACGCTGCGCAATTTCTGGCCATGAAGGCAAGTAAACAACGATCTAAGCATGACGAATTTTACTGCGTAGGCTTTGTACACGTAAGAAATTCGTACGTTTTTCGCTTATAACAGCAAATCAAAAACTGTTTTGAATAAATCTGATGTCCCGAAATATTTCTTGGCCATTTTAGTCTCACTTCCTATTGATAGATTCCATGGAACTTGAGATCTCTTCACTCATGGACAAATTTGCATATTCCCTTTTGAAATATGATCCACATGCCCATTTTCACACATGCGAAAATATTTAGCCATTTTTATGTTTCATCATGATTTTTGAGTTAAAACATAATATGCACCTATCGCTTTTTTCGCCGGAAATAAGTTCTTTAATTAGTCCTCTTTCACTGGAGCTTGTTTTTTGGAAAAGCTGATTTTTAAAAATTTACTGCGCATTGTGTTTGCCTTCTTGGTTTCTCCAAAATTTTGACTTTTCGTCGACACGTGTTACGTAAGTGTCAATGGGTTAATTGATATTATTATTATTAGCAACTGAATAGTCCTCATTTCAATTTTCTGCTTTTTCTGTCTACTTCACAGATAAAACAAGACTAAAAAGGCCGTTTACATTGCAGAAAAATCGGGTACAGACTTGTCAAAAAAGGAGTATGGACCTCACATTTTAGACTGTAAACAAACTGTACCATGTTTTTGGAGATGGGTATGGACCCGTGTTTTTTCTGGTTTTGGGGCCAGAGACGTCTGGCCCCAAAACCAGAAAAAACACTGGTCCGTACCCATAACTCAGCATTACGCCTTGCCATTTTGTTTACAAGAATTACGCATGTTCGATAACAGCACACAGCTGTACCAAATACTGTAGTCCCACGCAAGAAATTGGTCCGCTCCCCTAAAAACTGCAGTGTAAACGCAACCTTGCTAACTTGGTCCTTATGCCTCTTTTTATCCGACCCGTGATAAAACATCATCCGTGTAAACGGCTAAAAATTATGCGGTCCGTACTACTTTTTTTGACACGTCTGTAGCCGATTTTTCTGCCGTGTAAACGGCCTTTAAGACTACATCTGCAATTCCATTCTGCCACCACGTGAAATTAATAGAAAAAGAAAATTGTGGAGGGGCCAACATCTATGAACGGAGGTAATTTGTCCGGTTTCACGGCTTCCTTGTCAATTCAAAGGCGGGGAAAAGAAAGCTTTACGCTCTATATTCCCCTCAACAACACCTTTGACAACTTAATGCTTAAAAGATATTGATGGGCACAAGCAATTGACTATCCTCAGCATCCTTCGACTAAAAACAACTTTGTGATCATCGATTTTCCCCGACAGTCAACAGACAAACCTTGTGGAGTAAGTTACATCAATTCTTAACCTAGCAGCCGATGATGCTGGACTGCTATCGCTAGGTACATCCTAGCATGAACGTAGCATCCATTTCCCATGTTCGTTTGAGCTATAAAGTTAACACTGATAAGTGAAATTCTCGAATACTTCATCGATCTCTCATCAACCCACCGCTCGTTCGATAGACACGACGTGAAGCTAAATTGATCCGTTCACGCAATTTGTTTAAGTTCAAATTCTGTCTTCTTTAAGACACAAATGACAGAGAAAAGCCCGAGGCCCGTGGATGACACTAAACCAAAAAACCGATCATGAAGGCTGCAAGCATAAACTGAAATAAATTGCGCCATTTTCTTGATTTCTTTACAACGAATTTCCTTCAAAGAACTGATTAAAAAGCTCACTGGCCATTATAATAAGCTGCGTTGTAACTCACCATCTAAAACGTCCACTGTGCCCTCAAAATGGCTCTTGAGGGAATCATCATCGGTGCTGTAGCTCAGATTGCCGACGTAAATTTTATACTCTTCCATTATCTTTGCACACGCCTCGTGTTCTTTCTTCCCGAGTAGGATATATCGTCGATAATCAGGTCAAACCGGTTTTTAAGTCGCCTGACTCCTCCTCTCTGTCAAATGGTCTGGAAACGAGCACGAGGTTTCCTGACCAACAAAGGGGTCATGTATGATTGTCAAGTGGAGAGATCTGGATGTAAGAGGAGAAAGGAAAGAGAAGGAAGAATATTTCTTTGACAGTTCCATTCTCGTTGATTTCCGTTGAAAGAATAAAGAGGGCAGAAAAGGGGGTGTCTTGATCCCGCTTCACGTTCAAATTTTAGAAAAATTTAGGCGTACGCATGAACAGCACGCCTCGCATTGGTGTCACATGATAACTTTAGTCTTAATCACGCGTCACGTATAATCCTTTTAGCCAACATCAGTGAGGAGTTCAATTCCAGTTTAATGACGAAGACGGCTCAATGATCACTGTTTTTTAATTCTGATGGAAAAAAGAGGCCAACATCCTGCCATCTTGACCAATTAACGTGACTGACAATGGACTGAGAGTTCGTCAAAAAGTTGCCAAGTACGTAAATTCACAATACCCATTGAGATATTCGTTGATATGACCGTCACGTGTCGTAGTAAACATCGTTGATGCCACAACCGCCAAAAAACGTTGTTTCTTGTAACATAAACAGGAAGAGGAAGAAGATATTTGCTCTATAGCACTTTAGATTCATTTTGTTTTTTGCCTGTTTAGTTGAAGGTCAAAGACGCCAAATGTTGTAACAACATAGATGATATCATGACATTCCCGGTTGTGAGTATCTACACACCTTTAGCCGTCATATTTCATCCCTAACTGAAAAGACTCACGGCAAATTGAAATTCAGTTTTTTTCTTTCTTCCTTTGTCTCTTTTTCGACCTTTCTTGTTATTATCCCGATTTCACTTGTACATGTACACCTGATTGTACTGCCATGGAAAAAAGCAATGAAGGAAAAAAGGAAATAGCCAAATTCAAATTAAATTGCGTATACCATTTACACGACATTGGCGTATTCCTTCTTTTATTGGCTTTTATCTAGGACCAAGTTATTGCTGCTGGGTCTATCTACATGCATAAAAGAACATACTCATAAATTTATACGTGTCACTATATCGAATGGGTGTTTTTTTTTCCAGAAAATACGGACTTCTAAATTCTTCTTACACTATCATCCTTGAATCAACAGTTAAGGCCATGAGAATAAAGGAAACGATGATCAATTTAAGAAGCAACCAAAGGTCAAACAAATTCTCTTTATGAGTTCCATGAAAATTATAAAGAGAACAAAGTGGAGAACAGGAGTTCTAACATTAGGGTAGAAAGGGCTAAGGTCCAACCCTCCTTGGATACCCACAAATCCAATCTCGGTAAGTAATTCAGATATGGTGATTGTAATGTACCAAGAAAATTAACAACAAAATCAAGCGATCCAAGTCTACTTGACTGCTCTAATAATACTATGGTACATTATAATTACCATAATAATGTATCAAAAAAAGAGAAAACCTCCTGTAAGCTTACGAAAAAAAAAAAAAAAACACTATTTCTTAAGTCCTCGTGGAATTTTTAAGAACACACAGTTAATTTTGTTGACACTCTTTTTAAGTTGGTAGCTGTAATTTATGATGCAAGGAAAGACTGGTCAGGAATATATCAAAATATTGAAAAACTGGCACTTTGGATTGGAGTGTGGACTTTCAGTAGTGGCAACAACAAAGTGGATGTTTCTTTTTAATAAGGTACAATGATGGTTTTTCAACTCCTTTGAACAGGTGAGCATAGAAAAAAAATGTCTAAATATCTTTACTAAACTAACAAGAACTAAAACTATGTATGAATTTCTGCTCTTCATATAAGTCACCATATCTGCACAATAAATGGATCATCAGAACATCAGAAAGCCAAACATCATTAGCTGAGGTTTTCAAAGCAGAATGTGCACAGGACAATAACACAGGAAACTTCAGCACACTGAACATCATAAGCTGAGGTTTATCATTCATCACGTTTCAGGACAGCAAACTGAATTTTTATGTCTTGTTCTAGGACCTCAGCACATCAATGCATAACAGACTGACAGGAACAGAGTTGAATCATGGAAGTAGAACAGATGGCCTTTTAGAAAATGGACAAACAGAACAATTGAGTCATTCAAATTTATGCAAATTATACCCCACCCCTTTGCTAAACAAAAAACACAGCTTGGACATGTGAATCATGAAAACATCACCCAAGAGAACCATTTTATGATTTTGATAAGTGAACAGCAAGATTGTAAGTTTTTTGTTTTGTTTTCACATGTACATTCAATCTGATTGACAACAATAACAGAGATGAAGGTGTTAATGATGATGAATATAATAATCACGATACAGCACCAAATGGTACATAAATGACAAATTTATGACAGTGACGTGAAAAAAGATACAGAGTTTCTGTTTGCACACATCGTCATAACAATAGAAATCTAGCAGGTTGTTGGTACATTGGCACATTTCCTTTTGCTGTTGTCCAGATTTATAAAAATATCATGGACTCATTTCTTAGATAAGGGCTCTTACTTGATTTATAACAGGTTTTCATTTTTGTTTCTGAATGAGTTTTGCTACAATTATAGATGTAGTTCTAATAAATAAATGCACCACTCCCTGTCATGTCACACAGGGTGATAAAAGAACATCATTATTAATGCAATCCTTGCCCAAGAAGAGTAAGTACATCTCTATCTTCAATGCAATATGGAATCTTTACCTTATCTGGAGCCATGTTTCTTTTAATAATAACCAGAGCTGCCACCACCATATGTGTACTGTCCGCCACCACTGCCGCTGTAGTTCCCTCCATAGCTTCCACCCCCATAGTTTCCTTCATAACCTCCACCACCACTAAAACCACCTGCCAATGAGAAACAGTCACCAACCAAATTTGATTAACCACTCTTGATGTCTCATTTAATACGGATACATGAACAACTGTGAAACTTGCCTATTCTTGTACATGTTAAAGCTATTTCTTGGGGTATACAAGATGATGTTTAGCTAGCCAAAAATACCATGATAACTGTTGGCAGTAGAGGCCTACTGGCTTACAAGGTGACAACCCTTTCACTCCTGAGAGTGACCATGAAATAATTTCTATATAGAGGAGGTTAAATACACAATAAAACAGTCACGTAGTGGGAGTAAAGCAAAACAGCAACTGAGGGAAATCATTTGACAAAGACCATGACGAGTTTGAATTAAGATCTCTAGAGTGAAAAGGTAACAATTTCTTCAAGTAAACAATGTGATGGCTAAAATAGAACTGAGATTTCCTTTCAAGAAAGAGGCAATCATGTACAGGTAGATGTATGTAGGTTGGTCATAAGTGGGTAGGTTTGCATCAACACAATGAACTTACCTCCACCATAACCACCACGTCTTCCCCCACCAAAGCCTCCGCCTCCATAGCCACCGCCTCCATAGCCACCACCACCTCTACCTCCGCGGCTTCTAAATCGGCCATCAGTGCCTCCCCCTCCACCAGAACGGGAGTTTGCTTTGGATACTTTGATTAATCTGCCATCAAGTTCCTTGGGAACAAATTGTAACTTGTGTTAATGTTTTGTTACACATGGTTCGTACAACTTCAGACAAACAAAATTCAAGGACTTTTCAAGGACTATTCAAGGACAAAAAATGGTTTTCAAGGACTAAGTTTTATTCATAAATCTAAACCATTTACGATTGAATACACATTTGCCCATCCCTCATTTAAATCGAAAACAAAGGGAAATGAAAAATTCATTGACCAAAACATAGCCAAACCCCTACATGTTTACGTTGCCCTTTAAAACAAAAGCACATGGTGGACTACCCCACATCGGAGGCCTTGCACATGAAATTGAGGCACAGATCCAACTTTGCTTCATGTACCACTCACGTTTTATACCAACCATTTCCGCTTTTTGGTAGTTACTAGTGGACAAATTTTCCATAGCAAAATTGTTTAATTTATCAGAAAAGCGATAAGGCGCACAGAAGTTGCTAAATTTCAAGGAATTTTTATGCCCTACTAAAGAAATCAAGTACTTTTCAAGGACTTTTCAAGACGACCGTTAAAATTCAAGACCTTTTCAAGATTGTACGCACCATGGTTACAGTGTTCCCCACTGTCACAATAGCGTTATCATTTAACAATTATTCGCCGAAGGCGAGGTGAATATCGTCAAACAATCCGAGACGAAGTCGAGGGGATTATTCGACAATATTCACCGAACCTGAGGCGAATAATCGTTTTAGTATAATTTCAGAGCTGAGCTACAGAGAAATTTCTAAAACCATAACATTTTAGTAACATTTATTAACATTTTATTTTAACATTTTATATAAACTGCGCAGAGCGGTTTATATAGCGTCATATAAAGAACCACTCGACCAATCAGATTACTGGAAACTCTTTGCTCAGCTCTGAAATTATACTAAAAAAATTTAGTTGTCAAAATATTTTGTTTCTGACCAATACCCACCACTGTAGTTATTGTTGTCAAGCCTAACCTAAAAAATTACATCAGTGGATCACCTACTTCATACTAACTCTACTAATATTCATGAGTATCAAATTTCATAATTCAGCCACCTGCTTGCATAACTGGAACAGATAAAAGATATCAATAAAGAATGAAAAAACTTCCACCCTTTAATGGCAAAAAAAATCTACAGAAAGACATTGAAATTATTACCAACATACTTTTTCAAGCTTTTTTGAGATTTTGTTGGTTTGGTGTCTTGCAAGTCAGTTTGAACCTACATGTATTCTCCACTTGCCAACGTTTGGCTGAACTAGCAAACTGGCATACTACAACAATACTTGTTTATATACATGCAGATTCAAAATATCTGTTTTTCTCGGACAGGAAAGTTCCTCAAACTTGATTCAGAATCCTACACACACTGATTCCCCCAAAAATTGATAGCTTATAAAAAACTAAAATTTTTTAATCCATGCCCTTACTATAACCCATAGGGTCCTTTTGTTTCATTTCGAAGGTGTAGATGCAAACTCTAGATCATTTGGTGTAACTAATTAAAATGTACAGTAACATCTTTGCAATTTCAAGAAGTCAACAAAATATTCTTGAAATCCGAGTAAATTGAGTGGGAAATCTCGCGCCTTGAAATTTGAAAAAGGTATTAACTGTTATGGTGGTAGACCCTTCATCGAACTAAGAAAGAAGTAATAGATATCAAAATAATTACTCAGGCTTTCTGAAGGAAACGTCCGAGGTATAAATTTGGCTTCGGGTTTTTTTTTTGCGTTCAGTCACAAAACGCAGTTCTACTACAGCGCATGTGTAGAATGAACCCAAGTGCATATGGGTTTAAAGCACTAACTAAAGCAATGGCTGTGGCCTTCATGGACAATTCCTTGCTTCATGTATGCGAAAGAAATTCAATGGTTATTACGCCCAATACATATACAAAGTCACACACCATTTACGGTAGACCGATGCAAAAACTTGTGGAGCTTTTTGGGGACATGTTGGTCTGCGACCTTTACGAGATCAATTTACCAGCGATACTTGACAAGTAAACACCTTCAATCGAGGAATGTTAAGCGAAACCCGCTATATCACACGAGTTATCTCATATTATGTTTACATGTAAACACAACCGTGTATTTAGATGTTATCGAGAACCTAGCAGAACACCAGATGCTACTCTGAAACGTCTCAGAAGAAAGGGCAGAAAACTGAATTTGTTTAGGAGCGTATTCGTCTGAGTATACTGAAGTCCTCTTGGCTACGTCGCTATGTGAAGGTTAGAAGAGTTACAAAGAATATTTTTAAGCTTAATATGAAGAGGGTAAGATTAAATAAAGTTCCACGACATGAGAGGAAGTATTTGTTGAATTGTTCTGTGAAGTTATATCAAAGGATAATTAAATTGAAGTAGAGAGCAAGTTGGTATTTATCAAGGTTTTCTTATAACAGACCCATGTGTCTTTGTAAGAGTCAGACACTCATATCAAACTAATGAAAATTTAAACTGAGTTCAGATATAGAAAAAAACCCTGGTCCTACTCCAATGTATATTGACCCCAGCAAAACAACAACAGCACCATAATTATAGCCAAGCTAATGAGTTGGTATTTGGACAAAATTCAGGACAAAAATGTGTTGCAATGAGTTTATGCTCTTTGATTTACAATAAAAAACAAGGAATCAATTCTGTTAATGATCTTGTATCGATAATGAATATTGAAAATCAGTTGAATTCAAGTTTGTCTCGATTAACCAGACAATCCTTTTTAATGCAGACAGAATTACCCACACCTTCAAATGTGTTTGAGACTGACTATGAACTTTAATACAGTGAGAGCTACACTGGGACTGTTCATCAAGAAGCTACAACAGAAGGACAGCAGTACTGTACCTTCTTAGATAGAGCCTTTCAATCACTTGTATCCAAAAATTTCAACTATTTTGTCGACAATAGGGTGTACTGCAGTTGCTATCAATTGTAAAGGTAACATGGGCTTGAAAACATTCGATTCTCATGCAAGGGACAGGCCTTCTGATAGGGTGCGCAGGTGCGAAACGCACAATCCGAGAAAATTCGCAAAATCCCGCACAATACCGAAATTTTTACTTGAAATTTCAATCAAAATGGATATTTCTGTCGAGTAACAAGATTTCTACAATATTTTAGACTACTTTACCTTTAAAGACACTCTAGAATTTCCACGCTTTCATCAAACAACTCGTCGATTGCGTTATTCAATCAACAAGGCATTCTTACAATAGCCTGCGCTTTCCTGGGGACTAGTCTACTTCTAACTCTATTTTTCATTGGCGGTTTGTGCCTATGATTTTCAAATAACGAATCAGAGGTGTTGTTGAATAAGGCCGCTAGCGTTGTGGCTTTCTCATTCAAAGTGAAAAAAAGGAATGTTTATTCTTGGCATTTACAGGATGAACCGGTTGTCAGATATTAAGACTTTCGTAAATCGTAGTGGAATAAGAAAACACAGTTTCCATCCACAGTAACTTTTACTGGCGAACTTAAATTATGGGGCGATTTCCTCGAGTGTTTTCGTTGAGCTCTTTCGATCGCTTTGACGAACAGAGAATTGCTTCAAAATAGGTTCTAAGGTTCAGTCAATAAGATAAAAATCATTCAGAGTAAAATGTAAAAGTCATTTAGCCATTACATTAGCTCTATCCATTGAGCTAACCGCCTCCCGGTTAGCTCAATGGATAGAGCGCTGGACTGTTGTGCAGGAGGTCAAGGGTTCGAGCCCCGGCCGGACCAACACTCAAGGTCTTAAAATAATTGAGAAGAATTTGCTACCTTTTTATAACATCAAGAAATGGTTAGATATTCTAGTCTTCGCGGATAGGGACGAATAAATGGAGGTCCCGTCTCCTGCAGGGTTGGGGTAGGAGACGTTAATTTCCCACACACGAGATTACTGTGTGATGGATGTCCTCCCCTGGGGTGGGATGGGTGGGAAGGTGAGATCGATAGACTGAAGTGGCTGCCAGAGGCGCCTGATATGCTGACGTCTGTTCTCAACCTTTCACTGCACCCGTAATTCAGCCTCTGGGCTACAAGTGGTCAGATACAAAAACTATATTCATATTCATTATATTCATATTACAGGAGGAAATTCACATTGATATTACAAGAAAAGGTATGATTTATGAGGAGAACCCGATGTTTACTTTAAGAGGGAGTGGGATACGAAATATTTTGACGCAAGATTATGCAGTACCGCACAATTAGCCTCCAAAAAAGCGCACAATTTTCATTTTTTTCCTGCACCCTATCAGAGGGCCAGAAGGGATATTTATGGTAGAAGCCATCCTCAAGTTACTTTTGTGCTGCATGAAGTATCATTGTTGAAAAGCTTAGTAAATTATTTTTAGAGTATACATAACAACAGTGATTCATTGATATATTTGAATTGAAAGGGGTTAAAATTAATAAAGTTCAAAATAGTACCCTTTTTCAGAGTCATGTCTGTGAAACCAGAAAGTTCAAAAAGAGTTGTGCTGTGGCTGTCTATTCACTCTGCTACTCCATAATAAAATCATGTAGTTACTGGAATTCAAACACCATATCTGCTATTGTTCAGTACAGCAAAAGATTATATGAACATTCATCTTTAAGCTAGTATTTACCATCAGATGATTTGCCAAAAACTGTTTATGTTTGTGGAACTGAAGTAAGATTAGATCCTGAAAGTGATTACAGTGAAGAAATATTGTCTGATTCAGTTGACAACAAATCAATTCTCAAAAATCTTGTAAGAAATAATAGTGAATGCACAGGGTTTTAATGTGGTTTTCAGTTTTTTGTATGACGTATTTTTAAACCCACAAAAAGGTCAAAATATGCGTATTCCCTCTTGGTATGTAATGAAAGTCAAATGACTCTAATTGAATATACCGAAACTGTAAATAGCACTGCTTCTCTTGTTGTGGCCATCAGTAATATTCAATATTCAGAGATTTTCTATCAAAAACAATATGAATTATTGAACCGTAATACTACTTCAATCTACTGATTTCTGACAACTTCCCTTGGGTGACAAAAATAAACACAAGTAGACTTATTCATGACCGGCAATGATGAAATTGCTTAACATCAGTAACAATGGCAGTCCCCTAAAGATAAATCCAGATGTGTGATATTGAAAGCCCGAGTTCACGCAGCTAAGCGTCTAGTTAAAAAAAGGTCAATGAACAAACAAATGATGAAGAAAGGAGTAAATGAGAAGAATTAAGCACAGACCAATCACAAATTGGTTCTAAGCCATCCCCTGTATCCATGTTAAAATATCAGGGCTTGAAATTGTGCCTGTATCAGGTGCATAATTTGCAAATAAAGATTTAACTTTTGTGACTAACATTTCTCCATTGCTGGCAATTTTGCGACTGTTTTACAGTCTAGCTTATAAATTAATCATATTTAACTTGTGTCTTACTGGTTGCTATAGTTTTATCCCAAAAATCCTGCAAAATTCAAGTTAAATGTTGCATGACTTTTATCGTTGATTTCTTGCTGAGAAATGTATTGCTGCACACTTTTCAGAAACTATGTCGTGCAATGCTCATGAAATTTCTAGGAAATCTTTGTTTCTAATTTCCGGTTCTGATAGAAGGTTACTTTTGTGACTAAAATTTTCGAACTTGTGACTAAATTTTAGAAATTATTCACAAATTGTGATTGAGAATTTTTTTTTTTTCAAGCCCTGAACAGAATTTGGTAAAGTGGGTTATTGTTATTACCCGTACCTGGTCAAAATAAGTTGTGTAGAAAAGTGCCTATAAAAGGCAGCATTGTTGTCAATGACAATGTGTGGTTCCAGAAAATATCCAAACCCCCCCTGCAGAAGAGATTGGATTTTCCAGGGGGAGGGGGTCAATTTGCCTAATTTTCCAAGGGGGAGGAGGGTGACCATAGGGAAATATTTCCAGAGGGTTCTTGTGGCACATGAGAGTGACAAAGAAAAAACACAAAAATTTACCATGACAATTTATTTGCAAAGATATAAAATATGAACGATTAGTGACCTGCTTGAAAATTATGTAAAAACATCAATTTTATGTTCAGTCAACCTCTTTTATCCTTCAAAGCACGAGTGACTTATGACCTACATAAAACTCATTTAAAAACATCAAATTTATGTTCAGTTAACCTCTTAAATATCCTTCAAAGCACAAGCGATTAATGAAATACTTGAAACTCATTTAAAAGCATCAAATTTTATGTTCAGTTAACCTCTTATATGTCAAAACTTTGAACACAGAGAATTATACTTGTCATAAATCAAGAGCAATCAAGACCTTACGTGCCAGTTGGGCTTCCAAGACCGACAGGTGAATAGTACCTTCGAGTGTTAGCAGTAGCGGAGTGGATATCTGACCTTTTAACAAGATAATGAATAAGGATCTCTTCAGGCAAAATCTTATTTTATTATGCAATAACCGTGGCAATTTTTGGCAATATTGCATCACAGCGGAACAGTTGGAATGCAATCATGGGAATCTGACTTCATGGAATATCCAGGAGACGAATTTCTTGACGTGTTTCATGTCATCACAAGTTGATGAAACCGCTCCAACGAATTATCCCCGATTTATTTACATCACAGGCCTACGTTCCGGTTCGTACAAATGGCGATGGTAATTGTCTTTTCAACACCGCTTGTACTAGTTTAGCAATGTGGCATAGTGAACAACAGGCTACCAAGCTCAGGCTTCCCATGTGCATTGAACTTGCGCTTAACCGAGACTTTTACAAACAGCATCCAGTCGTTAATCAAGCACAAATTCCTTACCATTCAAGAAAACATGGGAATGGTCCTAGAATCAGCGACGAGCAATTTTACCACTAACTCAAATATGCAAATTTGGTAGAACAAAATTCGATACTCGCACTGTCTGATCGCGCAACGAGGTCCTGGTCTCTTTGCTTTCTTCTTGACACAGTGAGAGAAAGTACAGTTATATGTCCTTTGCAATCTTACATTTCATTTGCAATCTTACATTTCATTTGCCTGTGGCCAAGAAACTTTGACAACGATTTCTTCGTGAATTGAGTGCATAAGGAACTCGCTGATCTGTTGTAGAATTCAACAGAAAAGCTGAAAATACATGAAACTCAAAATTTGTTTGTGACTCGAGCCCATCAGGAATTCGCATGAGGAATTTGCTTTACCTGTTATAGAATTCGACAAAAAATACATGAAACTCACAAAATTTGGCATCCTAGTGAAAAAACTACTTACCTGTTCCCTTCAATAAGAGATAGCAATAATTATTTCCAGGGGGTGTGCAAAATTTTTGGAAATTTTGGGAAATTTTGGAGGGGAGGGGGGTATTTTGGGGCAAATTTTGCAAAATCCAGAGGGGAGGGGGGTCATACAGCAAATCCCTTCCATGGGGGGATATGGATATTTTCTGGAACCACACAATGACAAAAAGCATGACTTATCATTCATATTTCTCAGCTGAGAAGACAATTTTGCAGGGCTGTGGTCTAACAGTGCCTGATGGCCCCTGATGCGTTACATTTGCTCTTGGGCAACTCAGGAATCTTAGTTTTTTCATAAAAAGCATATGCTGGACACCCTGGATTTGCACAGCCTCACTTTTGTGATAAAACTAGAGTGTACCAAATTCTTACCGTATTATCAAGCTTCTCACATGCTCTTGATGCAGATGAACTGTCACTAAAGGTGACAAAACCAAACCCTCTTGATCTTGCAGTTTCACGATCCTTTATAACTACAGCTGTAAAAAAATTAGAAACAAATCCTTTTGGATAATTCTCTGATGACCACCACTTCACAAATAAACATGCTTTGAAAATTGCTTTCGTTTCAACTTCCATGAGTGTCCTCCTTATACCGTCAATACAATATCAAACAGACATGTGATGTAAGCATATGATAGATAATCAAAGGCGTTGAAACTGAGTTTGTTGCAAGTGTGAAATAATGATGCCCAATGATCCCCAAAGTAAAAGAGGGAGTTTCAACAGGAAAGAGTAGATGACACAAGAGCCTCTTGTGGAAAACCATTTCACCATTGTGTTGTTGAAAAAAAACTAGTATTTTTGTCAGTCAGTTTGAGGACAGGGAAAGCAGAAGTTGTTTGAAGAATAAAGACACTAACACGGCCTTTCAGAGATGAAACAAGGACAAAGGTGGCTCAAGAAGGTGAGGACAGCTTTAAGACCATTGTGTACATAAAGTTAGTTTGTGAACTTAACAAAAAGCTCTACCCAAGAAAATATTCCAAGAGAGAACATAATCCTTTTCCAGGCATCATATCAATTACCACTTTCGCAATTCTCTTACAAACCACTACAACATCGTGAGCATCCATTCAAAATCACATCCATATCTTCAAAGGATTCGCTATTTGCATCATAGCAAGCCCCCCAACCATAGTAAAAGTTATTTGTCAACGAGTCAATGCTTACTTGCCCTTGAGTAAGTATACGCACGGTAAGGATGCGCGATACACTTCGGCGAAATGACTCTCACTTTAACAGTTATCCAATTTTTACAATATCTACTACAACTTGATAATCTATTTGTTGTGTCGACTGGCAATTTTCGCCGAAAGATCCATGGATGATAAGAAATTCTTGCGGGAGAGGCCCGTGTGATTCGATGCCTGACACAATTTGACTGACATTGCGACCGCGTGCTTCTGAAATGTGAAATTCATGTCAAAAAACGTGTCGTTTCATCACTTTCAAGAAAAGCAAGATTATTACACATTTGACGATCATACAAACGAGGATTCATACTTTTAACGGCATGAAACACGTGTTACTTTTAATCGTCAGTTTTAGACAACATGAGAACGCTTTGAGTTTAGATGTAAAAGAAAAAGCGAGAGAGATTTAAAAGTACGTAAGCTTACCGTTTACAACTTCTCCAATCTCCCCAAAATGTTGTGCAAGCCCGACATCGGTCGTCTCAAACTTTAAAGAACCAACGTAGACTTTACATTCGTTATCACTGTCAGCCATTGTGGCTAACTTCTGTCGATCGTCCACAGGAATATAAAGTGCTACACAATAGCAGATCTAAATGCACATACTTTCCGATCTCGTGTTTTTCCGCGCATTAGGAAAAACCTGCTAAACTGGTTTTCAATTCAATTCGTTCCCAGGCTCTCGCACAACGTGGGTGGTTTGGTCCGCTTGGTCACGTTGAACTTTGAACTTGAACTTTATTTTTATTTAGACACGGTAAATCTATCAGATAAAATAATAATATTATTACAATCTATTATTACAGTTACAATCTATTTTAATCTATATAAACATGATCTAAAATTTAAAAGTAAAATAGAAAAAAATAAAGAAATTCTGCTTTACATAGATGCCGTGTGTGTTTTGTCGATTCATTGTCGATTCATTGTCGATTCATTGTTTTCAGATCCAACTAAGAAATACCCAAAACAATAGGGATTCGGGTATGGGAACACCCCAAAACACTGAAATACCAAAAACACTGTGACGAACTGACAGGGAATACCTAAGCAATATTGGGATACCAAAAACATGGGCCCATGTTTTGAACATCTCCGAACCCAGATCCCAATTACTTAGGGTATTCCCTGTCTGAGAGACACATAGCGGGCCAGCTGTAAGCTTGACAAATTATACATGCTCGAAGCTCTATCTCTGGTACTGTTTCCATGGTGCATATGGTCCTTTGTTTCGCTCTGTAAACGCCATAAGCCCTCTGAGCTCAAGACCAGCGAAGATGTATAACTGAGATCAAGAAAATCAAGTCACAGGTTCATTAACCTCTTCTTTAGATCCTTTTAGTTGCTAATTGGACTGCTACTAGTGTTGCACCCTGCACCTCAGCTAGGGCTAGATATTCAGAAGGAATGACGAACAAGCTAAACAAAGACAATCAAAGACTGCTACTAATGGCACAATTTTTAAAGTATTGAAAAAGAACTAGAGGTTGCATAGTGACAAAAACACATAAAACTTTCGGCGTCCCACATCCGAGTGTATGAGTACCCATTTCCAAGAATATATATGAATTATATGATTAAAAAATATATTGCCTAATTAACATTCGACCAATAATGAAATGGTAACAAATAATAATAATAATAATAATAATAATAATGATACTAATGATAACAATAGTAAAGTTTCTGTATAGTTTTAGACATGCTTTTACTGATCAGATTATTAGAATTTGAATCTGTTCAGATTTGACTCCGTTATTTATAGTTTTCTAGACACTTTAACATTAAAAAAAGGAGTAGATGTGAGCCGAAAATGAGTTATTTTGGATCGTTTTTTACGCTGTTACTTGTATTTTGTATTGTAGAGGATTTTATGGAAATTATTGCTAAATAAAGATTATTATCATTATTTATAGTAAAGTAATAATAATTTAAAGGGGCTTATTCGAAAGTTCCCCTTTCCTCTGGGCTCCATGCAACAATGATTGCCTTTGCTTCTTTTTATCTTAATTGCAATTACATTTTTTGAGACTTTTGTTTGATACAAAAAGGCATTCTGCGTTTCAGGATATTCTGTTATTCCGCATCATAACTATTCCACCATTCCGCCGAATGAATTACTCAAGGGCTTGCTTTCTTCGCAAATTTATCGGCCCTTTTCGGTATAAGTCGCTGATTGAAACAACAAGATACTCTCTTTTCGAAAATAACAATTTTCCTCAAAGCTTCAATAATGTGCAGATCACACCTATTGCAATATTTCTGCAAGGAAATGCTGGAATTTTCTCCTTCTTTTAATTTTATTTTCTCGTTACGGTAGTTTCGTTTCTTTTAGGCGCTCATGGGAGAAATGTTTGATTAGCTTGAGCAGGCCCTACACTCGCGGGACGAGCATTTGAGCCGCGAGAAGTTATGAGACGAGTGGTAGAGAAGTCTGCTAGGGGTCTGGCACTAAAACCAGTGCCAGGCCACTCGATGAACTCTCCTCAAAGCCTCGAACTTACTCGCAAGCGAAGAAACGCTTGCAACTGAAGCGCTAATAATATACGAAGGCTAATGCTCACAGGTTAATGTTTGACTGGTCATCAGGCCCCACGATTGCGTATTTATTTTCTCTCTCTCACACAAGTTTCCTTCCTTCGACGCGTGCGTGTTACTGACCAATCAGAACACTTGTTTTATTGAGGTCAAAGCACGTGGTCAACTTCCGAACTCTGCCGCGCATGCTCAGTGTAGGTAGAACGAAGAGGACACCTTTGGATTGGCGTGGGTTACGAATCAAGGTACCTTAGCGTATGCGGACATGACTGGCTCGCCTTCAGGACGCAAGCTTTTTGTGGGTGGCCTCCCCCCTAAGGTCGATGAGAAGGCCCTTAGAGATGTGTTCTCTCGTTTTTGGCACATCGACGAAGGTTTGTGTGCATAGACAAGGCTGACAACTTGGCGGTAGATATGCCATCCTGTCTGATGTGTGATTAGCACTGTAGTATTCTTAAATCTTGCATTATATCAAGTAAAATACAAACCTCAACATCAAACGGATAGTTTATACTTGTGGAAAACAGTAAAACAATTTCTTTGAAAGGAATCATCGTTTTACGTTGTTACATTACCTTATTGCGTATTTTGTTGTTCAACTGTCTTGACGTCCTTTCCTGACCATCCTTTTGGTCGATGATGTCGATTCGTTCCAGGTTATTTATGTAAAAAGAAGGCGAAATTTTAGTAGACTAGTATAGAGTAGGTTTTCTGTATTGATTTTTATGCAAAGTACAACCATTTGAGTTTGAAGCCGTAATCGATCTAGAGTAAACGTTGAGTAAGCAACTGCGCAAGTACATGTAGGAAATAAGCAAGTTGCTGGAGAGTGGCTAGTTTATCTTGGGATTCTAGAAACGTGCTCTGAGGAAAATAACGAAAGTGGCAGCTCCCCATTGTTTTCCTTTTTTTAAGACTAGAAATGTAGAAACGAGTGGCTGGCACAATAATCCTACAAATTTTGCAAATTGCTCTAGTGATAGGAGAAATCCACTTCCTGATTTGTCTTAGGTGTCATTACTATTCCTTTAGTCACTGGGAATAGTCATATAAGCAAATGTTAACTATCAGCATCATTCAAATTAGTTGTTCACAACATTGGTTTTGACCAATGAGCTAAGCTTTAACATAATAACTCTATTGATAAAAATAATGAAAATTGATATACTTTAACTCACTTGCTCTACTTTGAACCAGAAGAAATACTTGGGGTAGGATGGTGTGGGGTTGGGTTCGATGAGTGTTAAACAGCAGGAGCAGTAATAATAATAATAATAATATTCCAAGTCTCTGAATGCTTCAGAAACTCAGTTACAGTGTAACCTCTAAAGCCACTCAGCACAAGAGAATACTTAGCCTTTTTTTTTATCTACTTTACCAGCGATAATTGTAACTGACCGTGAGACACACAAGAGTCGTGGCTTTGGATATGTGGTGTTTAGTAATCCTGAGGACGCAAAAGAGGCATTGTCATCAATGGCTGGAGAACGTGGCAAGGTTGGTAGTCTTGTAATTTATCTTTTAAAAGGGTGAAAAAGTGTAAAACTATGATATGGCTGTATAAATACACGAGGAATGAAGTACTGTGGGAAGGATTTGAGAAGTTCATTAACCCCTTTACACCCTAACATCACTATGGATATTTTCCATGCTGTTCCCTTCAGTGAAATTTTGACTTATCATAGGCACGTGTTACACGTAAGTGTCAATGGGTTAAGACCCTGAGTGTTGGTCCAGCCAGAGCTTGAACCCTCAACCTCCCGCACAACAGTCTGGCGCCCTACCAATTGAGCTAACCAGGAGGCAGTTAATAGTACAGCAATGTTTGTTTATATTTCACAAGCTTGTAGCTATCTCAAGACAGGCAGGTGAATCTACCCATTACCTAGCTGCCTTTGAATCTCTTGAACACATTATAGATTAGGAAACAGTAGTGTTAACCTGGTTGGTCAAAATTTGCTGTCTTTCAAATCTTGCTGTGTTTTTCTGCATCTGTAATGCAGGAACCATATGTAGCTAGGCTTTGAGGGAGGTAAGGAATCTTCCTTGAGATTTCTTGTGGAGTTTATTCAGTGGAAATAAATAAAACACAACTTAGCAGCAATTGTGTTAATTTGTCTGGTCAATCTTTGTTTTCCTTCAGAAATTTTTCAACCATGAAATGACTCTTGAGTATGCAAAAGATAAAGATTCCACTGCACCTAGAGGAAGAGGAGGGCGCGGAGGTGGTCGTGGAGGGTTTAGAGGAGGCTATTCAGACAGAGGTCGAGGACCACCTCCAGCACGTGGCCCCCCATTCAGAGGGCCTCCCCCTGGGGATCGTGGTCCTCCTGGAAGGTCAGCATTTGAATTCTGGTTCTTATTTTTTTAATGGGGCTTGAAAAAAAAATGCAGTGGCTTATTAGTGTTCTGTTGCTTAGTGGTAGAGCATTGCTTTGGGGAATTTGAAGATTTGAGGCTTGATTCCTCACAGGAACCAGATTCAAAAACCACTTTCCTTCAATTACCATAATTTCCAGCCAATTACTCTCGGGTAATCTGTTGATTTTGCATTAAAAACGCGCGACTGTGGGTAATAGGGAGGTTGCGGGTTATGTGACAATTTTAAAATCTGCTGGTTGTTGAATTGAAAAAGTTCTCACCTTATACCTGTGTTTCCACCTCTCAAATTAATTTCATTGTATTAAGAGTGCCACAAACAAGCACAAAAACATGATGCCAACTCGAGTTTATTTCACACATTATTTGTAGCGTTTGAACAAATTTTTATCGGCATGCGTGTAAACAAAACCTTCACCGTGACAAAAGTAATCCAAGAATATCTGGCGCATCAGTAACAAATTTCAAGTTAACACTAGCTTGAGCTAAAGAGAATTTTCCCGTTATAAGGGTCTTGTTAGGCCCAGTAGAACCAGAGATATTGATTTTTTTAAGAAATCACTGACAGTAGTTTGAAAGCCCACACGTATCAATAGAATATTGAAAATAATAGGTGTGAAACTCAACTGATTTCATGGCGCTGAAGGATCCCCCCCACAAAATGTTAGTGTTTTTACCTTATCATTTTAACAATAAAGTACATGCTAATATAGACACA